TTCAATTGTCAATTTTATTGCAATGACGTCTTCAACATAAAATACTCAACAATACGCGAAATGGAGGGGCGATTCCTTCGCGCAATTGATAGTTTATGCAAATGTGACGCTCTCTTGGGAGAAATATTGCCAATAAAATTGATCGCCAGACTGCGAAAGGAGTTAAAAAGTTCTCCATATATTCCCGGGCTTGAGCAGGACCTTCGCCAGTCGGGAACGAAGGCTCCGCCGTGGTATTGATTGCACTGCGGCGAACTGCACAAATTGGCGCTCGGCCAAACAATTCCATTCTCCCTGTCCTTCCTGTAGGACGCTATGTATAAAATAGCTCTGTGTGCCACAGTGTCTGGCCATGAAACGAAATGGAAAACTGCCCCCATGTCCTGGTATGAGGGATTATGTAGAGAAAATTCTGCCGCTTTCCCCATTGTGAATTGTTTAACATTCACCCGACGCTATATAAACACCCTGCTGGCGGCTCCACGTATCACCATTTCATTTTTCTGCAATTTTTTCCACCAGTGCGGAAAATCCAATTGAGAATTCCCCAAAAGATTGCTCTACACAGTCTGCGAATATAGCGTTAAAAAATAATTGATACCTACAATATGGAAAGTCTTTAGTACATAAAGTCCTTTTCCTTTTGCTACACCCTCGATGTACACTTTTTTGCTAGTGAATTTTATTAATTTAAAGCGAATCATGCATTATATACCTATATTTAAACCGCACAAAACTAGCCAGTGTTCAAACCATAGAAAATCTCTGAGTTCTTATCTGAGACACACTCAACTGTTCTCAAAAGTGTCTTCTTTTAGGCGAGACATCAAGCAAAAGATGTAGTAGACTCCTTTTCAATTCGTACAGCCATCTAACTAACATGTTTTAAAATAGAGCAATAGAAACCCCGCGCTTTTTGATATTCATAATAATGATAATTTCCTATCTGAGAATTCTCAACCAATACATTTTTTTCCCAAGGGGGAGATATGATATGAGTTGAAGTGTTTAACTTTTTATAATATTTAGTTCATAACTTTGATTTTCTGTTATTTATTTTATTCTCAGAAATAAATTTATATCCAACTCTTCATTTTGATATATTTTTCTATGTTATTGGCTGATTTAACATTAAATAACATTTTAAATAATTGTGTATTTTTACTCAATGAAAATCATGATTTGAAAAAACAATGCTAAATTCAAACAAAACCTCTTTTTTAAATAAAAAGAAACTTATTTGAAGAATTACGATCAAGAAAAATACGGAAAATTGCAAATTTAGAACGTGAATTTTGAAGTAGGTTGTTAAATTTGAGTTATATTTTGGTTAAACTTCAGTTATTAGTTGATTTTAGTCTTCTCATAGCAATTCATGAAGTCTGAAATCCAGGGAAGTGTTAAGGATGTTTCATGTAAATTGTGGAATTGTTTTAGCTATATAATCTCCCTGTTGTTTTTCCCAACTGATAAAAGGGGCTCAAATTATCACACGCGGTGTGTGCCTCCGCCTTCGCTGTATTGCACCGATGATATAATTCAAGCGCCGTGATATCAATAATGACGAAGCGACAGACAGAGGTAAGTCTTATCAGGATCTCAGTAACAGTGTTTCCCAAATTTACATTGATAAGGAGAGGCTTTTTTCAGGGGATTAAGGTGGCCTCTCTTCAATTATTGTCGCAGAGACGCGAGATAGGGAGATGGATGTGTATGTCTTTCCGTTTAGTGATTGAGAGGTATTTTTCCGAGACCACTCGAGCAAAGTGGAATATTTCCTCCGCGCGCGCTGAGTTTTCCATGTCATGGCCAAAGTACAACAAGTGTCAGAATGACGAGTCGGCGACCACTTTCAGCCTCACACACGTGGAAGGGACCGAAGGGTGGAAGGCATTCAATCCACTCACGACTTCGTGGATGGGCGATTCCATTGAGAAACGCCGTCATTTGAAAGTAGATCTCTTGTGTGGCGGAGAGACAAAAAAAGGGCATCAAGCGAGAGACACATTCACATCATTTGACACACTGAAGGTTCATTTTAGAAAGGTATGACGTTTTTCTCCAGAATGGAGCCGTTATGGAGAAAAACTCTGGCGAACATGCAATTAAAATGCTTTTTAGAGGCCTTTATTTCTCCAAGTGTGCTTGAATTTCGAGCTGTAACTTTATGTATTTCAGAATTTAGGAAGTCGTCGTGATAGGAATATAAAGTTTCACATAGCAACAAGTCAGCAGTTCTCTGTCATTATCTAATAAATACAATATTTTTCTTCCCGCAACATGAAAATGATTTTCGAATGGTAGAATTTTCTTCCAATTGGAAACAATTTTGTGCTGAAAAACGTGCTGTGAAAGTATTTAAATTCACTTCAATAGGCACAAAAATGTGGAATACAATTCTGCTATGTTATAGGCACGATTAGTTTATATTTGTGTGCGCGTCTTCTGCAGCACATCCATATGGTCATTAAAAGTCCGTAGAGGAGAATTCCAATGACTTCTGACCCCTTTTCGTCATTGCCCAACATGTCGAGGCATCGCACAATTCGAGCAAATTGGCCTATAATTAAAATTACATCGTCATGAATGGCGATAAAAGCTCCGGTGAAAAGCCATTTCTCGAAAATTAAACACACACTTAAGCATTGAGCGAGTGAGGGCGCAATTAATGAATTCTTCCCTTGGCACACCCTGAAAATCCACTCTTTCTTTTTGCACCTCTTCGTGAGATATCCGATGATACTAGCCTTGAGTGAGAGACACTCATTCAATGACCCTTCAATTCCCTCCCACCTGAGCAAGCCAACACATTTCAGCGCACACGCAACGCCAATGTAGTGGATATTGCATTTCACGGTGTCGGAAATCCACGGCGCAGAAAAGTAGTTCTCAATACATTTTCTTTCTCAGATATAGAGAAAAATCTCTTCTCAGAATTTCACCCCATTGAGTGCTTATCTTTCGCAAATGATAAAATTCTAGTCAATGTATTTAATTGCTCAGTACTTCACTAACGGATCTTTTAAAAGAATAGTGCGACATTTATCTACAGTGACTTTTTCTTATCATCCGCAAATTGAAAACGTGATAATCTTTGCTGATCAAGTGTTTGGCGCGCATGGAAAACTTACTTTGATATCTTTCTTCCCAATCGCTTCCGCCATAAAGTTGCTCATCGATCTCCGCCGCCAAAACATGCTCTCGCTGGATGAGGCGAAAAGACGTACTTTGAGTATGAACTTATCAATCGTGTCTCAAGATCTGAGTGTAGACAAAATAAAATTACAGCGCTAGAATCACACGTCGACACCCAGTGTTATAATTCGCACTTATTGGACCTGAAAATTCACAAGTATTAGCTATCAAAGGTGACATGTAAGTTACACAGTGACTCTACAATTTCTTGTTTCTGATATTGAGAAGGATAAGGTTTCCCGCTCAATCTGGAGATCATTAGATTGATGCTTTTGCATGCAAATCATTAGAAGTGTCGAGTTAGTTGCATAACATTTCTTCCTCAAATTGTGGTCGCAACAAGAGGCAAATATAATGGTCGGAAGTGGTGTACAGTTTAGCGGAAGTGTTAGAAATACAATATGTTAAGATTTTCGAATATTTGCAATGAAAAAGTTTCGGTTTCAATAAATTGCGGTATTTTATAATTTTTTTGACCTAGAAAAATTTATTTTACTGCTTTTCTAGATTATTATATTGATTTAAAACAGATTATGTTGAAACAACCCACAAAATCATCAAAATTGTATTAAAATTGGGAATATTTCTTATTCATCGGCAGAATTGGGCATTTGTGTTCGAAAAAGCTCAGATTGTTTAAATTTCGGAAGTAAAAACAGCTTTTAAGTCAAACATAACCTCAACAATGTAATTTTAGTCCCTAAATATACTCATTTACAAGTTTGAAGGGATTTAAGTTAGTTCAAGAAGGTTTTTAAGCCGGTTTTCATAACAAAAGTAGGAAATCAAGACCGAAATTGTTCATAAAATATCGTGAGACAATAAAGTCAGTTCACACAATCCCAAATTTGATTATTTGAAGAACTTAAACCTCTTGAGACGGAAAAACCTGGATTAGATTGTGATAAGGTAGAAATAAAAGTGTAAAAAACAGTTGAAGGAGTATAAAAAGCGATGGCAAATGCTTTTGAAGGCGTTTAGAAGTGTTAAGGATTCTGCACAAAAACTTTGGAGGTGTCTGGAAGTGGAGTACAGATTGAAGGCACATTATTTCTCCCTTGGGTCACAATGAGAGGTAGGCTATGAGTCAGTGTTGCTGGGAAAGACAACGCAAAGGTTTGGTGAATTTCCCCGAGAAACCACCGAGTGTATTCGGAAGTGTTGTTTGTCGCACACTATATAATAGAGTTCGATACAGTCATGTACTGATTACATCCATCACACGATATAGTTTGTCACTCTTGCCTCTGATGGGGATTTTCGTCGCATGAAGAGTGTTCCATTGGGCAAATTTAAGGCACGACATTGCGGGGCTTCCGAGACTCTTCTAAGCAACACACGTGAGTACTGAATCGATTTTATCACACAATGGCCAAAATCAAATGAAAGCGGGGAAAATTTTGGAATATGACTAATTCGTGTGAAGTCTCACTATCTCATCGCCGCGGTTCTTTTGCATTCACTTGCAAGGCCCACCAGAGATAACAGCACATAGGCGTGATGCTTTCCTCGTAGGCACGCGGATTAAGTCATAACCCCGTCTGAGAGTTTTCACTACAGCGTCAAGTTGACTCAGAGTAGTTAAATTCCGGATAAACTTTTCACACAAAACACCCGCCATGGGTGGCGTTTCCCTCCTAACACCAAATTTTGATGTATCCCAAAGCAAACAGCGTGCTACATATGTTCACATATGCGCCGATTACATAAGGCCCAAATGTATAGTAAACAAAAAGTGCGGCGTTTCACTGTATTGTGTATTTTCATCACATGAAAAACTCTACTTGAGCGAGCTTGAAAGCCGGTTAGTGAAATCAGTCGCACGGGAACCTCCTCTTGGTGTAGTTCGGAAAGTGTCTGCAAAGTGGAAAAGCGCGCACAAGCCCAAGAAGAAGCCCACACATCAGCTTTTTGACACACTTTCGACCTCTTCGGCTCCGACACAGGCGAAGGGAGTGGAATGTTAGTTTCCTCAATTGCACATTATGTATAAATTGTATTGTAATGGATGTGCATGAAAAAGAGTTCAAGCAAAAGTTACATTGTGAGCAAATATGCACAATTTATGCTCGTGTTAGAAACTAAAGGGATATCAATGCGAGGTTTTGGAAAGTTTTTTTTTTTAATTTTCCAGAAGAGTGACGATCATACGTAAGCAAATTAATCCATTTTTCATGCACTTCATTTGTGTGAAAAATTCATAAGAGCTCAGTGCGAAAGTTTTGTATATTTTCCTTTCCTTCGCGAACGCTGTGACGTAATTCCGCTGAAGAATGAACTGGAGGTTGTTCTTAAATCATCGCATTGACATCATTTTGGTGGAAAATATCAGCGATAAAATGATCACATCACTTCTGGCTTAATGGCAGAATCATTTTATAAATAGTTGTCATCGATTTATTCCACATTTTATCCCCCATGTGATGTAATTATGTGATGAGTTTTTGCCAGATTGGCTCTTTTGTTGCGAGAATGAGCCGCGAAAAATGAGTCCAGAAGGAAAAATGTTATATTAGAAAATGTCTATTGAGGCGCCAAATGAAAGTGTGGTCGTAAATCATTTTATTGGACAGAAAAATCTATGAAATTTCATTATTATGAGGAAATAACTTGTTCTTTATGATTCTCATTTCTCTCCGATTCATCATTTTTTTTTTCTTCAAGTGTGTATGTGTGATGTAAGAAAATTCTCCACGGTGTTATTTCCAAGAAGTTCCTCACCGCATATTGTTTCGCCTTGAACTTCAAACCATGTTAGCGCATATTTTCTAGATTATCATCATGTGCACGTACATATGTATGGAGTGGCACAAAAGCGGGTTAACGATTTGTGAAAGTAAGAGTTCTCAGCCATTCATACTATCGCCCACTGAGAGTGGGATGAAACAGCAATAGCTGAGGCATTAGTGAATTAAATTCTTTCACTGTGTGATGGGCAATAAACTCCTATTTGGCATTTATCACCCAGACGCCCAATTGTACTTCCAAAGGGAATGTTTATGAAGAAATTCCCAAGTTGTGCTGCTGGCACGAATCTAAATGAATTTTAATGGACACGATGACATATTTTCGAGACGATGAGGCTCTCGAAGTGAGAGCCACAGAAGAGCGTTTTAATCAAATAAAATCTAACACGTATCAATTGGATGGGTTAATTTTCAATCAATAGAACCTTGACGACTGATTAAACTGATAACTCATCGTCCACTATCGCGCCAAACTTGAGACACTTTTCCTTCTAAGGCGCGTTCGCAAGACTTTCCACCATCGCTGGAAAATTGAGCGTGAGTCACTCTCTCGGCTCTTCCAGTGTGTAATGCAAAATGACCATTGCTGAAGGTTACCATCACACTTTTGGGCTTCACGCATGGGAAATCTCAAAAGCACCCACACCCAGTCGCCTCGCATTGTGTTCCAAATCAAAAGACATCACCACCGCGGAGGACTGGGAAAAATCGATGGCTTTCCTCCCATTGTTATTTGTTATAGCCTAAAATCTATCGTTAACAGTAACACGAGTGCCAAGGAAAATTATTTATTCACAACTTTCATGATCCATTAATCTACGCAAATAAATTGAATACCTGAGTTTTGTGGGTGTAATCAGTTAAGTAGTAAATGGAAATTTAGATTAACCACTGCATTTGGGAATTCATTAATAGAATTTTGCTACTCTTTCAATCTCAATCGTTAATCACAGTTGGCAAAAATGTTTTGCAAACTTTTGTTCATAGAAAAATCTCAGTTTCATTGTGACCTTATCACGTCGCTGGACCACAAAAAAAAACATTCTGCGGTTTGTCGATTGTGTAAGAACAAGCAATTAGAAATTTCCATCAAGATTTGCACTTGGTTGAATGAAAATTTACGCTTTAGTGGAAATGTTTCAAACAAAATGTGGAGAAATATTCGGAAAATCAGAACTCTACACTTCCATATAATTTTATGAGTAATTCAGGCACAATATAAAGAACTATCATTTCTCTCACGTCTAACTAAACCTCATCTATGACACCATAAGTCACCGTGAAGAATACTCTGGGTGGAGTGAAGTACTAAAAACTACAATATAGTGGATATGTTTTATTTTCTTACATGTGACACAGAACCATTGTGGACAAAGTGTGATCACGCAACGATAAGATGATAAATGCTAACGCGCTCACAAAATTGCTGGCAAAGTAGAAAAGAGAGACTCTTTCATTCACCAAATGTTTGCCGTCTTAATTATGTGGTTTGAGCTTTACACTTGCACCATATCGCCATGAGTGTCGAATATCTCACAATACGTCTGTGTAATAAAGGTGGGATGACAGCGAATTATTTTTAAACATCCACCTTTTCGTGAGTGAAAAACAGCAGCGAAAAATCCCAACTAAACACCTGTGTTTACTACACCAAGCAATTGTGATAATTTTTTGGGAAGGTTTTACGACAATAACTCATAGGAAATAATTCCGACAGAATTCTTATCATTGCTATGTTGTAATGCTGAATTCAATTGAGCAGAAGAGGAAAAAAAGGGAGTGGCAACGAATTTATTATACATTCTTCGCTCTCACTCAGGATCATGTAACTTCTGTAATTGCAAATCATGCAAAACATGATTAACATAACGACTGAAAGATAAGAAAACAATGACTGATCCCAATTTTTCACCTCGCTTTTACTTCTGAAGTAGCGATCTTTGTAAATGAAATCCATACCAGACATTATAATGATGATAAATCGTTCTGAATGTTAATTGATTCTTGCTCTGCGATCATGTGAATTCACTTTATTTCCCATTTAAGTTTTCACGAGCTCAGAATGCACATTATTAAGCTGTCAAGTGAAATGGCAGCAGAGTTTACGTGCGTTTTCTGGAAGTGATGACGAAGACTTCTCGATGGGAATCACATGAATCGCGTCGCCCACTTACAAGTCATACATTGTTGTAAGACAATAAATGTGTGTGTGACCGAGTAGATCTCCAAGATATTGAGCTTCAGTTGAGGCGGTTTGATGAAATCACAAGAGACATGCAACAAACAAACCATGCATAATTATAGGTTTCACTGAGATGTTTTTAGTGAAAAAATAATGAGTATGTTTTCATGAGAAAATTTTTAATAATGCAAACTAGTTGAGAATCGCGCGGCTTTTCAAATGCTGCTTTGCATTATATGGAAAAGTTCCAGAGATCAATTGCAGTGTTGTCGCAATTCTTCGAAGCGCGTTATCATATTATCGAATGCGCATGGCAACTTCCACACAAGGAGAGTGTGGTAATTCGGTTTCTATTGCCATAGATTCACAATTTGTGGGTGAAAAGGAGGAAAGAAACACCACAAAGTCAACACTTTTGCATGTTGAATGTAATTGAGTACATCAAATATTTGGTATTTCTCCCATAGTTTTCCTCTTTATTATCTCCTCACGAGCGGCAAAATCGCTTGTACTCCTTTTTCATATACCTTTGACCATTTCTCAGAGATCAAAGAGCCTCTCTTGTGCTGCTCATAAAGTTTCACCCAGAGTTTACACATCAAAAATATTCCTTTCAATTCACAAACAACACCTCTACACAACCATAAGTCTTTACCGCGCTTTTTTTCGGTCATAGTCAAGGTTGTTCACACAGTTTTCGATGACATAATCGTTGTGTGAATAATTGGAATTACTATACACGAGAGATTGACAAAATGCTCAACGACACTTCTTATTTATCTTTCCAGAATTATGAATGACACCCTGAACAGAGTATTTTTTGTGTGTCCAATATGCGACATTCTTATGGGATTCTTGCTTTATTTTCTCTCCTCTGCAGAAAGCCTGCTTGACTTCACTCTCGTGTGATCATCTGTGAACAAAATGCCACCCAGTATTTCCAAAACAACTCTGCTAGAGGAGAACTTGGGCGGAGAAGTGCGACAGAGGAGGAACGATTGCAATGACAATCCAGTGGGTGTTGATGAGATGGAGATCAAAGAAGAGGAATCTTCCACAGACTACACAGATTTTAAGCCCGAAATAAGATGGCCAGATCTCATTGTGCAGATATTTCTCCATGCCGGAGCCCTCTATGGACTCTACCTGTTCTTCTCCGTCAAACTGTATTCATTTATATGGTGTGAGTATACCTTATCGATATTGATTTTGATCCAGACTGGAACACCTTTTCTAGCGTCTAATTAAATAACTCACCCATAAAATGTAGAACACTGTCCGATAGATAAAGTCAGACGCTGTCTGTGCACACATTTTCCGTGATTAATCGCACAGTGAATTAGAAGTGAAGATTATTTATTGACAACAGAATGAATTAGCACGTAAACTATGGGCTCTGGAGCGTCTGTGATAAGAGATGATAAGATGAATCATTGGCGGATGGAGAAGTGAAATTAGATAAACATAAACAATACTTATCCCTTCTAGGAAAATATTTAAAAACATCTCGTGGGAAATGTTATTCGATGTATAATTGTAACTTATATACATTGTAACGTAAAATTGAGAGCTGGTTGAATCAATTTGATTGAAGGTTAATTAAACGCAACCGCGTAACAAATCAATTTACTTGTCAAAGTGAGGAAACCAATGAAATTTTCCCATTCACGTGCGTGTACTTTGAAAAGATGTATTACAAACTGGACGATTTGTACTACGAGACGCAAAGAGCGCAAAAAATAAATTGTTAAACTTTAAAATTCTCCACGATGAAATCATAATGGGACAGCTGGCACGCTCTGCTGAGTTGTGGAATATTTTATACTTGTCTGAAATTCTAAGTGATTTCTGTGCTGCAATAAGATTTCATTTATTCAAACTTTAACAGTTTGAAACATTTTCTTCTTTCACGTCACATGATTAAAAGTGAATTACAGCATAAAACGCTTCCATGATATTCCATGATTATATGAATTTCATGATTCGTGTGGATTTTATTGCGAATATTTATGTATTCAGATTGGGCTTTTGAAATAAAACTTTTGCCACATCAATGACCTCACGATTTTCCGTATGCAAAAATATTAATTGATTCTCGAATAGAATTTACAAATCATACTGTGCGAAAATAGAATTAAATGTAGCGAGTGACAGAAAATCTCTAAAAACCACAATTATTGCACACAAAGTGTTTCTCACAATTAACATTAAAGCACATTTGCGGAGGTGATAATCAGACTTAATTGAAACGTGAAGATCATCGAAGCAGATGACGATCTTATTTACGTCACTTCATTTCCATTTGCAGAAGTTTGCGTCTTTTTCCACGTTCCCAAATCAATTCTTCTAAGCCCTTCATAATCTTAATAATGCTGGGCTCCATTGTGAGTTTTTAAATTACTGTGTACCTTGAATTTGAGGTCGTTTAAGCATACTTTTCGTGATTCTATTGGACATACTCTCGCCGAGTTTGTAGCCCTTCAAACTAATTTGTTTCTTTCGCTCTTTTTTTGCAGTCATAGTTTTAATATACGGGTCAGGCTTTGGCATAACAGCTGGAGCCCACAGGCTCTGGTCCCACAAAGCGTACAAGGCAAAGTGGCCATTGCGACTACTTCTGGTGTTCCTCTTCACAATTGCTGGTCAAGTGAGTAAAGGTCGCGCTGTAGCACTGCTAATTGAGCTAATTATTGTGTCAAATCATGTAGATTTGGAGCAATTGCAGAAGCAATCAATTGACGGTGTTATCATATGACACTTTTCCCCTAACGCAATCTGATTGATGGCTTTTCCAGAGGGACGCCTACACGTGGGCTCATGATCATCGAGTGCACCACAAGTACTCCGAGACGGATTCTGATCCGCACAATGCCAAAAGGGGCTTCTTCTTCGCACACGTGGGCTGGCTGTTTCTCACGCCGCACCCGAAAGTCGTGGAGAAGAGGAAGATCATCGACATGAGTGATCTGGAGACGGACTCCATTGTCATGTGGCAGAAGCGGTTCTACGTACCACTCTTTGCTCTCTTGGCCATCGCCATGCCAGTGTTTGTGCCTTGGTATTACTGGGACGAGAACCTCTGGATGTCCTTCTGGACAATGTTCAATTTGCGCTTCTGCACCACGCTCAATATTGCCTTCTTCGTGAACAGTGCCGCCCACATGTGGGGACAGAGGCCTTATGACAAGTGAGTCTCGAGGAAGCAGAGGATCTTTGCAAATTCCAATTGATTTTAACCATTTCCAGGAGCATAAATCCAGCAGAGAACATCACTGTAGCCGTTGCAGCCCTCGGCGAGGGTTGGCACAACTACCATCACGTCTTTCCGTGGGACTACAAGACAGGTGAATTGGGAGATTACAAATTCAATCCCACCACAGGCTTCATAGACTTCTTCGCTAAGATCGGCTGGGCTACTGAACGTGAGTGGCATAAAGCTCTCTGGTGAGCTTTTAGCGAAGACTCTCGCTTACCTGTACTTTTTCACCACCGCAGGTAAATCCGTGTCGCGTGACATGATAAAGCGCAGAGCTGCCCGATGTGGAGACGGTTCGCACTACCTCAGCTCGGAGGAGGCCCACAGGGATCCCGTGTGGGGATTCGGGGACAAGGATATTCCATTGGACGACGAGGCGGAACTCCGAACAATGCAATAGATTGCACATGCCTTGCTGCCAAGCCTTTGATGCTGCTTCAGATCAAATCTGAACACCACAAAACTGTACACCAAGTCTAACATTTATTGGAGACGAAATTACCTCGTTTTTTGATTGTTTAGTGAGGCAATTGTAAATGAAAAAAAAAATTTCCATTGCGATGCAGTGTTTATTTTATTTAATGTCTTGGCGATTGTGGCTGCCAATACACTATCAAGGTGGTCTGCAGAAAATTGTCCAAGAAATGTCGTCTTGCAAGTCATTCATATGCAATTGTAATAGCATTGTTCTGCTGCTTAATCACCACTCGCCGTTTCCCCTCATTTGCAAATTTTCACACTTAACGTCAGCACTGATCCCAAGTTCGTTTCGGTAGGTTTGGTGCCCCAAAGCCAATGAGGTCTTGGGGAATTTGATTCTCTCAACTGGATAAACTGCAGCAAAACGATTGTGCATTTGATAAAATCAAGCTCAGTTAACATGCAATCACTCCATGGTGGTTCAAAAGTTAATGGCATTCTTTATGCTGTAATAAAATTTCATTCTAGTTTAGATGGCAATCGATCTCCAGAGATAATAAAGCTGAAGTGAGATGCAACGAGGAAAAACACCACATTAGGACACACTTGAGAACTGTTGAAAGAGAAAAATTGAATTTTCTCGTGAATATTTCACACCTTAAATGCCTTAAATGCCTCAAATATAGCAATATTGTCATAAATTATAATGTCTATTACTTTACATAAGGAAATTTCAAGACAACTACGCACATTGGTTGCATTAACTTGCATCTGTGTGTGCATTCTCGATCGAGGAATGATTAGTTGAATCAATAGTGGGATAATTGTGTCTGTAGAAAAACCCGTATTCTTCAGAATATTTCTTCAACAGAAACACACATAAATTTGCAATCGCTCTATAGAGGCAATCTTAATCAAAACATCTTTATAGAATCATCCAACTATTGTGTATTTCAGATAAAATGTTCAATTTGTCGGTTAAGTTGTAATTTTCTCAATGTAGAGACAAAGAATATCTCCTGTAAGGTCAGAATTTAACAATCCCAGAGGGAAATAAAGATATCTCCAATGTCTGCTCCAGCTCTGCCCTTGGCGCTCAACAAGCAATTCTGTAGATTTGCCTTAGCACTTTCCAATTTGTCTTGATAAACGTACAACTCTGTGAAAAGTTCCGTCGCCTCCACATTGTCCCACTGCAGAATCTTCCGAATGTACTCCTGGTGAGTTGCATCAATTGTACTGGAGAGAGGCGTCTCAGTGGGAGATATTCTAGTTCTAGATATGCTCTCGAGAGCTTTCAGAGACTGTTCAGCAGACTGTCCATACATAATGGCGAAGAATCCTTCGGAAGCTCTCTGGGCGTCGACGAGCTCATTGTAGAAATTCCTGCCGCACGAGTGGAAAGCAGTTTCCACGGCATTCCTCACATTTCCCGGCGTTGTTGGCATTCTCGCTTGACACTCTGCCGAAACGGAATTGAATGTTTGCTCAATGGTGGCCAAATCCTTGAAAATGTCATTCACTGCCAACTCAAAGACACCCAATTCAGTCGGAAGAGCATTTTCTGTCTCTCTGCGAATGCGACCACTCGCGGTGTATATTTGAGCGTGAATTTGCTGATGGAAGCTGACAGCGCTGGACTTCAGCTGATCCAGGATCTCCAGGGAGTGCGCCAAAGTGACACAAGTCAGGAGAATTGATACACAAAACTTCATTTTCACAACTTCTAAAAGCAAATTCCACAATCAAACTGCCCAATTTTCGTGCAAGAGCAACTCATTTATTGCTCGGACAGCAATTCTTCTATCTCATTGATATTGTCTATCACTGAGATAATCTCAAGTGTGACACTCTGAGGGGCCTTACGAGCATTTCATCAATTTTGCCATATTGTCTTAGGCCGCAGCTCTTCCATTGGGCGGCATTTCATACGTATTTTCAGCTAGATTCATCTCTTGAGTAATATAATTAATCAAAACTATACAATTAGGCAGATTCCTTGTCTGTCTCTCAATATTGTTTTTAGCGGATGATGAATATTTTGAATATGAATGACTCTTTTCGCTAATTCATTTTCTTTGCTCCACTGAATTAAAATCCCATTTTCGTCACAATATACTTCAGTGGAGCACAGAGTTGACTAATGAAAATAACTATATTTTATAGTTTTTTATTAATTATCATTGTTTTATTTCCAATTTGATGGATTTGAAAGCAAAACGGTGTCATCTGATATCACAATAGTTACTCAAAAAGTATTTAAAAAAAATACACACTGTGACAAAATAGCCTTTCACATTTATCATTAAACAATTTATCTGCACTCCTCAAATCACACTCAACTCGAGAAAAAATGCTGAATGCGAATATCTCGGAAAATTACGTTTTTTCTCTCGTTCAGTTATCTTCTCACCTTTTGCAAGTTTAATTGTAAATCGCACGGGGAAGTGGTTTCACATTTCGAAGCGCCTCAGTCTTGTTGAGTTATGAAAATTAGTGACTTTCGGCTGTGATATTGTGATAAGTGGCGGAGCAGGAGAGGTGCAATGTATGGATGTACAGACCTCGCCGATATGCTTCATGTTGCCATCGTCGAGTGGGGGAAATTCACTGATTTTCAAGTAACTGTGGACATATTACCACAAAAAATAGTCACTCAGTGTGCTTTAGTCACTGTGTAAGTTTCTTTGTCGCACTACGGCTATTTTGTCCGTCATTATCATCAAGAATACATATTAAAGAGCCTCGATCACGCTGCAATAAGCTTCAGGTGGCAATCGATCGTCCCTTTACTTCCACTCGACTTGTCAACGGGTTCACACCGTATAGTTGGGAAAATTGTGTGGTTTTCCCACCCGGAATTCTGCACAAGTGCTATTCAGTGTGTGATTCTGTGAAACGGAAGTTGCAGGCCTCTTAGCGAAACTCTCTCCGTTTTGGGATAAACAACAAGTGTGATCAGGATTTTCCGTGTTGATTCCCATCAACCTTCGCCAGAACTCATCGCAGAAAGGTAAGTTTGAGCATGTTTTGCAATAATTCCACAATTCACATTGTCTGCAATTAATCAGTGTGGCTTACAATGGCGAGTAGATTTCACACTATTGGTGACTCTATCTGACGAGTGTCTCTCTCTACCTTTGGAAACTTTCCCTTTCATAAATGCATAAACGTAAAATTAAATATTTTTGCAGTCTCATTGAAGTGTGTCACAGCAAATTTGTGACCAATAACGCACACCAAAAGTGTCATAGTTGTCGCCAGAAGTTTTCTTCGTCGGAGGACTGCTGGTGAAGATGTGTGAAATGGTGACGTGTGGTCCAGTATGTGTATATTTGCCAAAAAAGAGTGAACCTCGAAAGAAGAGAAGCAGAAAACCCGTTGATATTGACACATTAAAGAGCCACTGATTGTGGAGTGAGAAGAAAAACCAGTCTCAGCGCCGAGACTTTTCTCTTCCCATTTGCCACAACCACTTTCGATCACACGTAACTTTCCACACCTCCGCGACTTTCGGGCGCTGAGAGGTGGAAAACACATTAACCTTACAGCATCGCTGTTGTGCAATGGGCTTTTCATTCGCATAATAGTTCCAACCTGTCTCAAGCACTTCTCTCAATGCTCGCGGAGCAATTGCGGATTCCGCCGTCAGTCAAGTTCACGATCAATTTGAGCTGTGAGTCTATTGCGTACACTGTGTGCAGATCGGCGATATTAAAGCTCATTTGACCTTTAAATAAGAGTCGCGGGAAAGCTTCCCGGGAAAACGAGTATTCTGTTAAAACAATGCAAGCCATTTGGAGTTCAAGGAACTTTTCCCATGCTCATTAATTCATCCAATTTACCTCATGCATATATTTGTGGAAAAGTTTTTTTTCTTCAATTTATCAAGCTTCCTTATTGACCATGGTAGAATATTAACAGCCCACTTGAGATCTTTTCACATGCTTATGCACATTTTTTCTAATTTATACTTTTGTAATGCGAGATTCTCAGAGGATAAGAGTGAGTCGCTTCACTGGAATTACTTCCTAATCTCTTCTAAATCTAGTGTGCGTAACAATAATTACGATTTACGCATTTCTGTTCTTGATAACGATTCACTGTCAAGTGGGAGAGGAATTACCATGAACAACTTTCAGCATTTTGTGCAGTTTCACCGCCGAATGACCTTAAATAACTGCTCATCGGCCGTCGTAAGTGGTTTTTCTCACTAAAGTGGCACTCTTGCGGGAATTGGATCAAAATTCACATATCAAGACTGCAAATCTCCGCCCTTTGCAGCCTCACCTTGACATTATTGTCAAGGTGCTGACTTCTGGCCACATTGACAATACCTTCGGCTTGAAAGAAAGGCAGTGAAGAATATTTGGGAGACAATCGCAGAGATATAAATTATTGCCGAAAATCCCGACTTCCAGAAACTGGTCAAAACACGTGCCATTTCAAAGCTTATAATTTGTGAGTTTATTCATTAGAACTCTTTCCCATTTCCAAGAAATATCCCCGGATTCGCACGCGTGTGTGTCTTTATGAGGATTTCTATCTCATAACCACTGAACATTTGGTTATTTTCCATTTTCAGACACTTGAAAAGCAATCAAAATGACGGAAAAACACAGCACAAACGGTGTCAGTCAAACGGAAACTGTAACTCAGCCAGCCTCCAAGGATGAGCCAAAGGATAATCCCAAGGACCTCAAGCGGGAGGCGAGTTGGCCGGCCGTGCTCTTCTACATCCATCTCAACATCTTAGGAATATACGGAGTCGTGGTGCTTTTCACACAGACTTCCCTCATAACAGCATTATTTAGTGAGTCACGCGAGGCGTTTTGCTCCTCTGTCACAGTGTTTAAGTGCATTTCCTTCCCTTGCAGCCATAACCCTCACTTTCCTGGGCATTATTGGAGTCACGTGTGGCTCCCACCGGCTCTGGGCACATCGCACCTACACGGCCAGCCCGTCGCTCCGCATCTTCCTCATGCTGTGCCAAACGATGGCCGGCCAGGTAATTGTACACAATACGAATAATTGCCACGGAGACCTGCTATGACCTGCATTAATTTCAATTTAAAACAATGACATTACAAAAAGCATTCCTCGCGCACTTTCGATTTCCGCTACGAATTGAAAATCAGTATCGCCAATATGCCCGATAATTCATCGCGCTTCCGCCGAAATGTCTGCAATTCCTAATGCCTTCTGTATAGTTTATAACAGTCCAATGGGAAACAGCTAGACACGCTTAGAGGTTTCTCTATTTGCAAACAATGTACATTGAATGCAAGAAACGCACGTCAATTACACCTTCAAGGCAACTCTTGAAATTCAAAACGATCCTGTCAAAGTTTTATTTATAGTTTGTCGTGGATGAATTTTTATTTAAATTTAGGCTTTACCGGAATTCATCTGTAAACACATAAAAAAAGCAATAAAATCCCCAATGCCGAGTTCAGAAAATCAGCGAAAACATACACTTTCCTGAAAAGGAATTAGATAATCTAATTAGTTTGTCACCTTTGACATACAATACATAGTTTGATGGTGTATTGTGATTTTATTGAATTATGTTAAAATGTTTTGAGCTGTTGATCAATTAAGACGCTCCTCTTAAAGCAAGTTCAACTGAATAAAATGAATTCCCAGAATTCGATATGTTTTGGCACGTGTTGAAGAGATTTTTATGCGTTTCTTCTCGCAATTCTCTTCTAGGGATCGATCTACGAATGGGTGCGTCAGCACAGACTTCACCACAAAGTCTTCAAGACGCCCGATGATCCCTACTACAGCGACAAGGACCTCCTGCACAGCCAGGTCCTGACGCAAATCCGCACGCTGAGCGTGAAGCAACAGCGAATGCTTGACGCCATCGACATGAGTGACATCGAGGATGACAAAATCGTGATGTTCCAGAAGAAGTTCTACTGGATTCTCTACCTGATCTTCTTCGTCCTGCTGCCCATCAATGCGCCCCTTGAGTACTGGAATGACACGGTGCAGGCCGCCCTGTTCGTGGCCTTCTCCCTGCGCTACATGATCGTGATCAACGTGGCGTGGCTCGTAAACTCCGCACACTTCATCTGGGGTCTCGACAAGAACTTCAAGCAGTCCGACTCGAATCTCATCTTCGTCATCACCAAGACTTACTGGCCTCAATACCACTACCTCATGCCGTGGGACTATCAGACGGGAGAATTCGGAAACTATGGTAAGAAGGAATCTCTGACGTTGTTCATCTTTGGGGTTTTTCTCATGTGATGCAAACTCTGGAGTTGAGTCAATTAATCTCTTTAACACACGTCTTTGATCGGCATTGCACGTGCTTTTGCGCATATAGGCATCTCACCACTAATTTTCGTCCACGAGGAGTCGCCATAAAACCTCATTCATTTGAATATTGAAATCTTCTCCCCCAGTTTCTCTTGGACAGTATGTGACATTTGTGGCAATTTACAGTGGCACATGTGAGGCAGCAATAAAACAACTGCGGGAAGTCTCCTTTTCTGATCACCTCCTCCAGAAACATTGAGACAAAAAAACAGTATTAATCACGATAATGATATTGAAAGTGACAAGAGCAGCCCAAGGAAAATTTTTATGCTATAATGCAAATTACCAAATAATCATTTTTTCTTTTCCACCATGCGAAACTATAAAAAATATTAATATATGTCATCAAAAAAAAAACTTCCCACCACAATCTCAACACTCAACAAAATACGCGATCAACGCATAAGTTTCTCTTCGCGCGGATTATGGGGTGATTAATCAAATTTAGAAGAAAAATGCTAGTTCGACTAGTGGCATACGGTAGTATTAATGAATTGCCTAAAATGAGCATTTTAATCTTAAATATCGTATTAATTTATGATAACGAATACATATCTCATCGTGCTTCATTATCTTGTTAAAGGTTGCTAGTGACGAGATGGCCTTTTCTCCTGAAAGAAAATCACCTCATTTACACACTAAATCTCGTGATCTATATAATTCCAGTCAGTTTCTTCACGGCTCTTTGCGATTTTTTCAGGCGAAGGACTCACCACGATACTGATTCGGGTATTCGCGGCTCTAGAACTGGCCTCAGATCTGTCCACCATCTCCACGGATGCCGTGAAGACTGGACTCACCATGGCGGTGGACTCTGGACGGCCCGTGGTGGATTGCTTGCGAGAGGCTGGAATAGCTGAGATGGAGAAATACCCCAAAGTCTGTCGTGCCTACAACAAGTAGAAAACACATACAATTTCCCCCAATTTATCCATCACCGAGCATCGAATATGAAAGAGTCCAAATTGCAGATGATGCAATGCCCCACAAATATTCTATCGCCCCGGATTCAAGCACTCTTATCGAAGGTTGTGCGTGTGTGAATTATTTGCCACTTATTCAACACAGTCTCTTCCCCTTTTTCCTTTACTTTTTTCTTACTGTATCGCAAAATTTTCTCTTATCTCTTTGTGTATAAAATGATATTTTTTTTGGTTAATAAAGGAGTTAAACATATGAAGAAATGCACGATGTCTGTGGGTGCAGTTTAAAGGTCATCACTGCCGATTGCTAATTCACAGAATGGTGTGGTCTAGGTGTCGAGACATGTAGACTTTGTGGGCTTTATGCTGTACTCGTGGCACATGAATTAGAGATAATCTTCTGCGTAATAAAACTTTTGTGCTGTTCTTTGTCTTTAAGTGTTCATAACACTTGGATTGCACCACGCTGTTATTGTGAAAAAATGATGAATTTCACCTAATCTTCCACTCACTCTCTCTGCTGTGACTATGATCACGAAAACATTTACAGCTTCTCGACCGTTGGAATTTGCAGACTATAAAAATGTTTGAATCATCATTTAAATTTTACAGCTTCAGAACTTTTTTTTAGTAGTTTTTCCACACATTTCAACGCTCCAGTCGGTCATTTTACGACCCTTTAACCCAGAGACAGTGTTTGACTTACATTTTTCTGGTTCACTGATCTCGCTCATTCATAAGTTGTAGGCAACGCTGAAACAGTGGCAAGGTCAGCGGAATGGCAATAATGTGATTCCGATGCGAGGCGGGAAGACGGAGAGTCTTGAAATGCGATAACTTTTTTATTGCGATCGCTAATCCATCCGCAATCCTCTGTGTACCTGACCACAGACCGATCTAACTTGTTTTGCTCCACCATCGACAGTGCAGATAAGATAGCGTATCGCCGGAAATCTCTGGAGCTTTGCTGGTGGTACAAGCAAATGGACTAATTAATGCGGGATCAGCCGCAGTGACGAAGGTAAGTGTGGATTTGGATGAAGACACACGGTGCCTTTTAATTAAAAATTCATTTGAAGCCACCAACGAATTCTGATGTTCATAATGACGTGTTAAGGTCAAATTTGAGGTATTTTTTCAGACATGGCAACTCTGGGTGAAAAACACAATTTTTCCTAATAATCAACAAGAGTTGAATAATTAAGCTTCCACGGTATTTTACGAAATTATTGAAATATTAGCAACAAAAAAGCAAATGCGTACAGATAAACTTCAATGTTTGGATTTTCACTTGTCAATGAAAAGCTGAGGAAAAAAACGTGATGAATCTCAAGACTTTTTACCTTCCTCATATCAACTTCCACCAATACTTGGTGCAGAGGCAAGAATTCAGCAATGAAAACTCTGGGGAATTGTGGGAAAAAAATGATAATGCCGAGATACTTGAACGAGGAAATTACACAAAACATCTCACAAACCATGATTAATCGGCGTATGAATCAAACTCAGGCGAAGATTCACCCGAAGATGGGCAAAAAGATGCTTTTGTGCAGCGGAATGAAATTCAATGCGGCTACATTGGCCTCAATATTTTGGTAGCAATGAAAATTTTATTACTATTATGGCATTATGATTATTCATTCATACATACTCAGCATTCATTATCACCTGATATATTTGAATTAGTCAGAAGCAAGTCGGTGTTGAGACAAGATCGTAAATTATGCTAAGATTTACTTCCATTTGCGCCATCATTTTTACCTTGCCCGAGAAATTTCTGACAAAAAAGACAAATAGCTCAATTTTTCAGTAAATTCAGCAATAATCAAATGATAAGTAAGCCTTTCTGAGGTGTTGAGCAACCAGCAGAGCTTGACTTTTTGTCTTATGTAAAATAACAAATGATCGTCTCACTCGGTATTTGACTTTGCGAGAAAAGAATTGTCCCCAACACACCGAACCAATCGCACTCTTGCGGTCAGTTTAGTCGCAGGCATTCCCGTCTGACTGAATTCACGCACTGTCTTAACTTCTTCTCCGGCGCTGCTAAGGTTATGCGCATATATCAATGTCGAAAAATTAATAAAAGTAATTTACGAAATTCACAAACACCCAAAATTTTACTTTTTTTTTACCAAATTCAATGTCAATCTGCGTAATCGAAAGCTTACACATTCTATGTTCGTTATGTGCTGGAGTCCTGTTGAAATAGTGTACTTGAAGTTGCAAATCTAATCGCAACATGATATGGTGTCAAGTGCAATTTTTGCTAAATTAAAGGTCAGGAAGAGATGCAGACTACAAAGTGGAGAGTTTTTTGATTTCGCAAATTGATATTAATCTACAAAATTACGAAGTAATTCTGGTGAATTCGCATATCTCTCATAATTAATAGGAAGCTAATTGAATATTTTATTCCTATTATCCTATTATCCCCAATTAATCATGACCTTTTGTGTCTGTGCACAAAAATGCCAAGAATAAAATTCCCTAAGCAAACGTATAAAGTCTCTGTATTATTCTAATTGCGCATAGAAACATAAACTTTACAGGAAACATCGATATGTAAAAATCCTCAATCACATAGAAAGTCATCTGTGAGATCAATGAAGCTGTTAATCTCTTACGTATGATATTCTTTTATATACGTACAAACGCAGTATAGTAAAATGTTTGTCGTGTAGGAAAACGCCTTAAACACAACACAAGCTGATAAATTAATAAGTATATAAAAAATTATTGCGTCATTTTAAACATCACGATTTCTCATCTGAAGTCCAACAGAAAAATTGCATAGAATCGAAGAGCTGTAAAAAAAGGCAAAGCTTTACACCCAATCATGAATTTCCAGCGCTGAGAAAAGCTCCTAACGTGGCTTGCTTGAGATACCGGATGGTAATAATGTGACGATTATAGTAAATTGACTTCTGTTTGCGCTCGTTTGGACATCATTTCACTAATCAAAAGTCATTTAGAATGACTAACGACGCATATTTGTTAAAAAGTCCGATTAGACTATTGTTTGTCCCCATTGAATTTGTTGTTTTTACACGTCTTTCCATCACACAATTAATTCTGCTAATTGTTGGCATGAGTTTGCAGAAGAATTTAGGGAGAGGAAAATGGAAACAGTGTTAAGGCTTCGTGGGAATTTTGTATGACCACCAGAATCAATGTATTACTCTCGCTGATATTGAATTCTCTGGCGAATAATCACTTTGCATTCACGATAGTACACCTTATGCGGATTGAAAGTTCAAGACTATCTGTCGGTAATTTGCCATTCAATTATGATTGAATTTCCCGAAAAAACAGCGAAAATATTACTGAAGGATTCTTTATTATTCTCTAACAGCAAAAATATTGATGAAATCTTTGATATTTAAGATGGTATTACATCTGACACTGAGCGGTGAAAATGGTGCAAAAAGTGTAGGAAATCTGTCAGTTTCTTTCTATAGGATCTTCCTTGTACCAAATGGGCGAATGCTTATGATGTATTGTGTAATTAAAAAAAAGAGGTGTGAATGTGTAAAATAAATATTATGATCTTTTCGAAATGTAATTATTGCAAATTTTCCATTCAAAGTGTCATAAGAAAATTAACTGCTGAGAATGCATTTTTGGTGTAGCAACTTGGTCATTATTAAATGCAATTTAATAAAAATCCACCAGTCGTATTGAGGTGTCGGAGTGATCCAGAAGTAGAACAGTCAAGGTGTCTCTCAATTTCGCAGTGCCTCTGAAGGAGGAAATTCATAGAAAATTGGCCAAAACAGGTAAAAAAAAAAATCCTCCTCAATCACTTCCTGAATATGCAATTCGAGGGAAGAATTTTTCCTTCCGTGTCTCTTGGGAGATTCTCCTCTCATCTCTCCGAGTGCTGGCAGAGGAATAATTGATCCTCCGACCTCTCTCACTGATGGATTCAAAGAAAAACCGGTAAAGCAGACACAAGTCACGAACGGAGTGACCATTTGAAATTGAAGAGGAGGGATCGTCTTTATATAAAGACCATAGCAGCAATCTGTATGGTTTAGTCTTTTAAAAATTAACGACACACTCATGTATTGCACGAGCTGCTCCTCAGTGAAAATAACATAATAATTGAATTTCTATTGATTCTCCAGTGAAGTGATTTGCGCCAGGAATAGATTTAATCGTTTATTTCTGAGCAAAAGGATTGCAGCTGCACATTGGCCACAAATAGGATAGCATATATAAATCTTTGATTAAAATAAGGAGTGTTCCGTGCTGTGCGCCCTCTCAAATGTGAATAAGATACATTTTTCCTTACAAATTACCATACTTTGTGACTCTGAGGCACACTCTAGAGTGGGCTAAATTTATTCACCGCGACTCAATTAACAGATTGTCTTCCATCCCAGACGAGGAGGATCACAAGACGTGACCATGACACAATTGTCGACGATGACGATGGTGGCAGGAACAACCGCCGATGGACACTTTGAAAGTGGATTAGCTAATGCTCACAAGAGAAGTGCTAACAAATTTTATGCAACAGTGAATGACAGTGATGACACGTTCAATAATAATAATAATAACGAGGGCAAGAGCCAATTGAATAGCATAAGTGACCAAAGTGAATATGACCCGAAGGATAAGGAAGTCGCGGAGGAGGAGGAGGAGTACGAGTATCTCGGGATTAAATTCAAGCAGCCGCTGAAGGTGATTAACGCCGTGTCCATCATTGGATTCCACCTCGTGTCGCTCTATGCATTCCTAGTGAATTTCCGCTCGCCGCACTTCTTCACCGTGGCTTGGGGTAAGTCCAGACTGATTGAATATCTCGCAGATATCATGTGCCGAAATTTCCATAAATAGGATGGGCAGCACAAATTGCTCAAGGTTCAAAATTAATCACAATAATCCGGCAAAAATGCTAAATGCCTCTTCCTGTACACGTGAAAAAAATCCCCATATCAAGATCATGTCCAAAAATCTACCAACATTGCGCAATTTGCGAAGGATTTTCCATGATAAATTCACACGATGTGTGTTGTAATTAATTAAATGAAGAAGTGGCGAATTGCAAAGGCATTAGAGTACGAGAATAATATTTGGTGAAGTTAATGAGTTACATTAATTTCTGGAGGTTGCAGTTTCTCTAGGCATATTAATATCATTGCCACTCTGTATTATGATTTCTTCACGACTTTTGTGGCAATTGTTTAATTCAAACAAACCACAATCCCATAGAAATGGAGAAAAAGACTCCGTCAATCTGTTGATCACTCAATTTCACGCGATATGTGAGTATTTGAACAAGAAAAACAGTCTCAATTGATTTATCTCAGTGGAATTTCCCCACATAACATTTAATCAGTGATGAAAGAGGCATTATGAGTTTGTGTCATCTCACAGTTTTATCCGATTTATTTAGAAAATTGACTATTACGGAACTGTGAGTGAAAAAAAGGGCCAAGGTTTTGTCAATAATAATGGAGGAAAAAATTCTTCCTAGACTTTATTGATCTTTGGCAATTTCAAAGGTTACTTCATCAGAAATATATGTGATCACATCGTCATACTTCATGCAAAATTCCCCGATTGTCTCACGTTGAGCTGAAGTCCGGAAAATTCAACAATAAATGCAACCACAACAAGCACGCCTCTTGTTGCAATAGCACTCGAGTGACCTCAAAAACTCAATAGGTTTTTGCCAACTCTGCATCATTTCCTTTATGAATTGAAGTGAATTCCATCAAATACTTTACTGTGCATCGCTCATAACATTGCTGTAGCGCGAAAATGTGTTGTAATCTCGCATTAAGCCTCTTAATTTTTCAAATTAACAGCCTTTATCGTGGGTGGAATTGGCGGATTCGGCGTGACTGCAGGTGCGCACAGACACTGGAGTCATAAGGCGTACAAGGCGAAGACACCACTCCGGGTTATCTTGGCTCTCTGCTTCTCAGTTGCCGGGCAGGTACGGGAAGATTATAGATTAGATTGTCTAACAAATTCATATATTCTGACCCGGCAAAGAAATATGCTAATTACTTTCATTCACTCATCTCATTAGAATACCATTTTCGATTGGACGCGCGACCACCGGGTCCACCATAAATTCTCCGAGACGGACGCCGATCCGCACAACTCCAATCGGGGCTTCTTCTTTGCCCACGTCGGCTGGCTCATGATGAAGAAACATCCCGATGTCATCCGAAAGGGCAACCAGGTGGACATGAGTGACATTCTCGCCGATCCCGTGGTGCAGTGGCATCAGAAGTAAGTACGCGCGAGCATCGCGTCGCACTTGCAATTATCGCAATGATGCTAATCGCGCAAAAGGGTCATAGACATAAATAACAGCTTTATGATCATGTGTCTTCGTGCAACAATCAAATGCATTGAGTATCAAAAAAATGTGTGGAGGTGTTCTTGAAACGTCTCTTGAGCAATGTCTGCGTTAAAATTAAATTACCAAAAGGCCTCAATGAAGATGCTAAAATTCCCCACATTGCTTCAATTCATTAGACAGCCAGCTAACATGTAAAAAATCAATGTCAACGCACTGTAAAATGCACAGAAGTTCAGTTTAAGCTGAGCAAAAAAAAGCGAAATCATCATCCGTAATAGCGCTCGCAAGAAAAACCAAAATTCAAACCTTGACTTCTAATTCATCATTACCACTGAGGTGAACATATAGTAATTGAATTATGCTCCGTTGCCCCCTTCTGCTGTATAATCATTCAATAAATTAAACTATTAAACACCTAAAATATCTCCTTTAGGGCCACATCAATTTTCATAGTTCCTTCTATTCGTATAAGTTTTGCATAAATTAGCATTAAAAATCCTCCACTCGAGAGTCTGCGAAGAAATTCGGAAAAAACATAAATCAGGCGCATATTAATTATTGCAAACCACGATCTGTATCTTCCACTGATAGTGGCTGATGGTGATCGAGACTTTGGTCACGTAGTCTCTGCCGAAGAGAGACAAATCTGCGCAAAAGCTCCCATAAATAATGTCCAAAGTCACGTAGCTACTGAATGAATTTTGCAGTACCAGTATAAGTTTCATTTCCAAGAAATTCGCCGAATACGCCAGAGAGGCGAAGAAATTGCTCACAGCAGGCATTTTCCACACTCTTCGTCAGCATCCACGTGAGAAGCAACACTCACACGATCACAAATCTCATCATACAACCATAAAAGTGTCACATAAATTATCTAATTCAGCATAAGGAATAAATTTGCATTCGTATTTAGTGATCTTTGCTAATAATTTGCATATTTCCGAATTAATATCAATGATCATGTTATATCGCACCTTCAATGACAATATTGCATCAAAGATTCTTCACGACGACCTCCTTATTGACGATCGGGATCAATGGACGCCGATTAGTGTTACGGAAGATGCTCAATTTCCTCCTCTTATCACACTCTACAGATACTTTGTGCCACTGAAGTTGCTTCTCTGCTTCGTGCTTCCAACCATTACACCTGTCTACATGTGGAACGAGGAGTGGATAATCTCCATCTTCACTCTCTCCTTCATCCGATACGTCTTCGCTCTGAACTTCACATGGCTGGTCAACAGTGCCGCTCACATGTGGGGAAACAAGCCATACGACAGGTAAGCTCTCTTCCTCCGCTTGTGACGATCCACACTCAACTTTCTCTCCTTGTCCGCCAGGAAAATCAATCCATCGGAAAATCTCACCGTGTCCCTCGTGTCTATGGGCGAGGGATGGCACAACTATCACCATACGTTCCCTTGGGACTACAAGGCGGCTGAATTCGGTGATTTCAGATACAACATTACAACGTCGATCCTCAGACTCTTCGCCAAGATCGGCTGGGCGTACGATCTGAAGGAGCCTTCGCAGGAGCTCATTCGCAAGACCATCGCGCGCAATGGCGATGGATCTCACCACGAGCACGGCCACCGGAGCATGCCGGATGAGATTCCCATGGAGGCGGACGAGAACTCGAATTTAGTAGAATAGGGAATTTTGAAATGCCTTGAAGAGTAATCAAAGCAGGAATCCAGATAATCCCACAATCCGAGAATACAAGTGAAAGTCTAAGCTTTCGGCTAATCTATTTAATTTAAGGGATTTGTATATTTATATAGATTTTACAAAGCAGATTCTTTTACAACTGAGTTTACGTACATTGAGCTAGTGAATATATTCATGTAGAACTTTTTACAAACACGGATTTCAAGTGGCTGTGTTATGCCTTCATTTGAGTGTTTCGCATTAGTGAAATGCAATTTCTGGTACGTTTTTTTATACTGTAAAAGTCATTGGTATTTTACACGAGGTGTATATTATTGTAATATGAATTGGAGACTAAATAAAGACAAATGAGCAAAATATAATAAGAAATCATGTTTATATGACGTTGCTATTCCTCGAAAAATTTTATAGGTCAAATTAAAAAGCGCTACGACAAATTTTCTCAAGTGTACTTCACCCAATAAAACGTAATGCATTGCATTTTTCAATTGGGTTATTAGCGTCACAAAGGCTTGGAGTGCAATTGTGGAATTTCTCGCGACATGTAAAGAATAAGACATTATGAAAAGGGCATCAATTTCGAGTTCTCAGTGCTGAGTCATCGGCAGAAATATTCTAAACTGTATAAAATTAATTTGCCAAAATTGTGAAGATTTTAGATAGTGAGATATTCGAGGATTTCCTCATTTTTCCATCGTTTCCCGGGTGAACCGAAGTTCAACATCATGCTTACGTAGAATATTTCTTTACTTGATTAAGAAACTGAGAATTGCTTCAATCGATCAAATGGAAAAATTTCAGATTATATGGAGAATAAATATGAATTTTGATCAGTTCTTATAATTTGTGTTAACAAAGAACTCCATTGGCTTTTCATCCACTGATCATATTTCACAACTAATATCAAGTTTTTGAAAGATCAAACGCGCTATTAAATAAGGTTTAACTCGCTGTAAACTAGACATTTTGCAACAGGTACAGTGACTTGTGCTCTACGGGAATTCCTGACTCCAAATCTCACACGATCAACCAAGTTCAGATCAGTGGCAGAGCTTTTATAAGAATATATATTTGAAGTCCTGCTGATCGAATCCGCTTGGATTCATATCCATTCGAGCATTTCTTCATTATCACAAAAAATCAATAGATTTTCACTTAATATTCAATATATGCAGATGAGGCATGAACTTGAAAATTTGAAATTCACCAGTACAAATGTATGAAAGACATACATTAATAGTCTGTATCTCACATTATAAACCCATTGAAGTGATGAATAATTAATTTAAAGAAAAAAATAACCAATGGCATGAATCTGGACGCAATAATTCAACATCAAACAACTTGATATTCATATAACAGAAATGTGAATTTTTATCATCTGATATAAGCTGAACCAGTTTCCAGTGAGTTTTCGCAGCGCCACATTTGGGTGGATTCTATTCATACTGTAAAGAAAAAAAAGACAATTCTTCTTCCACCTGTCAATGATATATGTTTCTCTTCACCTTTAAATTCCCTTCCCTTGTATTTCAAAATTAAATAAATTCTAATTTTTCAATAATGACATATTTTCGAATTTAAATAATAATAAACTACTTAACATTAAATTCCATATCGCCGTACAATACATTAAATCTTTAGTTTTTGTGTCCTTACTTTTGCCCTTAATTTGTCCTTAGTTTACGACTTTTTGTATAATTCTTATCTTTTACACAATTTCAGCCGTAGCTCTTTTTATTAGTTCTCAATATTTTTTATGTACTTCTTTTTTTCCTTATCCTGATATATAGTTCATTTACGTGTTATTTTTTAAATTGTTCTTTTTTGTAACACAGCCTTAATCTTAATTAACTTTGTTAAACAACTGTAATATTACGAAATTTACTAAAAAAAGTCGTGTTCTTGAATTTTTGTTAAAATTAGCATTAATCCAATTCACTGTAATATTAGAACATTAGAATATTTCCCGTGTGTGAATTTACAGACATTTTCCCATTAGGACAGAATACATAAAAAAAATTAATAGTGTCCGTAACTGCCTAAATGTTCTCCCGTCTTAGCCTATGTATGCAAACGGCCTGATTCATTGTAAATTACGAGCATTTCGAATCTTTTTCTGGACATTGCACGATAGTAGCCGTTATATCTTTGCGTTTGAAAAACTTGATACTACAAGGTGTTCCGAAAGCTTTGCTGACGAAACCACGCGAAACACATGCGTTAGTCACGGCGTCAGTCAGACTGAGGCCAATATAGTGGCGATGAGAGGGATGCATAGTGTGAGAAGTATATCACGCCACTACCACGTTTCCACTCCACTCTCGGCACTCTCTTTCGATCACGCCACAATCGCGGAGCAGCGATGCTGAGCGCCATACGGTCGTCTCGCTCCAATGTGACATGCTCACCGAGCAAGAGGAAAAAATGTATCGGCCGATGCACATGTGAGATATAGAAATTGCCCATGACCTCGACCGTGGACAGTCTCAAGAGCGGCGGTCTTTTTTCGGCGTAACATCCTCATTAGATAAATTAGATTAGGGGACGCTCTATCTGATATGAACTTCCACCGTTGAACTTATGATCACATAGATTGAGTCAGGTTGGGGAAGATGACGATGAATATGGAACACCTTTGAACTGTGGGTGAGTTTATCGCCACGTGATAGCGTCCTGACTGATGGAGAGGAGCATAGAAAGTTGCGATAAGGGGAATCGCGGCTTCTGAGTAATTGTGTGACACCGAGACTAAATGTTGACATTATGAGGGGTCAATGGGTAACGAATGAGAACATGTGACTCAGAATGTGGCATGATATGTTCTTGGGTGGACATGATTCAAATTGGAATTGAAAAAAAGATATTTCCAGAATCATTGCAAATTTCCCAACATCGGATGAAATGCTAGAAAAATAAATAACAACGCCCAAACATTTTTCTGTGCGTCAATCGGCGTTTGTCAGCTATTGAATACAATGCAAAAATGGTAGGAAAAGTTGGGAATAACAAGCCCCCGCAACCTGTTTCAGAACATCCATCTGATTGGGCCGTAGGTTCTGGAGAAAATCGCGTGATTCCGCTAAAATTGAATTAGAGGAGCAAAAAAAGGAAATTGACCAAATTCTCTCCCTCGCCCGATCCTCTCGCTCGCCCTCATGCAAGACACTCCGATGAGACTTTGTGTGAGACATCGTACTATATCGTGCGACGCAAGCACTGCCTATGCCTCCATCTCACTTGTGCCCCAACGTGGTCTGATGAATTTGCCATTTCATTCGCGCTCTCTCGCCACTCTGCTCACTCTTGCGCAATTCTATCGACTGAGCTGCGGCCGTTCTTCCTCTGCGGGCTGCATTTTCACAGTGTACACCTCATTGTGTGACGCACTGTGAGCGAGAAGTAACGTTAATTCGATTCCATCCCGCTGAAAGTTTGTTAAGTTACAGTTTTGGCCCAGTGTGATAAGCGAGAGAGAGGGAGGCCCTCCATTTCCCCACTTCTTGCGTGTGTGAAGCCAAAGGTCTTATCGATTTGAAAGACAGTGATTGTTGTAAGTAGTGATGAAATTCCCACTGGATCTGCTGTCATCTGTATTTGAGCTATTTCACTCCACATAATCGTGGACGATTGAGCTGGCCCGCGATAACTGCCGGACTCTTTTCCATAATCCCGCCTGACAACCACACACAAGCCGCCAGTTGTGCCAATGTGTGTTCCGAGGCACGTTGCAACTGACACTCCTTATCACGTTTAGTCGCGAATAAAATCGGCGATCGGGGCGAGCGTCGCAATCAATTGAACTCCTGCCATCGCCGTCGATGGAAGTGTGACTTGCTCGCGCGTTTTCACGAATCGATTCCCTCACTTGCACTGCAAGGTAAGGAGTGTTGGCACATATTGTCAGTTGTGACATTGCGGGGTTCTCAAATACCGACGACAGCCGTGGTGTGTTGGAAGATATTTGCCAAAAGCCTGAGAATTGAGTAACAGTGTACCGGAAAATCAGGTGATCACGTCTCTACTCTTCAACAGCCAACCAAATCATCCCGTTTCTTCGCGCGGAATAATTGCACACAGGCAAATCAGTTGCCGGGTGTCGACCGAGCGGACACATCTCGCGAATTCCCAGTGTGATTTCGCCAGAGAGAGGATAGCTGACCACACTTTCCACACAACTCAAAAGCTCTGGGTAAGTTTTTGCCTCCATTCACAATTTCGCTATTTCGAGATATGTGTGTGATTAATCTGAAAGCCGCACACGCAGTGCAGCATTTGTGGGAAAGAGATGAACGACCTTTCTCTGCAAACGCAAGAAGTAAATGAATATCTCATTGAGAGTTCTCATTACATAATTCCTACACTTTTTTTCCACCTCCTTTTTTCGTAATAACACGGAACATTTTTTCCAACTCCCATCAATCTATCTCTGCAATAGTGGACCTTTTGGCTCGCACTCTATCATTGCACATCAATCAAGCAGCTAATTTGGCCATTTCACTAAAATATGCCACGCATAGGAACACCTCTCATTACATATTGCAGCAGAGCATGTAGAGAAATGATGAGTGCGAGATAAATTGGGATGATAGTGACTCTCGCGGAGCTCTTGACTTTGTCAAAATGTCATGCGGCGTTGCAAATTCAGCATCTCATTGAAAATCTCTAAATTTTCAACTGTAAATCAGTCTCGATGTGCGTTTGTGTTAGAAGAGCGCGAGTTGAAATGTACGTGAATGAGTTCATTTGTACTTTCCGCTCCTATGAGTAACGCAATCTTCCATTGTAGTCTATAAGCGGGATTCAATTTGAATATGCAAAATATACACGATAAAGTCTCTCAAGAAAGTCTGACAAATTGACTTATCAACATTCTAAGTAAAAGACACTTTTGAGAGTCCTTGAAACATGCTTTAGAGAGATGCTATATAGAAGAACACTAATGGGAAGAATGTGGTTTATTTTTGGACTTGTTTTCAGTGCAACTCTACACTTAATTTGCAATATCTCCACTTGGCTTTTAAGTGTAGAGTGTAAATAAACATTTACAGAGATAAAAGTCGCAGATGACAATTTAAAAAAAAAAAACAGTTGTGAAGAGTTTGGCTAGATTAGATGGAAATTTTCGAAATGTCACTTTCCATTGTTCCCCTCTTATTAATCCACTATTATTCAGAATATAAATTATATTTTCTCTTTCGGGCATGTCTTTATTGTGAAACATTAAGTGACACTTCCTGTAATTATAATGATAGTTTAGAAATGGACTATGATACCCAAGTGAAGAGTTTTCGCCGAGCTTCTAAGCGTAGTTAATCCAATCTTAATTCTCTACTGTAAATAATTTGTTTTTCCTTCTCAAGACAAAGTTCACTGAGTAAACAGTGCGAATACAGTAAATTTAGTATCAATCTTAGTGTCAATATTCAGTCAGTTCAAAGACCGCTTTTCAATTAGATATTCATCAAGCATTTGTCTTATCTACTCTGGGTGAATTCGGAATTGCCGAAGGACTTGAGAGAGAAAAAATAGCTTAATCATCGAGAAAGAACTTGCGAGCTTTATCTGAAGCGAGTGGATTAATGTTTCGCTGGGACATAAAAAAGAGCGTGTTGTCAAGTAAGCACATTATCGGGGTGAAAAAGCAGTGAATTTAATTGCCAATTTTGCGATTTACAATATTGGTCATAAACACAAGTAAGGAATATTGATAAGCAAATCACAAAATCTACTCGTGACGCTCAATTTCCCAAAGTCTGCACTGTTTTTTCTCCACGATACCGCGTTTGTTATCACGACTGAAAAGCAGCGAGGCGCGATAGCAACCGCCTGGATGGACTCCACGCGTAGGGTTAATTGAGTGCTCTCTCGAATGGTGGGTTAAAAATAAGACGATCAAAGGTCAAAGCGCACGAATTTATCAGAGAATTGTGATATCAGCAAATTATTAATTTGCATGACAGAGGTGTTGTTTGTTTTAGAAATTAAATTTCACGGCCAAGAGGAAAGCCAATGAAATATGATGCGAAAGTCCAATCTAATCTGTTGACAAAGCTGAGCTTTTGGCGCTGAATGACAAGGTGATAGCGGCGCTATCAGATGAAATCAGCTGGTGGTCTACGTGAAAACGTTCATTCTCTTCTATGGATATTTGCTGGAGGAAATCCAAGGAGTTTTGAAGCATTTACGGTGCTCAATTGCTTATGCAAAGCAGAGTGACATTCTGAGGTCAAGATGCAAAATGCGAGAAAAGCCAGGTGTAAGAAATAGTAAAAGAATCACATTGTTTATTTCTGCAAATTGTCGCCACAATTAGGAATGTCCCCCGCCTTTTCTTAGTAATTTATGTGCATAAACTTTATCCCATTTTGGGGTCCTTCTCTATTTGCACACGCCTCAATTTGCATAATCACATGCCGAGGTTGGGTAAAGAGGAAGGATGGCTTTTTGGGAGATGTATATAGTTCAGTTGAGGCTGAAATTGAGTAGTCATTGCGAAAATTGACCTATTCCTGACCTCGAACGCACCGCAATTGTGACTTGCAAATAAAACTAGACTGTTTGGGTGTCTTCAATTCGCGACTGCCTTGGGGGTTGACGGTGGAGCAGAGCGCCGCTTTCCCCAGGCAAGTGACGTCATTGGGTGGGAAGACATCGGATGTTTGCTCGCTGTGCAGCGCGCTCTGGCGTGGGGTTGAAACGGATGATGCCGGTGTGATTTCCACTCATGCTCAGTTGATGCACTTGACGAATTTCGAGGGGGAGAAGGCCAAAGCACACAGAATCTTGTCTCTCCCTCTCTGCTCAGTGCTCCGCAGAAGCTCGTAGAATTTCCATCGACATTTCGGTTTTTTCATAACTTCCATATATAAAATATTTATTTGCTCAAGACAGCAGTGCGTTACCATTTTGTGAGTTTGTGACGAAATTCAGCTTCGAAGGGCATCTCGAAAGCGTGTGTGTGGAGAAAAGCTACTCTTGCTGCAGAATAATGGGGTTGGTTTCGTGGCAATTCATGAGATCAAATTGCGAGATGTGAAAACTGCGTAATTTTTTCTCCTTTGTGTGCACAATCCAGTTTTTCCCGCTTTTCATCATGCTCAGTCACACATTTCAGCTGCAATACGTTTGGTCGATGACGAAATTAACTTTGGCGCTTTCCATGTCTTTGGACTTTTCCAGCTACAAGGAGTTGGCATAGAAAATCCCCCAAAAATATATTGCAGTTTGACAAAAGTGGCCTTCAAATTTAACCATTCCTAACGCGCCCCATCGTGAGAACACTTCTTTTGTCACATCGTCCAGGGTTAAATTTGATTTTCTTTTTCCTGCACTTCACACCAATTGAAGTCATTCTTCCACCCGTTTATCATTATCACATTCACGACTTTTTCTTTTCTCGTGTGTTATATTTTTTATGTCGCTTGTGGTTCTATAAAATCTATATTTCCTCCTGTGAGAGTGTGAAAAAATGTTTCTGTGCAAATGATGGCTAAATTGGCAACAACAATTTCATTGCATAAGAAAAAACTTCAAGTACTTGAGGTGGATTTTTGCTCTAATTACAATTTATTTTCCCTTTCCCTTGCATGGAATCAGTTGCGTAGAAATGCCGCCAAACGCCACATCAACCACGTCGACGTGCACAGGAGTGCTCAATGAGAATGACGCGGAGACCGTCGATGGAGGACTGCTGAACAACATAGAAACCCTGAAGAAGGCCGAGAAGAGGAGACTCAAGCTGGTCTGGCGAAATATCATTGCGTTTGGATACCTGCATCTTGCCGCCCTCTTCGGCGCCTATCGGCTTTTCACATCCGCCAAACTCTTCACAGTACTTTTCGGTTAGTATTATCTTCCCTTATCACTTATCTCATTTGTTACTGCGATTGGGACAAAAGCAGGATCTTTTTTGTACACTAGAAATTAAATATTAAGCTTTAAGAGTCACTTTTGAGGGTCCCTTTTTCTTCTCCTGTTTATGATGGCTTCTAAACAAAATTTATTGTGTAAAAAGCACTTTTATGTAGGGTTATTATTATATTTTGACCAATTACGAACACAGAAAATTGTTCTGAATATGAACAAGTCTAGTTTTTCATCAAGTTTCGCTTGCCGATACGGAAAGTCTTGCAAAATTTGTCAGATATTTGCCTTTTCTCTCTATATAAATTTTCCACGCAAATCCAATGCAAAACATATTGGCTGGCGGTGAAGAAACTCTCGAGGAAAAGAGACGTGTGAGAGATTTAATTGCCTCACCGAAGTGTGGTGGCTGCTTATTAAATTGCGATAATTTCAATTGAAATACTTGCAATAAATATGTTACAGTTTCTCCCGTAAGCAGTAAAATTACTCCATACGATTGTTTCTCGATCTCCGAATACTTCTTGAGTTAATTATTTCTCTAATCGTTGCTGTGAGAAAAATGGTGTTGCGAAAAGATTAGCTGACACGGAAAAAAGTTGTTTAGAGAGCCATAAAGCCATCCTGAGATCACAAGTTACACAATTTTGAATAATATAGCACGATAAGGATTGCGATAGGAATTCTTTTCGGTCGCATGACTTGTGATGGTTTTTTCCTCTCTCGCGCTGTGTCGAATGACCTATTCGGATTCACGTAGCCGCTATCAGACACCCAGAGAGTGTCCACTTTTCCTTTTGAAGCTGACTTGTCGTGTGCTGCTGGTCGGTGATAAGACAGCCAGTCTCGCGCCAGTGTCAAAAGGTCACTTCACACGCTTCTGGGGAGTCGCTATGGGCAAATGGGGCAAACATTGTTGGGTGGTTAAACGAGTTTTCGCGTGTCCAGGGGTTGAGAATGCACAATTGTTTCATACAAGATGCAAAAAGCACTTCCACCGGTGGTTTCCTTCCGCGTGCAAATATTACATGAATGTGTATTTTGCATTGAAAAGAACGCTTTTTCGCAAAAACAGCGGCTGATTGGCAATGACGGGCATTCCTTTTCTCCTGCATTTACAGCTTATGTACTGTATGTAATATCGGGCTTGGGAATCACGGCCGGAGCGCACCGATTGTGGGCACATCGATCCTACAAGGCGAAACTGCCGCTGCGCATCCTGCTTGCCATTTTCAACACGATCGCTTTCCAAGATTGCGCCATGCATTGGGCGCGTGATCATCGCGTTCACCACAAGTTCTCAGAGACGGACGCCGATCCTCACAATGCCACCAGGGGCTTCTTCTTCTCCCACGTCGGCTGGCTGCTGTGCCGAAAGCACCCCGACGTGATCGCCAAGGGACGCCAGCTGGACATCTCTGACCTCGAGGCCGATCCTGTACTTCGCATCCAGAAGAAGTGAGTATTTCCCTTCAGCTTCGCATGAGTGAAGCGCGCAATTTGAGGATTTCCCAATATGACCTCACAATGCCACTGAGGTCAGCGCATTAGACGTATATTAGCTAACTTTCTCAGTAACAGACTTTTGCAATACTTAATCATGCATAAAATATTCTAAAGTGATTGAATTACTGTCGCTGACTGTTTACATTTGCGTTAATGAAGCTCATGCATAAGTATAAACTCTATTCGTGGGTAAATTTCTACCAATATTGATTGAATTCTACTGATCTATCAAAGTTAGGGTATTGCTAAATATGCCTCTAAATTATCAGAAGAATTTATGAATGGCAAGAATAAGAACTGACGGATAAGTTTTTTTTTCTGCAAAGCAAAAGTTTAACAACCTTCACAACACCTGGAGAATTTCAGAAACGTAAAACATTTAGTATTTTTAGAGTAATTCAAGCTATTTTATAGTCTGCTATAAGAAAAGTCATTTGCATAGATAACAATTGAGCAAAGGTGAACTTAGAGATTATCAACAATTGTTTTGCAAATATAATCCATCAAAGTTATGGATTAAAGTGTTATTGCAAAGAATATAATTTCTTTTAGTTTAGCATTATTAAGATGAAGTAATGAACACTAAAGTCCACATATTCTGCTTGGTTTTTACGAGCTCTTGAGATAATTTGACCAAAAACACCTTTTTGTGCAGGTATTACATGCTCGCCATGCCCGTGATGTGCTTCATCCTTCCCACCATCATTCCGGTGATGTTCTGGGGTGAATCATGGCTCAATTCCTGGTTCTGCGCCACAATGTTCCGGTACACGTTCGTCCTGAACGTCACATGGCTCGTCAACAGCGCGGCTCACACTTGGGGCGGCAAACCCTATGACAAGTGAGTTGATCCCGAGCGATAGTGGGTTGAGTGAGGGTGTAATGGCTTATTCCCCCGTGCAGGTACATCAATCCGTCTGAGAACAGAGGAGTGGCTATGTTCGCCTTTGGCGAGGGCTGGCACAACTACCACCACGTCTTCCCCTGGGACTACAAGACCGCCGAGCTGGGCAACTACCGTCTCAACACCACCACGGCTTTCATTGATCTGTTCGCGAAGATCGGCTGGGCGTACGATCTCAAGACTGTGTCGTCGGACATCATTGAGAAGCGAGTGAAGAGGACCGGCGACGGCACCCACAATCTGTGGGGCTGGGGTGACAAGGATCAGGATCAGGTGGAGATCGACCATGCGACCATCATGCACAGGAAGGAGGAATAGGCTATTTGAACTGTCAGCGGCGATTCCGGTGAAGTGAACTCATATGATCAATCCTTCAGGAATTACTATCTACCATTTAAATACAAGCAAAAATATTTATAAACTGAATGTGGAAGGATGTCAAGGCCAAATCACATGGTGGATCTTTATAGTTTCAAGATAGTGTGATGTGAAATGATCATGAAGAGAGGGTGAGAGAAAGATAGAGAGAGAAGGAGAGCATGGGAGATCAATGATGCTGCAAATCATACTGATCTCACCTCACACTGTCACCAACTCTATGCAACTGTGAAGGTTTTTTCATTAATTTAGTCATATAAGGCACTTTATGTGTAGAATTCCTTACGAGGACAAAATGTGGAGGTGGAAAGTGGCAGAAAAAGGTACCCAAGAATGGGTTGCCAAAGTGTTGATTTCCCAGTGAGCCATTGTTCTGCTGAGGAGAGAAGGAAGGTTTTCTGTGAGACAAATAACTGGGATATTCAGTGGATCATTATTGAAGAAATACAAGAACCATTTAATAACATTATATTCACTCTATCTTCTAACATTTTCCCAATTCACTAAGAATTTACCCTCACTTGTATTTGAATTTTGAACACTCAGGAATTTCACTGAAACTATTCGAGCTTTTTCAATCTCGCACTTTTTCTACAACACGGAAGAAAAGTACTAAATATTTTTTACAAAATATATGAATCCTTAATAAAAGAAAAGACCCCTATCAATAATTTTCCACTATATTCCGCGAGGTAATGGAATAAATTTAGCGAAGAGAGAATTTTGCCAAAATGAGCGGAGGAGGAGAGATATTACAGAGAAAGAAGAAATATTTATATGTATGAATGTATATAAATGATAAATAAATGTACGTACAGATTTATATGTATGTAGAGGATGGAGAAAAGGGATGTAAGGCGATGTGTTTAGGAACTGAAGGCTGCGAAGAAGAGTAGGATGAAATATTTTTTGAATAAAAAAAAGTAAAGAAGGAAATCAAGAAAATATTTTTAGCAAAAATGGGGGGAAAAAATAGAGAAAACAAATTGGGTTTTGAGGAGGAGTTTTGGTGAGAGGCGAGACGGAAATAATTTTATATGATAGGGAAAATCAATAAAAATTGTATTTCTTACGAATGGCGAAACTTCAGAGAGGCAAATTTCTTTTTTATTACTTTATCTCGTAAGAAATTTTTTATGCATAGTTAGGCAAGTTGTAATTGTTAGAGCATGAGAGAAATCTATATTTAAAGGAAAAAAAAATCGGCATACGACAAAATTTTATGATAAAGAGAAATTATATAAAGAAATTTTCATAGTGAAAAGAAAAAAAATCAATTATTGACAATTTTCTATACACTTTTATTCACTTTTTAAAGGCAAAAGAATGGAGAATTGTGAATTTCGGGGTGAAAAGGTGATTTTGTATGGAATGGAAAATTCTTCAGAATTTCGCAAAGTGTTTTCTTATTCGAAAGTAAGAAAAAAAATTGATAAAGTGTGTTTAATGGGGGAGAAAAGCAAGACGAGAGGATTTTGGAAATGCTCTATATTTTCTACTTAGAATGATATTTTTCTCATGATTCAGAACCGAATGTGTGGACGTTAAAAACAATCCCAGTGGTGAAGTTGAGTTGTGTCAGTGTTTAGGGCTTATAACTACTGAGAAATAAACAGAAGAAAAAAATATTCCTTTTGTGATAAAATGAAAATCATTAGAGAAATAAAAAGTTTTATGAAAAATCACGATTCAGACTTCGTTTTTTCCCTCGCAATTTCATCCGCTTCCCAGTCAGCAATCGGCCTCGCCTTGATGTCGTGGAACTTACCACTCTTGCCAATGCCTTCGGCGAACCGTCGAGATCCCTGGATGGCTTCCTGCACCATTTCTGGCGTCACAGACTCAATTTCATCCTTCACAGCAGCGTCGAAAGATGTGCCATCAAATGTGGCTCTGTACATTGAAGTTCTGTCGTGCAGCAGCGCATTCTGTGGGAACTTTGCGACCGCCACGGCAAGATGCACCGCCTGGCCAACTCCTGAAGCGCAGAGAGACAAGAGTCAGACTCTATCTTGCTCAATCTGGAAATTACTCACCAGTTCCATTGGCCACAAACCGACTGGCGAGGCCCATTTCGAAGGCTTCCTCGGCACTCACTTTTCGTCCCGTGAGCACCATGTCCAGAGCACGAGACAAGCCAATCAGGGCGGGCAGCCGGACAGTGCCTCCATCGATAAGGGGCACCCCGAAGCGCCTGTTGAGGAAGCCAATCACGCAAGTCTCCTCGATGACTCGCAAATCGCACATGAGCGCCAGTTCAAGGCCGTTTCCCACGCAAAACCCATTCATAGCGCACACGAAGGGCTTCCGGAGGAATCTCCTGGTTATCCTGGGGGCTCTTGAGAATGTGCTCTCACTGATGCTGTTCAAATCGTGTCCGGCACAGAAAGTCCCGCCGATCCCATGAAGAACGCCCACCAGAATACTCGGATCCTCTTCAATACGCTCAATCTCCGCGAAGAGACGCACGGTGAGGTCGTCCGTCAGGCAGTTCTGGACAGAAGGTCTGTTGATGCCCACCAGGCCCACATCCCTCTGCCGCGAGACGACAATCTCGCCCGGCTCGACGATCTTCCGGGAACTCTGAGTGTCTGCAAATTCAAGCAGAATTCTTCAATGATTCACGAAGATTGGGGGAAAATTTGATGTTTTCCCACCTGAACTGCATTTCCTTCTAGCTAGAATCGTGGAAAACAAGTGTTTTCTGTGGATTTTTGGCAAAACAACACACACTGACTTCAACATAACCATGCTTTCTGGCTGTTATACAACTCCATGGCGATTATAACAATCCAGCCAGTGGATCGTGTCTTTGCTAAAAGTTTGGAGACTTTTCAAAAGAAATCCGGCTAACAATCGAATCTTTAATAAAGAAAATTTCCATCACGAAAACATTTTATTTGAAAATTTCAGGATTCTGCTGTTCTCTTGACTCGAAAACATCCAGACTTTCAATATTAATTATTACAAGAAGTACAGGGTAAATTTTATATCAAGAAATTTGAATAAATTTCGTTAGATTTTCCTTAGAATAGAAGTTACTTCTAAATTTCTATATAAATGTAGTTAAGTACAAAAAGTATTATGAGTTAGTTAACAATAGAGGTGGAAATTATAAACAATTTTTACACAAGAAAATGCACAACAACAGTGAAAACATCAAATGAAGTTAAGATTCGAAATCACGTTCAATTTTTCTGTGTCTTTTCGGTCTCTTCATTTCTTGATATGTTTCAACTCCATTTGCCCAGATATTTCAATATTTCCTGATAGTTCATCAATGTTGGGTTTCATTACACTGAATTTATTGTACGTAAAAATCAAAGGGTAATAGATAAATTTTAGATGTAAATTCTTTGATATTTCTCACGTTACTTTTTGTGCCATATTATTGTCCTAAGATATATTTTGATATTAACTTCTTTTTCCCAATCTTCTCATATAAATTTGTGAGTAAATCCGTTAATACAGCGATGAAATATGTTTCTGATACAATTTATCTTCTCAAAATCCTTTTGAATGACAATTTAGATTTTAGGGAAATTTGACTTAATACAATTTTTATAATATTATTGTCTTTATTTGATCTCACATTTTTTTTCTCAATATCTTCTAGTTAATTACTATCAATAGAAAATAATTGCAATCTGCCAGCCTATTTTATGAGCTTCACGTGTATAAATTTACAAGATCTTCTTCATTATAATTTCTGAAGTTATCATTTTTCTCCTCTTCCATCACTAATTTTAGAGTTAACACCAATATTTTCTGCTTAAAGGTAAATGACTCTTTTTCTTCATTTATTTACCAGAATTTGAATATGAATATCTTTTCATTGATTAAATCTAATTCAGAGAAATATTCTTGTTCTTTATAAGGTAAATATTTTATTGTCATATTTTGAGAATTTTCTCTCTCGAGATTTAATCTTGCAATTTTTTTTTTAATTTTATTATTGTATATAATACACATTCCTTTTACTCTTATTTACATCTAGTAATTGTAGAAGATGCTCTTCTGCAAAAATCCTGTTAGAATGTATAATTAAAATCTTTGTGCAAGTATTGTCCACCGTTTACTGATAAATTGAAATTCTTCTCCCGTGACGCTTAAACAAATTAACAAAATATGCCCAACAGAAGCCGTTTCGCGCACAAGGAAAAAATATAACTCTTCAAATGTTGTGTGTTTCCTTAGAATATTTCTATTTCTAAAAATGTTTTGCACCACATAAATTACATGTCTTTTTTTTGCAACAACAGCTAATAAATTTATACATCTATCAATGATAATTGTTCATTGTAGGTTTTTCACATTATTTTTCAGATTTCACTTTTATTTATTGTCAAGTTTCCATCATGAGTTGTATTTCATCTAAATAGTTGAAGAAAATACCAATAAAAAGCTTTCATACGAAAGTAAAATTCTCTTTACTTCTCCATTAAATTTATGAGATAATTTCCGTGCAGTATTTTTCTCCTAATATTAGTGAAAGATTGACCTAAATAGATTTAAGAATACAGTCTAATTGTTTTATTTTTTCCTTTAAAACTTTTTCACTTATATTTATTCACACATTCTTCAACTTTATCGATTCATCAATTCATCAGTAAAATTATTGTCACTGATTTACACAATTATTGTCATCATTTTCTTCCAAATTCTCACATAAAAGCATCCAGCAAAATGTGTTGAATGCATTTCTCATTAAAATTGTCCAATTACATTGAAATACCGCTAAGTTTCTCTCTCTCTCTCATGAAAAATTGGTTAGGAAGCTTTTGATAAACGATATGTCGATTGATCAATAAAACCTTACGATTTCTTCACTTTGTCTTTATCTAAATTTTGTTACTCGAATTTCAAAAACTTCCCTCATCTTAAGAACTAGAATGTCCACCGCAGAGACTTGTAATTCACACTTTATCAGTCATTCAGAGCGCTTTCACACAGTTTTTTTTTCAGATATGTTTTGATACGATATCGCCTGGTTGTTGGGTTTGTTCTTCACTCAATTCACATTGAAAACCTTCCAAGGAGTGTTTTGGAATGTCTTAACTATCAGGCATACTTGTAATTTGACATGATTTCGCTCACAATCTTGTAAATCGCACCGAATACAGCCAAGAAGACTGCATTTGGCACTTGCAATTTCGTACCAAAACTGCCCTGATGACTGTGTGACAATTTGTCCACAACGTGGATTTTCCATCCCAGATTCTTGTGAGTGTAGCACTGCGACAAAATGGAGAGTCAGTAAGGTGTGAGTTTTATTATTTTTTACGATTGAGACTCACCTGATAATACACCAAATCCGGAGTGTCCATTGCGACTGTCCAATTGAGATAGCCAGGCTCGTTCTTCTCGCAGTCCAAATACAATGTGGTTTTGTAAGCCTCAAAAGTTTCACTTTCTGCCGACTTATCGACGGTCTTGTGCTTCCACTCGCAGTATCCACCGACTGGAGGCGAAGAAAGGACATGTTATTGTTGGTCATTTATCACAAAATGAATGAGATAAGGTTTGCACACAGCAAAGTGTGTCGGTGAACAAGAAAAATCCTTTACCTCCAGTGGGAATCTTGTATCCCTCGGCGTCCGTTTCCACTCCGGCGTAGACTGTCTGCCTTTGCTGCTCGGCCGCCGACAATTGACCATAACCACCCTCTATTGAGTCACAAATGTACAGTGGGTGGTAGCGGGCGGGCTGAGCCGGTTCATCGCCTCCCTGCACAACGAACGTGTACGTTTTGCCACGCTCAACCGTAATTTCGGGGATTAGCATATCGTTCATGTACCACGCAATTCCCCACGAGGGATTGCCGGTGATGGTGGTGTAGCCCCGCTTGCCGCCCGTCGGGCCAATCTTCGCGTAAATGACACTATCACTGTCGGCGATAATCTTCATCGGTGGCCATGGCTTGAGGTCGTTCTCCTCCTTGAAGTCATAAATTGACGCCACGCACGAGTGGTCGTTCTTCGAAGAGAAATTTATCTGGATGTCATCCAGAGTGGCGTCCATGCCGTTGTGGAGATGTGCGTTTGCCTCCTTCTCCGAATTCAGTGGTCCAATAGCTCCAATCACAGAAATCTGCAAAGCAAAAAACCACGCCATGACATCACAGTACACTGAAAATGGGAATTGATTGTCGCACTTCTCGATCGAGAGGAATGGCCCTGTCGTTGATGGGCTCATTCGTCTGCAGCGGTCTCGTGAATCTCACGCTCGTCACTCCATTCTTCCTGTCTCCAGAAATCACCATCACATCGTTTCGGCCTCCGATCCGCCTGTCCGGACACACGCCGTGCTTCCCATCGCACTGCGACAGGTGCGACATGTAGTAGTCCTCGGCCCAGAAGATGCGCTTCTTCGTGTCGTAGAAGGCCACCACAACGTCTCCACCGACCATTTGCGACCTTCCCTGTGCGCCCGACAAACCAAACGCCATGTACTGATCCTCCCGGATGCGTCCGTACAAGTCCACAATCACATTGTCCCCCTGAATTTCCCACTTCACCTGCAGCCGTCCGCCCAGCATTTCTCGGCAGTTGTTGTGTTGCGGCTTGGCCGTTGTTGTGGTCTGAAAAATCACGAACAAAAATTTCAATTTTCCGACCATCGCATTTTTCCACTTTCGTATTCGTCTGAAATTGACTTTAACGCGAATAAACATCCCATAACTGTTGACACTACTTACAGGGTTGTACCACCAGGGAGGCTTGCGTAGAATCAAAGGGAAATGTTGCGCTTCAGTCGTGATATGCTTTACATATGTAAACAGTGAACTCACCGGGATTTTTGTTTGACCAAGAGCAGGCGGAACATCGAGGTCCGTCGGTATGAAAACGTGACCGAAGTTGTGACGATACTCCACACACCAAACGGCGAGCCAATCTATATCGTAAACAGTGAGATTCCCAGGCAACTGAATTTCAATGTCCTCTCCTTGGTAGCCTCGAAGTGGTTCCAGAGAGCCAACCTCGTTGGGCACCTTAATGCCCATGATGTTCGGCTCGCTCCCATTTCCCACCCAGAAGTACGCATCGGGACCCGCTCCGTCGTAATGGAGGTTCGGAATGTAGAATGTCTTGGCATCCAGGACGCTGATATTGCTGCTCCTCAGGCCATGTGCCAGGCGCTTGAATTCTGGCAACACACGCGGTTTTGGCACTTCAAGACCCGGCGGAATAAACACTTCCCCGAAATCCACCTGCAAATGAAAGTTTACTCATTACTCAACTACACAGTCAGCCATCAATCTACATCACACAGCGGAAAAACTCCCACAGGATTGCGAGAATCGGGGATGATTGAAAATATCTAAACAAAATTACCCTTCTCCGCTCACGCGATGTGGGTAAAAAGTTTAAATACACATCCCACATAGGGAATATTTCACTGTATACTCATAACATTGTTAGTTAATCCACACGACGTTAGTGATAATCACAATTTCACCCTCTCGCCGCTGATGCCCGATATTCCACTCACACACGGGAGCCGCTCGAACCCCTCGAGCGTCCCCATTCGCTGAGAGAAGCCGCAACAGTGGCGCTGTGCGTGCGCACCCCCACAGACGGGGTCGATAAAGTCGGGAGGGACCATTTTGTGTGAGCTCTCTCACAGCCACCAACCCCAGAGCGGCGATGCCAGCAAAAATGGTCGGAAAGCTCAGCATGGGGACCGTCGCTCCGATGGGGTGGCACCGACCCTCATCGCACCACGCAATGCTGTCAAAACTCCAGACAGGACACACAATTTGCTTGTATAATCATTCCACCGCACAGAGTATCAAATGCAACAGATTTTTTTGGACAGAAAATATTTACACTTTTTTATTAATTGCGAAAAATTGTTCTGAACTTCCCAGAGGCGAAATTTGTGTGGGAAATGCAGAGTGAAAATGGCTCTTTAGCTCATTCCAGTATGATTTATCCTCTATTACGCTTATCACCGATTTTCGCTAATACTTAATGTAAAATGTGAAGAGCATAAACGCATAGTATGGAAGGTTTTTCATGCGATTTACAACTTGGGAGAACTTCTCTGCGGTTAGAGTTATAATCCCAACAAGACCCAAAAGGATATAATGCCCAAACGTTGGCAGGTGGTTTATTTCCGAGCGTCGAAAAAATAATTCCGACTCCTGCTTTTGTTCCTCGAAACCACATATATATACTTCTTGCTATCGCTGCATGAGCGCGCTTCGCCAAGAAAATGAGACAATTCGAAGTACCTTCCAGTATTCATAGAATTCAACAATATTTCTTTGAATAAGAGTTGAGTTTTGTTCCGCAGATATTCCACTCGACAGAGACCTCACTGTCATTATCACTTTTCTTGCACAAACTCCCACCACTCAAAAAGCCACCACCTCACTCTCCACTGAATGTCATGGTGTATTTTAAAACTTTTGCAAATGCCAGCAAGATGTGTCGTGTGCCAGATGAAATAATAATTGTGCCAGCAAAAGTGAGAAATTTAATTAAAATCCCTCATTGTTGTTGTGTCTTGTGTGGGCGACATTTTCGCTATTTTTCCACCCCCGCACATGACCCAGGACATTTTGCAATTTTACAGAATTTCCCAGAATTTCCCTTGTGGCCATTGCAAAATGTCCAAATCGATTAAATTCGCCCATGAAGCAAACATCAATGGGAAATTTAATAGTGCATAATCCGACAAATGGGTATGAAATGCATTCACATTCTCTGCCAAACCAACTTATTGGAGATTTTCGCTTGGCAACAGCAGTCACCATAGTTAAGGATTTTGAGTGTAAGCTGTGGGAAGCGACACTGGAAGAAATGGGATTCAGCCAGAGTGAAATTGCATGTGATCCTTTTGAGGATTTCATGCAAAGTCGCTTGCTGAATTCACTGCAATCCTCATCAATTTACCAACAAATGCTCCGTGTTTAGTAATGAAGGAGGTATAAAGTTTAGTTTAGAATTATTAGAAATGGGCTAAACATTGATAGTTAATTGCATATATTTTAAAATTCATGTAGTTTTCATACTGCAAAAAAGGTCAAAATAAACTTCCTCTACATTATTTCCCACTTATTCGCGATATTATTGTGATAGTTATTTATGTTTCATATTGCTAAGCCAGCAAAAAGTGTCTGCAAACTAACTAAATTTTTGCACAGCCATCAAACATAAGAAAACGAAGTTGAATAACTAGATTTTATATACAAATCGCAATAGTTTCGGAAGATTTGTACATATTTCATATCATTGCGTCCAATTACAACTCCATAAATTCTATAAAGAAGAGTCAAGAGAGGAGTTTAATCTGTTGAAAAGGGAGTGTATGTAAAGTGTGTGGGTTCGTAGAGAGAAAGAAAACTAATTTGAGGGTGTCTCCAGGGACTTTCAAAGCAGTATTAAACTTTTACTATAATGGTATTTTGTACTGACCGTAAATCTCCTGCACCACACAGAAAGCCACCGAATGTCTCGAATCCTCTTTCCCATCGGCAGCCGAAGGATGATGTCGGTGTTGTTGTGAGCTTGCAAGATGGGTGGATCTCTGGAACGGCAAACAAACAGATAATGAGCGAAAAGTGTATGGGAATTTAATGCTCTGCGGTTGCATGGCAACTTTCAGTGCATTTCTTCAAAGGACTGATCAATAGAGGAGTTCCGTCTGAGCAAATTTATACACTCTGCGGAATGGACGGAGTTGTTCAAACATAAAAGAGAGCGTAAACCCTTGCTGACTTCTCCCTCGCGCTGGGATGCGTCCTCTCTTATGAATGTAATGCCTATATATCAATGTCAATAAAACCAAAAACCATGAAACGAGGCCTCCATCTCCAATTGCAGGCAACCCACCCTCAGTGCCATCTCGCCCTTCCCGATACTAAACACCCTCAAAATAAATCTGCGGAACTTTATTAAAGTCCCATCATTCATGTATCTCCCAGCAGTATTTCATATTTATCAGAGACTCTCAATACTTATTGCTGTGCTGCATTCTCGAGGAGGTGAGCTCAACCCCGTCCGAGCCGCTCTCTCGTTCCACCAGCCATTTGTTCTCAATCTTGTACGATATGAATGGGTATTCAGCGGAAAAGAATGAGGATACTTCGTCCCACTTGGCAAGATGATTATATAGTTTGACAATTCCCGGTGGGAAACGCTTCATAACGACCACCAAAGCGTCTCGTTTGTCTCTCAGCACACACTGAATTCTCAAATCGGAAGTCACAAAGTACAGAGCTGTCTTCATCGTGTATTCATAGCTAAATTAATTGAGATGTTCATAATATTAGAACATATTTGTTCTCCATTTTGTTATTATCTTCCTGATTGTCTCTATGGAAAATATCTTTCACGAGAAAGTGCTGGGAAATTCATCATCAGACTTCGAGAGAAAACCATTAATGAATCGAATTTCAAGAATTTCGTCCCTTTGTGTGTTTCTCTGGCAAAACACAGCACAACATGGTGTGTTTATGCAAAAACAGTCAATTCAAAACGTTTATCCACTCACTGGGAAATCCACTTGCTTTGGCGTGTATGGAAATGATGATTTGAATATGAAGAGTCCACCCATCCACCCTCCTATTGAAGCCCACGGGATCTGAATATCCCTTCTGCTCTTCTATTCACAGCATCACCGCGACAAATTCATACTCTTTCTTGAGTGAGCAAGAAGGGTTGAAATCAATTGGTTGAAAGCATTTTTGTCTTCTTCAGTCTCACCACACAAAACATCCACTGCTGAGCACATTGCATGAGGGTGAATACGCACGAACCTCCAAAGCATTGAATAACGCTGAAGTACTGCAACAATTTATGTAAATTGTGACGAATTTTCGCTGAATTTGCACTAAAACACGTTCGAGTTTGATGCAATATTTTGTATCAAAGACAGGAATTATTCCTTCTTTCTCTTGTGAACAATTTTTCACTCAACAATCGAATAAAATTCAAATGTTGCACAAACTACCCTCGACGAGATGTTCCCGAGGGAGTTACAAATGAAAACAGATAGACTAATTTCCGTCGACAGCAGCTCCTCCAAATACATTTGTGTTAAAAAACGATGCAACAAATCTCTAGAAAATCCCATAATCTTTAAGATTCCACTTGTCTGTCGTACGCCTTTACTCCCTTCTGACTTGAAAATGTATTAAAAAGCCCAAGGAAAAACCTTTCAACTCTAAATTTCAACTCGTACGAAGTGTATTAAATCATCGATGAAAATCCAGATCGCGTTAAACATTCTGCCATCGCGATGTAATTGAAGAAGACTCATATTTCAGCATCTACTATGTGTGCAATTTCCATCTGCAACACCCTCAACTCTTGGTGCTGCCGGAGAAATAATTTACTGTGCAGCGTACGTGATGTTGTTGTCACATTCATTTCTATGCAAATTGCAAGGAATGGAGAACGGCAGCACTTTGCTCTGATTCAATTTTATACCCCATCATTTAAGGGTGTTCACATAATTGAATAAATTTAATTGGCTTACAAGTGATCAACAATACTTTTCGTCCTCTATTCACTCATCGTGCGGACTGCTTAGGGAGAATTTCCACTGGCACAATCTAACGTTATTCATTGATTAAAACGAATCCCCATGGAGAGAAAATCGATCGGAGCCATTCGAAAAATGGGAAAGTTCAGTGGCAGCAATTTATTTAAAACTGCTGACATTAAAATTCAATCTTCCCCGCAGGTAGATGAAGAATTATTGCATTTCTTCTGAGGGAGAAGAAATTGGAGTATCCAGAGATTATTGAGTTTCATTTCCTATAGTACATATAATCCATTTTGTCGACGATTCATTGCATTGCATTGCAGTTTGCTAATGCTCGAAGACTGAAGTGGAAGCTGAGAAGATTCTCCTTATCAGCCTGAGACAGTAGAATTGATTCTTCACTGAACAAATTTGATTAATGCAATTTATTTGCGATATATTTTCAAATGTGAATCATGAATTGAAATATAATTTCACGCATTTTTACTTCATTGGAAATTCTTGTCTCTCGGCATACGAATTAAAATGAATATTTTGTCACCCCCGCATCAGGCGGGAAATCGAGGTGGAGAAGAGACGATTTCCCCCGAGGCAATTGAGAATTTGCACAGTGACGATGCCCATGGACGAGGTACACATAATAACTAATAACACTCGGCACGTGGCGTTAACAATGAAGTGCATTAGAGAGTGAATATCGGGTGTGTTAACAGTGAAAAACCCCCGTGAAATCACCCGCCCCAGAGCGACCAAACAGCACACACACAATACAGACCGTGGATGTCCCCTTCGATTTCTTGATTCATCATCATCCACGCAGATCAAAACGAGGAAATATATTGTATTCCATTATGTGCCATGTATAGACGAGTGAATTCATACTTTAGCGTATAATATGCCTCCGTTTTTGGAGTAGTCTCACTTTATCCTCTCCTGCACTCGTCGCGTCTTCCTCCCTCGTGCCATCCTTCAGCTCCTACACTCCCCGCTTCCTCTCTAATCTCTAAATCGTTCGTGAGCACATTGAAGAGTTCATTGAGCGGAGGTGGAGGAGAAAAAACTCAATTTATATATCCCATGTACTTGTCGCTATGCGACGTAACAATGTCTCATGACATTTATGACATCATCTCCGTTCCTGTGAAGGATTCATTTAAAATGAAATTAAAGGAAGAAATGCCATCACTGTTCGCACACACGAAGGAAGAAAAGAAGACACGAAGAATACCCATTCTCAAGTCCCGTCTTTAATGCCATTTCACTCATCCTCCACTTCACACTTCAAGTGTTTTTCCTTTTCCCTTTCACTTAATTGGAATGAAAATATATAGATTCTGCTTCCAGAATTCTTCTGCTACAGCATCTTCCGTGCAATTATATTGTATTGATTTGGTTGCCTTCAAAAGCACTCAGCTTCGTGAGTCTCATTCATTAAAATCCCAATCCATCAAATTCTCATTAATTTAACTGGTCTCCCGCTCTATTTTTCACCCATTTTCCCCTGATTCACATCATAAGGCATTTAGCCATGTGATCCGTCGCCCCCACCATGGCAATAATCACCTATTTGCCGAAACTCTCCCCTCGTCGTCAGCAACAAAAGCGTATCACTATTATCGTAATGAATTTTAATCCCACCCTTGGATCTCTTCATCCCATGAAGACACAGTGACAGCGATGAATGACGCTAGAAAAGGGGAAAGATTTGCATTCAAGTCAGTCGAAACTGATTTTTCTTTTTTTTTCTCACCCCAAATTCATTGCATTAAGAGCATGTTTAACGCTTCTCCTGATCCCACAATGTCTCTGTCTCATCTTATTTGCTTGGGTGACTATCAAAGAACACATTTGGGATACTTTTCACTTTGGGCGTGTGAGCCAAAGTGGCCTAAGACATTCGGCATACTTTTCCTGTGTCTTCCACTAAATCTCTAACACTCCTTATCTTGGCATAAGAGAGTCCATGAAATTTTCTGAGTACTTCTCGCGACGATAGGCCACAAAACACCTTCCTTCCGCAGGAAACCTCTTCGACTCTCAGCTTCCGATATGATAATAAGGGGAGATGTGGCAACAAAGGGTCTTCTTTTCAATGGCAAAATGACGATAGAGATATGAGTGAAGGAAAATAATCTAATTAATTGCAAGAAAGCACGAAGATCGTGTCTAAATTCCTTTCGCACAATCGTAATTGTGAGGAAAGCAATATCTTCACCAACACTGTTTGCTTCTGCTCTGTACATAAGTATGTGGATTGCCATTACAGTCCATAAGGACACCATATTGGCACGCTGTATAGTGGCGATATTCTCGAAATCTATCGCAAAACACATGATACTGGATCATTCGGGGATTTCGCTTGAAGAGGCGCTTATGGCATTGTGCGAGGATGCGCCGGAGGGATGGCATTTGAGTGGTGTGTGGAGGGTGATGAGAAAATGCGGATTCGTCGATTTAGTGTGCTGAAAAAAAAATACAAACCTGCCAGAGTAATCCTCGGGATAGGGAATGATGTAACCCTCCGGACTCGGGCGTGGGGAGTTTCCAACCCAAAAGTAGGCGTCCGGTCCCAAACCATCGTATGCAAATCCTTTGATGAAGATCGTCGACTCATCCACTGCATAAACGGTGCCCTGAACGGTGAACAACATTAGTTTAGAGTTGATGGTGAAAGGGAAGAGTGTGGCGCATATTTATGGGGCGCGCGGAAAGTCACACAATAGTTACCTTAATGCCATGAGCAAATTCAGTTAGTTGTCCTATTAGGCGGCCGTAGTATGGTTCCGGTGGTGCACGCGAATGAACTGTAACAGGAAACAGAGTCTATAATAGCAATTGCCACAAACTTTCTCACTTTGCCACACAGTTCATTCATCCATTCAGCGTGTGTGTGTATATTTTGTATTTTCCAATATTTCACTAATTTCAGGAAAAAAGGACAACGTGGAAAAAGTGTGAAAGGTTTTACCCTCACCGGATATATATCATTTCCTCAATTTGTAAATCCCGTCAACATTTAACCATGATATCTATCTTTATGGTTGAAAATCCTGCTCTTTGATGAGTTGTGTATTGTGTTTATTTACAATCAAATTTATTTTTAAACTCACTGTATATTTATACGGTGAGCTTTCCAAAGAATTACGCGCTTATCCCCCTTTTTCCTTCCTCGTCACTGTGTGAGTGTGAAGCTTGAAATATGTGAAACTATGACTCTTCCCAGGGCGATTAGAGCGTGATGAAAAATGAAAATCGATCTAAATAATTGGCTAGATGTGAGGGTGTTGCGGTGCAGAATTTTATAAATCGAATCGGCACCCTTGTCACGCGCTCACCACTTCGAGACGCCATGAGACCGGCAATGTGCCTCTCCTTGGGCATCTGATGTGTCCCCGGGATAAAAAGCTATCCACTCACTCAGTGGTCCTTGAAGTTATGTATGTCGAACTCACATGTGGTTGGAATTGTAAATTGCTTTCTTCAACTGGGCAATTTCCTCTTCACACCCCTCAGAGCCTAACGCCCGGCCATACAGTGAAATTGTCCTCCTTTTTCGTGATATCGAATCACAGAATAACAAACGGCATATATTGCACATATATAGATAGATCGAAGAGAGAAAATAATGATGATTTCACCCTATAAACCACTAAATCTTTCTCGCAAAACAGAAAAAGCTTGGGATACTTTTCGCCAGCGAGCAAGAAATCATTTTACAACATTCCCCCATATCATTCATTACTCGTCTCCACTGGGTTGAAGCAGGAAAATTGACGATTTCAATTATTTTAATGGAATAGAAGGAAAATCCATTTTCCAGAAATTGTGGGCGAAGGTGCGTGTTTCGTCATGAGAAATAATCCGCTGTAAACAAGTGATATATGACTTTGATTGGCATCAGCAAATAGCACTAAAAGCATGATTTTGTCTAGCAAAATTATTCAGAAAAAAGTTAAACCCTTCGCGATGAGTGCTGAGAAAACATCAGCACGTGTCCGTGGAGTTACGTGATACAACAGCTAAAATAATGTCATCACGTTCCATTAAATCCCGGTCCGTCCATAGATTCAAATGAAGTATATGCCTTTGTTCAGCCCAGATCATAGAGCAGAGACCCCAAAACGTGAATAATGTATATTTGTCGGTATCCTTCCCACTGTCACTGAAAGGTGAGGACTCATCTGTTCGTTTATCGATCCACAAGTTACCTTCGACGTTTGGCACTTTTCCTCAAACGCTGAGGAATGTGTACACACGCACACAAATACGCAATGCTCACTATGTGTATAAATTTGCATGGAAAATCACCCCCTGGAAACATCGCTTCCGTCCACATATTTTCCAGGAGTTCGCTACAAGCCCAGAACGTGCCTCACAATGCGAGAACGGCATTAACCATAGCCGTGGACGGCAGTAGAGTTGCTCTGGAAAATATGAGCAATAAGCGTGAAACCAGTGTGGAATTTGGAGGGGTGTTGTGAGGGCATTTGTCGCCCTCACTACGCACAATCCAGACTCCTGTAATTTGCAATGCCATCGATGGGAGGTAACGTCGATAATTGTATCATAAGCGAGCGGTGCCATAAAAAATTATCTCACTTCTCTCGATTCAGCAGCCACGAATCAGTGATAAATGCAATTGAAGGAAAAACCACTCCCACAGCATTGATCTGAAAACCCTGTCTGACTCCTTGGCGATAACTGTGCGCGCGAGAGTATGTAATACATTTCATCGGTGGAAAGACAGAGAGCTTGGCAAAAGTCCCTCATTTTGAGGTGTTCACGCGGAAGTAATTCAATTTCCGATAATTTCCAATATAATTCGCCCAATCATGAAAGTTCTATCGCGCTTTCCCGACTGACAGTGAAATATTTCGCCCGGCGATGCACTCCGCGCAAACTTCCAACCACAACATTCGTGCCCTCTCGACCACCCTCGAGACATTCTTGGCGATCCAACTACCAAATATCTCTCATATAGTGTCAATTTAGGGGAACGAAGTCACCCCATCGATATCTCCCGCCAGTGAATTGAATTTGCAATATAACTCAATAAACGACATCTCGCATTGTAATTGAGATACGCAGAAAAACTTGCATATTGCATTACTAATGGAGTCATTATTCTTTTCGACACCACCCCACAAATTACTCATTAAGAAACCACCAAAATACGACGAGGGGGAACAATTTACCAATTTGCTGTCATGAAAAGCCAATGAGTACCAGCAGTGCTCATGGATTTACATGTGAAATTTTCAGTATAAATACTCAAAATGGACTGTCCAAATGAGCCCTCAGCAGAGGGATGAAGGTTGCAATTGCGTACGCAAATAGGTGACAATTTCTCGCCGGTGGGAAAGGTTCGGTTGGATGTGGGGTCGGCGATCCCATAGAATTTTACGACGCTGGTTCTGGTGCTCAATGTATCTGGGATGGAGGGTGTGAAATAATAAATTGCCAGCAATAAAAGTCATATCGCAAAAATTCATGCACTGGCGGAAGTGTGTCACACAATAGGTACAGATGAGGGTGGAACTTTCTAACAAAGTTGTAGTGGAAATGCTGATAAAGGTTCATGTAATTTGCACACATTATTAATTTGTCACTGCGCACGGAAAAATATTTAGTAGATAAACCGTCGTGCCATGACTGAATAAATTTTCACATTACATAAGTAATTATAATGCTGAGTGCCGTAGCATTCTCCTCGTAGGTGGTTGACCTTTGCTGGAATTGATGGAGGACCTGAATAGGGGACGACAGCGCGTGGGAGGAAGGAAAGAAAAATTGCGAAAGGCGCTTCTCATGATGATCAAATAATTTCAAGAGATTTCCACTTGAAATTGGAGCTGTTAATCGATTTTTTTCCACGGCGTCTCGCAGGGTAGAAAACAATTCACTGATAAAGTGGAATATTTTCATCATTTCTTCTTCCTTCCACACCAATTGAGCGGGAGAAAAGAAATGCAGAAGGACGAAAAGTGGGGAGCTTATTGGGAGAACTTTTGCACTTCACCTCCCCTATTCTGCGATAAGACTTGAGGAATAAGTTCTGATGGAAGAAAGTTAAATTAGTTTCCATCTTGCAGCGAAATTAACCATGGAAGTGGCACTGCCCACAAAGGAGAAAGTAGTTCAATATTTCTCCTCTCGGCTCTATCTTGTTGTCAGCATTCTCTCGCATGGCTTAAGTAATATTACATAATTGCAAAACTCGTATACTTAAAATACACACTCACACACTTCAGCTTCGTGGTAAATTTTTGCAATCAACAATAGTGTGAAATTGATCATTAACAATCGACTCACGTTTTCTGTAGACATGGTACGGAAAGGCTGCATGAAAGACAATTAATAAGATAATCATTATTGAATTTTCCCTATCTCTTTATTTATGAAGACACAAACACTCATGGTGGTTAATTGATTTTCACCATGCTAAATATTGACTGTGTGTTTCCTTGGACAATTTCTCACACTGACCCGCATTTAATATTCCCTACAGATGTGCTCTCAAAAGTGGATTGACGGGCAAAGCATAAACTTTCAGTTTCTCTGGCGAAATCACGATAATGGCATGCTTATGTGTTATAAAGTATAAATAAAACATCGAGTAAGTAAAATAGTGCAAAAAGGTTCATTAATCTCCTCTCAAGTATACATTTGACTCTCTTCCACACTTATGACTATGGATTTGTGAGGGAATTGAGACAAAAACTGGGCCTTCAGTCAATAAAAATAAACATTAATAGTCATCGAGAGATTTCACCCTTGTTTGCTCAACAATTCGATCACTCACGATGAGGATGGTGGCAAAGACGAAGGCAATGCACAATTCTCACATCGACAGCCCACAATTAGGACTTCGGAGAGATGAAAATTTCCCATACATTTACGCGTCTAACATGAAATTATGCCCATGAAATAAGAGATTTTATTGATGACAGAGCAAAAAATGCAAATCAAAAACATTACACGCATAAGAAGTAATATTATTAAGTAGCACTTTGATCAATTTTCTACAATTTCACACTTCCTGTCGGATCTCTCAAATTTAATTGAGTCAATCGAATGCAAGAAATCTATTTAAATTTCTCTTCACTGCAGGATTTTAGCTGAAATCCCGTCGCAAAGTGGGAATTTTAGTATGAAATTCTACAAGCTTAACTTGGATGCGAAATGTGACTCCGTATCCGGTTGACCCTACGGAATGACAGAAGATGAAAAACACAGAACACAGAGCGACGCTGAGTCAATTCGCATCAATCAAAATCGATGGTAATTGACAAGAAAACGTATTGCTTCTGCCATTTCAAATGGCCTCCATGAAACATTGAACTCATTATCAGATTTGACACTCGCATCAGGAGGGAGAGAATGTCTCAGTGATTATTCTTGTAAGATTTCTAAGTAGATTAAGGACAGAGTCCACAACATCGACGCTCAACTTTCACTACATTTTAATTACAAAGCCCCGTCTAGCAGCGACAACGCAGCATGCCACGAATCCATATTAATGCAATTAGTCAAAAGAATACCTCGCATGTATTTATGAGATTTTCACATGGAGAAGTGCTCATGATGCAAATGATGCAAGATGTGTACATATTCATGCTTCGAGAGGAAAAACACGATACCCACTTTATTCTTTGCCATCAGTGACAATTAACATGGGCCTTCAAAAACGTGAGCATTTTTAATAGTAAGCCATTAGTGCACTTCACATGCTTTCACTCTAGTATTTTATGTTAAAAATAAACTCGCTAATTGGTGTGGTTGACAATGAAAACCCACATTTTTATGTCAACACTACACCGACTTGAGCAAATAGCCAACAACAAGGCGCACATTGTGGAAAGTTTTCGTGAAATTTTTGTGATATTTGACTTTTAAAGACACATCCCAAAAAATTAATAACCTAAAGCCGGTTTTTTCCGATCTAAACAGACAACTTAAGTTAAAGAAAGAGATACAACCTTCACGAAGAATCAATGCAAATTAAGCTCAAGGCAGCACAGCTTCACTGAGAAGGTGTACACAGCAATGATGATAATATTTACCCATATTAGTAATGTATAATAACAATATTAACGTCACATTATGAAAATTTGTGCTCCACAAAGAAAGTAAATCAACAATTTGCACATGCGATGAACCTCAACTTGCCTCTATTGCATTTCTTCAATATTTTACAATATTATACAATACAATTAGATGATAAAACATAATATTTGCGCTCTATATAACTTTTTTTCATGCATCACAAATGATACAATTTTTCCTGTCTTTCTGGAATGTTTCTATTCAAATGCAATAAGCAAATAAATATACAATTCTCATTGTTTTCTCTCTATAATTTTTACATTTTCTATGGATTTTACATGATAAAGGCTTTCCAGTCAATTCTCCAGTGTACTGAAACACCTTACGTACACCATCGCTTTGTATTTTCCCTGCCTTGGAGCACGAGATTCTCGTCAAAAATCACAAAAATTCATTGACTCTCTCGTGAACTGTCCAGAACATAAAAAAACACAAACACACACGCAAGTGAAAACAGTTCATGCAGAGCAGAAGTGTCGTGTGAATGAGCCGCTGGAGTTTGGCGCAAAAATTTTCCCAAATTAATTAACTCCGTCGGCTCGCGGGCGTGAAGGGGGGTCAAGTGGAGTTGGTGTTCAATGAGGTGCGGAAGAAACTTTACCGTTGGTGCAGCAGAAAGCCACGATGAGCAGTGTCAGGGTGAGGTGGTGGCCCCCAATTGTGTGGGGTCGCTGACGGGTTGGGGGCATTTTGGAGCACCCAAAATGGCGGTCGTCCACCGTCGAAATCCTCCCGTCGAGGGTGACTAAACCACCCGCTCTCGCGTTCTGTCCGTCCCAGGTGACTTTATTCCATCCAACGAAATTATTCCCACGAATTTCTCTCTCTTGCCCCGCTTAAATTGCTTTCACTTGAGCTCTTTTTCACGCGCGCAATGCCAAAATTCGGCGATAAACTATTTCACGATTTTTGTTCACACAATCTTCACCTTTCGCAGAAGCAAATCAGCACAAAAATCTTCTCACAACTGTTTCCCTCCGAGAAAAAGAAGCAAAACCTCTTTCAATCTCCGTCGTCAAATTGTATTATTGTCTTTTATCACAGAGCTGTGGTCTCTTCGCCGAAAAGTGGTCACTGGCTGGCGAGATGAAAATGAGATAAGTGCGTTCGTCCAGCGCGCCAGGTGAGGTGGTGAATAACAAATTCGCGACGATGTGTGAAAGGAAAGTGATGAACTAAGGAATGGAACAGAAAAAAAGACTACTGGGACACCCAAAAGCGCGACAGTGGCTCAAGTGCGCTCATGGAGAAGCTCAACCTCGGACTGAGGTGTACGCGGCGGAAAATCCCCCAAAAAGCGTGCTCAGAGTTCGCCGGAGCTCCCACATCCGGAGCAGAGACAGCATGGAGAGACACGGCGAGAGAGAGAGTGCTCGTGGAGCAGCTGGGGAAGGCTTCACGCCCGATGGAAGGGGTTTCCCCCACGACACGGCGCCTTTCTCGTCGAACACGACGTGAGTTTCGTTCCCAACCTGAATTATGGCTCCCGAAATCACAGCCAATGCAGTTACTACTATTATTTTTCTGTCAATCCACTATTTTTTACGCATGACTTTTTAGGTGCAGAACAACATCATTTTGGGTGTAAAAGTTTCGGAAAGTCAAGATTAATCGAGATAGAGTTTAAAGTATCAAATAAATCACTTCACTTTTATTAATAAATTTTCATTACGAAATGTGTATTATAATAAATGCGTAACCACACATAGTACTGTTATTGTTTCTCATCACTGAACAATCTTCATTTCATAACTACAACATTTTACACATGTTGTATTATATCAAAAACATCAAAAATTAAATACAATTTTATTCAACTAATTTACTTGGACTAATTTTTTCAACGCTAAACTGCATTTCTATTCGTAAAATAGAACTTCTAGGAAACTATCGGGATTGACTTCTTCTATCCTCAGCCGCGATGGCACACTTTCGACTGCGAGTGTAGGTGGTTTACGGGCGCGCAGGCGAGCTGTGTTTATGCGACCCACACGCACGCAATGATGGGACACAGTGTTGCAGAGGCACGCCATCCGGAGCGTCGTGCACGTTGGCGATGCCCGGGATGCGCATGCCTTACTCCGGGGGAGGCGTCCACCTTCCGGAGGACGCCGCTTCCCAGTGAGAAGGGAACTGTGACTGATTGACTGCGACTCCTAATTAATTACTCACGGCGTGCCAAACATTTTCCGCCAGTTTATTCGCCATGTGACTTCTTTTGCCACACCACTTCTCCTATACAAATTCATCTTTCGTGACCCCAAAAATGCTCTGAGCTTTGAAAGTTAATTGAAATCCATTCATTTATAGCTACAGTTTCATCACAGTTATTATGTCACTCATTCTCATTTCACACTCTTTCGATCCGGTGACTAGCCTTGGATCAAAATGCAATTTTCAAGCATTATTCTTACAAAATCAATGTCATGGACATTGATTGTATCACAATGTTGACGAATAACTTAGTATCTTGCAAAATAACATCTAACAAGTGACAAATGTGTCGTGGCTGCATAAATCTAGCGTCACTTTGTTTTAAAGAAGATAAAACAAATTCCTTCTCTTCCAATAAAGTGAGAGTTTAATGTTTGCCCTCTCAGAAAGTCTCTTTGTTTCTAGGGGCTTAAAGGGGAGCCTTTGGGACCAAATCACTTTCACTCGTGCTTTCACTCTGTGAATGACAACATGTAATGTCTTTTTGTTCTCTGAAAATAGTATCTCTACTATTGGAGCAACGTAGGAGTGATTTCAAGGGACGATAAGCGAACAATACCCTTTATCCTTTCAATGTATCCATATGTAATCACCATTAGCCACTTAGGACATGGAATTATAATCACAATTTTAGAGAAGGGAATTAGAATGAGCGGCTGGAGTTCACAGGAAATAACCATTTATTGAAATGAGATTCAATCATGTTCAATAACTCTGAAAATATCGAAATATCTGAAATTTAGTACAGCAAAAAATGTCTCCAAAACACGTTGAATTCGAAAAAAGCTTCTCCAAATTTCCACAGATGGATTTGTGATAATCACAAGAGCGCCTCTAGCGGCCAACAGCCCTATCAAATACTTTATTTTGTGTACAATCTGGAAGTGTGTCTTGGCTTCGAAAGTAAATTATGTACATATATTTATGACTGTAAATATTTCCGCTCTTCAACACGCATACTGGCATTATTTCCAAAATATAGCCATTTTTTATAAAATGGGCATTTCACACGACTGTAATTTCGCTTTCTTATCAAATTAAAATATTAAAAAGTCGGTAAGTGCGCTTCGGCGATTATATCTATTGAATAGTGAGCAAAATGTATTCATGTGCAGATGTAAGTGTTAGAAATCTTGCGAGAAAGAAACAGAAGAAATCAAATATTGCCTCTACGCCGCTCACAATTGTCGGTGAGAGGCAATAATGATACATTGGCCGTACGAGCGAGAAGAACTCCAGCTTCGCGTACAATCACTGAGCGAAAGAGTCTCACAAGAGCGCCACTATTTTCTCGCATTCTCGCTCCCAAAAATTGCCATAACGAATTTTTATTTAATTGGAGTGTTAGACGAACAAAAGGCAAGTAAATTGATAGTTCTGGCGGAGTGTCGAAGTGAGGAAGAGGAGGGATTAATTAAGTGCGGGGTTCAGTGGACAAATTGCTCGAATGACGAGGCCTCTCGCGGTTCACATGATGTCCATTTGGTATTCTGGACTTGTAGGCGTCAGTTTTCTTATTCCAGTCACTGGTGTTCAAGTCAAAGTCGTGGCAAAAGTGTCTTTTTCCTATCGCTCAATCACTGAAAGTGACTGGCTAAATGCACTTTCAATGTGTTTTTCATCCCGAGCATTTTACGCGTTAATCGCAACGCAAAGGTCTGAGACAAAAATGGCTCTTGATTAATCGGAAGTGAACACATTCACTTTTCTAGCGAATAGATTCACGTATTTTTGTCCAAGCGACACGCGGAGAGTCCAGCGGAAAAAGGGGAAAATTTCGCCAGATAAGTCACAGATTATGTGCGCGAGTGATATGCGACTTGAGTGTCGTGGTGCTGACTTGGGCGCTCACTTGGCCAGGAGGAAGACACTCCAGCGCCGCTGAGACAGTCAGTTGCTCCGAGACCGCGAGTTCAGTCGCAGCGTGTGCCACTTAGAATGCGCGCGCAACCCATGACTCATTCCCAGCTCTTAGTCATTCCATCTGAGATTCTGCTATTGTTGTTCTTCTGCGCCTTCTTCCAGAGTGCCTGAGCACTTTTTCAGTGCAAAGTGTGAACTTTTTGTGGCGTCTCATGTGAAAAGAAGCGCTGCAAGTTGCATCAACACAAATCATATCTTGGTGAAATATTGCAGTGCGCGGAGTGCATTTGAATACAAAAACGCCGCAGCGCGAAAGAGGTGAACTTTGGTGAATTGGAACGAAGAGAGGGGCCACAGGAAGCTCATCATTGAGTCAAGTGATTGACCTCCCAGCTGCCCAACTGGGTGTCCAGCGATCAACAAGTTGGCGGGAGAAAACAGGTCAGTGCCGAGAATGTGACCAAACATCGAGAGTCGGTCAGCACTTGATGGAATATGGGTCAAAAGACTGCTTCATGCTGAGGCGAGAGATTCGTGAATTCTCTGCATTGCCACCGCGAAGAGGCTTCCAAAGTTGCATGAAACTTTCAATCCACAGCGCCCGAACATGCATGCAAATGAGTGTTGTGCAAAGTGGTCAATAATGTCCACTTAACTCCTACTAGGCGTACGCCTTTGCGATTGAATTAATTAAACGATGCGTTTCTTTCGAACTCAATGTCTAATCCGTAAAATAGCGTAATGAAATTGCCGCGCATAATCGTAAAATGCTCTATAGAAAAAAAATGAGGTTTCGAGTCACAATTTGAATCGCCAGATTGACTCATGAAAACTTGGAAATGGAAAACTTCTGACGTTTCTTTAAGAATTATCTTATCAACCAAAAAATCAATAGGAAGTATCAGACTTATCAAACAAATAAATTCAAGTATTTGTCAATCTCTTATATACCAGAACGCACAATCTCTGGATTTTATTCGCGATATCTTAAACTCTAGGTCTATCTTTCAAAGTTTAACGATTTATTTATTGTCTTAAATGGAAGTTATTGACTACATAACGGTGCAACACGCACTTGTGATGTCACATTAACATCCGCATGCATTTCTTATGCTTTAAAAGCATTAGTCAATCATTTGATTAAGGAGAAATGACAAATAAACGATCTCTGAAGAAACACAATTAATTTATCCACAGATGGCCTCAATTTGTAAGCTAAGAGCACTATAAAATTCTTAGCCAACATAATGTTTCACTCCGAATCTCGCGGAAGAATATTTTTCACTGAATCATTGCGGAAATATTCGAAATATGCGACCACGAAGAGAACAAGCATGGAACAAGTTCTTCGCGCTTGTTGGTAAAAAAAAAGGCACCAAAGTCAAGTGATGGTGTTGAAGAAGGTGCGCCGAAGAAATGCGTCTCTAACGGAGCGATCTTGAAAGTATGGCGAGATTTTTTCTCCTTTGACTCCATCTGAAATTCTTCTTCGCTCGCGAACATCGAGAGAACGTCACGGCAAATAATGATGCATGGACAAATTTGAAATATTTACACATGGGCATAATGAAATAATGAAATAATCGAGCTGGATGGTGGCAAATAAGTGGAACTTTCCATTTCATTGTCGCCATTTGAAGCCCACTTGACTCGCCATACAGAAAAATTATATTACCTGCGCAAAGAAATGTCAATATCAAACAGAACTGTGCGGGCGCGTGGGAGGAGTTGTTTATCAACTTTTGAAGCTCTCAAAAACACACACACAATCGCACATGAAAATCACATTGTGTAATGTTGGGATGAAAAAATAAAACCAATAAATTCATACAGTCAGATCTATAATGTATAACCCACGAAGAATTCCTAAAGTTCCGCAACAGCGAAGGTCTTCCATCTGCCATGTTTCTCCTACCATTCGTGAGACACAATGCTAGACAAACATTTTGTGAGGTGTCCCAAGATGAGGGGCGCACCGCACCGTGAAGCCGGAAATACACAATCGCATCTGATTTAGATTACGCGATAATTAATGACGGAAACAATGAGAAGCATTGTATCGCCGCGACGGACAATCAAAATTCACATTTTCGGCTGCACACCTGAGAAAAGAGCCTCTGCGTGTTCGCATTTGGTTGAAATTCAAAACACCCAATTCATTCCAAACTGAATTCTTTAAACATGCTCAAGAGCATGTAATCAAGTTGGTATTTTTATGTTTCATTTTCACCTCAACTTTGCTTACAAATTGACAGATTTATTGTAAAATTCTCCGTGAATTTATCATAAACAAATGAACTAGAACATCTGGTCAATTAATATTTGCAAACCTCCTTCAACGAAGCCTGACTGGAAGTGGCAGAAATTGGATCGATATCCATCTGCACGAGGTTGTTAGCAAAGTGAGAACATATAAATATGAGTGGTATACGTTTTATTATCGTACAGAGCAATTATATAATAAAACAACGTGAAATCTTGACCAGCTTCGCTATGATTTAATTGAAAAACATGTTTCAATCCAATTATTGACGAATCCTTATATGTAGGTTGACTAAAGGAGAGAAACACCATCAATAAGGATGAAGTGTTTTAATTTCCGCAAATGCGATTAAAACTCACAATAGTGAGTCATTTGTCACCTTCGCAATTAATTCCTTCCTATGCTGAGCGGCGCCATATAGGAGTGGCAGAGAAATCCGATAATTACTCGTGCATTTTCCATTTCCTCCTTCCAGGATATCGCCGCGCATTCTGGAATTTAATGCATGTGACAATGGAGGGAAACGGAGGCAGCAGTCGCAAGAGTGGCATTCCGAAGCCCACAAAGTTCAGAAGCTCTCTCTGCACATCACCGGTGGAGAACGGAAGCTCCAGCTTCCTCTACGGAAGCATCAGCCATCTGCCCGGTGCCTTCCAGAAGAGCAATTCATCCTCACCAAGTCCCACTGACGAGATGAGTCGCTCCCGTTGGAATTTATCCAGCAGAAGTAGCGATTGTGAGTAAAAAGTCCGCATTCATGTCGCGTGGAAAAACTAATAAAGTGTCATTATTTGTAGATTTACAGAAAATTGTCGAACTGGAGCGACAAAACCAGAAAATAAGTGAAGAAAATGCCAAGTTCAAAGCTCAAATTGCCAGTCTCGGAAGTCAATTGGGTGAGACGAAAAACCTCCTCGAGAGAGAACAAATGACGAGAAAAACCAGCGAAGCCGTCCAAAATGAGCAGAAACATATAATCAAGACGTGAGTATCTTTTCACTTCTCCTCACCCTCAACAAATTCCATCAAATTCAATCGAATAGTCACTTATAAATTCTCCTCAATTTCCACAGTTTGAAGACAAATGTCGCAAAGAGAGATTCAGAATTCCAGCAATTGATGGAGAAGAATGCGAATATTCGCAAAAAACTCGGTGAACTTTTACCCGAGGAGAACTTCTTCGAAGACACAGATAATTGTGTTAACAACAATTCCACCGAAAGCGCCACACAACCCTCCATTTCCGACTGCATGGAGAAGATGGTAGATGAGATTGGCAAACTGAAGGCTTACATTGGAAAACTGGAGCTTCAACTCTACGAGACTGACGAGAAAATCTCAGATTTAATGGAAAATGTAGGTGAAATGAAACATGAGTGAAACATCCAGTTCATTAGTGAATTAATGCCACTCTTTGTCCAACAGAAATTGCAGCTTGAGAAGGAAAATGCGAGCCTGAAGGTGGAAAATGCAAATATGACGACACTGGCGAAGCTCGTCACGGAGAATATGCAGGAAAGCATCGATACAAGCAAAAAGTAAGCAATGCATTTTAATCGTGAAGTGAAAGAAATGGTCAAAAACAGATTCGCAAAAATTATTACTTCAATTTCTGCATTTAAACATTTAATTGCTCCACAACACGAAAACAGTAATAATTTCACTTCAGAAATTATGCATTCCATCGAGAGATTTATCTTTATGTCGATTACTGCGCAATATTACGTCAATATGATATGATTGTTTCGAGTGGTTTAAATTTGAAAAAATGTGTTGCAATGTTTTGGAAATTAATCACAAGGCGTCAAAATGCCCATTTTTCTTCTCCTCAAGCATGTACAATTAATCACAGAGTTTATTCTGCAACTATTCATGCTTGTGTATGACTATTTATTATTTTTTGTAATTGTGGTTTGTATCAAACAGAAGCAAATATTTCCATTCTTAATCACTTTTTCCCTTGCTTTTTTTCGGGCAGTGGCAAATTGTCGTTGAATCACATTTAGTGCTTTAATATCCAGTCGTGAAGTGAACAATAACAGTAATTGAGTTTTGCGGATAATGCTTCCCTACAGGATGGAGTACACAATTCGCCAAATGAGAGCTGAGAAGGACAAATTGCTGAAGTCATCATCGCCCAGGGACACTCCTGACGTGGTGTGTCCGCCGGAGAGGAAATCCGTGCCGCAGAATCAGCTCACGCGAATGCGTATCCAGCAATTCGAGAATGCAAGGGTGGAACCCGAGCGCCCACTTCCCGTCCCACCGAAGAGGATTACAGAAATGGTGAGTCCTTTTGAGCCCCTCAATTCGATTAGCGCACAATTCGCACAGAAGGACGCAAGTAGTGCAAAACTAACCAGTTGAATAAAGTTAGTATAATTACTAATTTTCTCACTCCAGCATGAGAAGGAGGTGGAGGATGGGAACGGTGATGGAGTCGATGAGGTGGAAGAGTGTGATAGAGCGGAGGGACTCGCTGAGGATGTTATTGAGAGAATCCGAATGCTCGAGATTAAGCTCGAGATTGCCGAGCGGGAGCTCAGTCTGGCATTGAGTCGGGCCGAGCTGGCCGAGACGGCTCTCACGGAGCTGAGGCGGAAGGAGTCCGTGAGCCAGGCACCCCCGCCTCCTCCCCCTCCCCCACCCCCGCCGCCACCGCCACTAACCATGACTAATACAGCGAGAGTGAATAGTGACGGCGATATTGAAAGAAATGACTCGAGTAGGGTGGCGAAGGCTTCAGCATCCAGCCACAAGAAGGGACAATCAACAGGTATGTACTGTGCGCGGGTGTGTGGGTGTACATAGCCGTAATCGATCGCAACCAACACTGGCTTCCAGTCACGAGGCGAATAGGGTGACAAAGAGGAAGAGTGAGAGAAAGCCATGGCAAAAAGTACAAGAATATTGCGGAGAAAGTCACCCAGAGTGGGGCAGAGGAAGCGTACACATTTTCATACAAGTAAAATTTCACACAACTCGTGAAATTGTTGCGAAAATCAATCCGCCCAATCCACCCCCAGAGCGCCCCCGGCGTGTCCCCAGCAATCGTATTGCGTTATTGCGTATAAATTGCGCTGCAACAAGTACAAAACCTATGACTTACAATTTGTTTGCACGACTTTATATTTATAATACAGGCACAGTAGCTCGCTGAGAAATATTTCCACGCTTATTAGAGCAAACAGTGGCGTAGTTGCTGGCAATGTACATAAATCATTTAGATAGAGACAAAGTGTTTTAGGGTCTATTTCTACTATTCTGTATATTCTGTCTCTGTAATTACTGTATTAAGTAGTTTTTTTAGCCGGTTTCCTTCATGTTCCTTCGACACTAACATTTCATGACACATTTCCAAGTGATTCAAACGCGAAATAGCTCAAAAAAGTTTCGTCAACTACCGTTTATTTGTGGAATTTCCACAAATTGTGTATAATTTCTCTGTGAAAACACGAAAATGGAATTGTTCTGCGGTTGGTGAGTGTAATCTGGCAAAAGAAGCCCACCCGGGGTATTTGTAGGGAAATTGCTACAAGTCGAGAGAAAGAGAGAAAAAAAAGTGTATATTGTACAATGAAATTCACGAGGCGAAACAAAACATAATATCGAGTCTAATTCACTCACAGCCTCGCAGTCTCTCTTGAATAAAAGCCACATAAATTTACCCGCCACGAAGCATTTCCATCATCCCTAATTGACATGAAATTCAAATACACAACATCAACCGTCCCCAGCTGAATCCTCCAGCCCACCCCATCGCCACCCATCGCGCTTCGCGACTCTTTTTCCACCGCTGCGCGCCTCATTTTCCACTACAGATCTCTTCGCGGAATATTCCTCTCGCCGTGTCTTGTGCTCCTTTCGTCTCCCTCAAACTACCGAAGCTAGAGGTTTTTCTTTTTATCAAAAAACTCAAATGATATTGATGGACAATTTAGGGAAATACAATTTTCCTCTCTCGTCGTTGGTAATCCGTCGGTTAAGTGTGTGCTGAATCTTGTATTCCTTACACAGTATTCTTCTCACTTTTTCCCCCTTAAACAATTTTACACTTTTACCAGCGAAAGAACAAATATTAAACTTCATTTGCTGTTGAGGGTGTGAAAATAGAATCACTCTCACATTACACTCATTGAAAAGGAGTCACAAGGAATCGCGCCTCGGCACAGGAGAACACATCATTCCGCCTGAAGATGTGAACTCGTCAAATTTTTTATCGCAACTAAAATCAATCAATCGTAAAAATATCAAACATGTCAACAAGTCATCGGGTACGTGTCGTTGAGGAGGGGGCGCCCGATGGGGAGTGTGTTGTGGAGCCGTGTATGAAATATGCGCAAAAGATAGGTGACGCGAGGGAAGTAAAATGGCAATTTTCCCGTGAGACGCGCGACAAGAGTGCACTCAGTCGACGGCTTTTTGTGGTCGAGGCAGGAGCACAACTGAGGACTCAGCCTGGCCGCTCTTCAGCTCCGGCCCGACTCTGTCGCCCGAGATGATTGCGCCCACCCCCACGGACACCCTCGTCCGCACAAGTCACTATAAGTCCATCGATAAATACGTAGTGCCAGACAATGCATCACGAGCCGACTATATTAAACGTTAAACGGCGAAATTCCTCATTATAGACTCTCATCCAAAGGATCAGAAAGCACACTGACCCACTTTTCATATCACTTATCAGTAGGAGGATTAAATTTCTGAATAGTTTCTCTCAGATTTTTGAATAATTAAGTTCTGCAAAGACAAATTTCACTGGACAATTTGTTTTGACGCAGAATTGAAAACGAAACTGTTTGCAATCCCGCGTGAAGGACTGTTAGTGAAAAGAAGGATATAAAGTGAGATATTTCGTAAGTGAGAAGTTCTGTTGCCTCTTTAATTCAATTACACCGTCGAACCATTTATTCATTTGACTTTTCCCCAAGCGCCCAAGAACCACACCGATGATTAGTGTCTCCTCCATTAACCATCTCTTTTCCACCATTCCCCGTACTTTCCATTTGTAATTTAATTTACCAAATGAATTTTTCCACACCACAAAAATCGCACAAAACTGTGGCCAGTGTCTAAAACCGTCCCACGACATTTGCGGCAAGAAAAACGGCGCAAGAAAAGTTTCTCACAACAACTCCTTTTCTCCTCCTTCCATTTCAGGTATGGATATTATAATGGATGAGCTGAAGACGGTGACGCTAAGGAGACGACGACGCCTTGAAGATACTCAAAATCCCGTCGTCAACGGTCTCTGCGAGGTCATCGAGAAGATACAGAAGCAGAATCGCAGCTCTAGAACACTATTCCAAGTGAATTTGCAGAATTTCAGCACGACTAGTGAACACTTCTAATTCCGTCTCAAATTTTATACATAAGATTTTATTGCCGTCTCTTTTATTACTTTTTATATCGCAATATAATGTCTCACTTAATATTTAATACATTTTTCTATAGTAAAACTCTCTTACAAACTCACATCATCTTTGGCTTTCAATCCATATACGGTAAAATATAATGATTCTCTTATGAGGATCAACTGAAATTTCTGAGTTTATTCCTTTGTTCGAAGTTCAAATTTAAATTTCACCCAAGAGTTTTCTTGTGATAAAAAAAAACAATCTATCAAAGATTTTAAAATATCATTAAACCCCCTAAAAATGCCATTATTTTGATATTTATCCTCCCTTTTCTCTAAAATTTTCCCTCACGATATTTTGTACTTTTCCATAAAATCCCGTAAATTAAATGTTTCACGTGACTAAAAATAAACATTATGGATAATTCAACTACTGTAAAATAGTAAAATTAGGATATTTAAGTAATAACTTTGGTTGCAATACGCACAATATGGTTATTTCAAAGACACTCTGCGGTATAATGAAAATTTTGATTGTCACGACCTTCAAATTTGTGGCACATTTCTAGGATATAATCTTCATATATAAAAAAAAATGTTATTATTGCAATCTTAAATATTTCTACTACCTAAAAATTGTGCTCTCGCGATATTTGTCTACACAATAATATTGCAAAAAAAAGGCATTTTGCAGTCTTTTACATTGTCTTCCCCTAAAAATATTTTCGCATAACTTATCGTGTGCATAAAAATGTGACTTTAAGACCGATATGGGGATAAATATTAAAGGCATAAATTGCAGTAAAATATATACGTGATGGTAAATATGCGACACATTCACGTACCTTGCATTATAAAATTCACTTCCTTGAATATCTCCTCTTTTCTCCACCCCCTGAGAGACTTTTTCTCTCGCCTCTCTGCACCATTTTCCTCCGCATATACGCTCAACACCGAGACGCGTCCCTTATTCATGGTCTCGTGATAAAAATACATATAATCTATGGTGAGGAAACGCCTTTAGAATTGCGAGTGGGTTTTGGCGGTGGAGTCGGTGGTCGTTTCCTCTCGTCATTTCCAATGCAAAAATTTCTCGCCTCAACGTACTCATAGTTGACATTGACGACAATGGGAAGCTGCGGCAGAGGTTTATTGCTGCTGGATGAGCGAATATTTTGCCGAGGCGGAACGCCACAATTGCTCTCCTCATTCGGTAAATTTGTGTAGTCCGTGGAGTCTCTTGTCTTGGCCGGAAGCGGAGGTGGAATGAGGTCCTCGTCCGAGGCCGTTGAGTCAGTTGTTACTGAAAGTCATACGAGACACTTTAGCTATAACATATGTGGCTTTGCTTAAGTGATTAACATGGATAAGCTCGATAAATCTTATTGTAAGCTGGAACAAAAAAGGAATTGATCTATCCAGAAACTCTGCAACATGTTTGTGGGACAATAAAGAGCTGAAGCTGAGTTGTGTGCAGACAAATAGAGACATGGAGTACGAGAAGAACGTACCAAAATATAAGTATTTTGATGACATCTCAGACTAGGGATCGAGAAGTGTCTTTAAATAAAATCTATCAGAGGCAGAAATGGGTCGTGTTCAATCATAAATAGCACTGCAATTCGTCATTTCTACTCACCTATTGAATTCCTATTACTCTCCGCGTCGGACACTGAATTGCTGTCACCGGGAAGACCTCTGATGCTGTTCGTCGGCGTCACAATGCTCGCCGTCCTGGATAATCTCCTCTCGCGCTCAATCTCAGATCTCAGCGGTCTCTTAGGCGTCAGCTCCTCAGTGAGTTCCACGACTAAACTGTTGGTTGGCGTGGTCAAGGCACTGCTTCCGTTGCTGCAAATCGACGTGGTGTCCTTCTCCGGCGGCGTAGACGTGATCGGCGTGAGAGTTCCTGTGTACCATTGACTGGTTGTCACATTTAGTGATTCCCGATCAATCTGCAAAATCAATTGGACACTCTTCACACTCTTCATCAAAGACACAAGCAAGAAAAAACGTAAGAATTGAAAACAAAAGTAAACAAAACCCATACTTTACGACTCGATCGTCGCTTATTGCTCGATTTCTCTTTACTTTTCTTTGCATTTGCTGTCGTTCCTAGCGATGTTCTGGTGATTTATTTGGATGGGGGACAAATATACATATAAAAAGAAAGGAAATAAACATGAAACCAACAACCAACATTAAAATATGATTAAATGATAAATAAAACAAGTAAATTAAGAGGGTAGAAAACAAAGAGCCAAGCAGTTATGGATTGATGAACACGACTTTAAATGTCATTTTCATCCACCAAAACAATTCCGTCACCAAATTAACAACGTTTAATTTTTCATTGAAAAGCTCCCACAAAGTGCTTGGTTCTTTATTTGGGTTACGATTAAACTTTTACCTCTCATATTGCTCTTAAAAATAATTGCTAAAGCCAAATGTTGCCTTTCACCCAAAAAAAAAATCCTTTTTAAATAAACGCATTCTTAATCTGAAATTCCTTGTTAGTAAAATGAATTTGGAAAAGAGTTTATTGAATAAAATATATGTGCCCGCATATTAACAAACCCGCATTGTAATGGCTTTTATGTAATTGAAATAAAAACAGAAGATCAAGTGAATGAAAGGCAGAGAATCACTAACCTTGTCAAATTAGCTGCATTGAAGTTAAAATTGGCGAATGTGGATTTAATTGAGCTGGTCTGTGATCGATTTGGCTGCATAGACTTAGACAGGCCACTACTGCGAGATTAAATGCGAAATGTTAGGCATCTATGAATGCTAAGCTATCACCATATTACATACTCATTCGATCCCATGCTCGTCTCGGAGAGGCGATTCGAGTCCAGACTCATCTGAGCTGACATTCCTCGGCGCATCGTCACGAACTCACGATCAAACTTCAAGTCACTCGTCTGATAAACACACATGAAAGAGAAGAAGTTCTGTGAATTGAGCAAAAGTGATTTCATCATTGTTGAATCTCTCACCCTCTTCCCGTACTTGATCTCCACTTTCGCCTGCATCTCGAAGAAACACTTCTCCAGTCGCTCATGGAAAGGTGCCAAGGACTTCGGGGCCTTTGATCTGTGCACATGCACAGCAATCTCCAAGATTGGTATTTGCTGCGCAATCAGCTCCTTCAGCTTCACCACGAAGTGCACATCATCGGGATTTTGCTCCAGATATTCCTCCGTGAGGAAGGCTTCCTCGTACTTCCTGAATCCTCCCATCACTGCCGGATCCACTATTCCGTTGATCTTCATGCTCAGCGGATTGATTGGCAGCGTCTCGTCATCCCTGTGAGCAATTACTAGATTCCTAATGAATTTATTCGTAGCTTCCATGGTCTCGATCGCATGTTCGATGGGAGAAATCTTGAAAGTCTCTGTCGCCTCGACTGGGAACCACCTCAGAATGCCCGGCAGCGGATAAGTTGTCTGCATTATCGTGCGCTCCAGCCACATATTCGCCACTGAGTCATTCGATGTTGACTTCCCATCACGATAGGGTCGCGAAAACTTGAACTTCTGCACATTATTCGTCTGATAGTACTTCACAATCTGTTGTGCAACAATTTTATCCTCATATCGCTCATTCTCCTCCGCCATTATTGGCTCCACACTGTTCACCTGGATAAACTGACCATCGCTCTGCATGACATCCTGGCCAGGTGTTGTCAGCGTTTGCATAAGTTCAGCTGCCGGATGTTGTGTCAAGATGCGCGTGCAGAAATCACTCAGTCTCTCATACTCCTTGCCACGATAGATGAAAATCTTGTTGCGCAGGAACTCTGGGAACTTCAGGCCATAGAAGGCCACGCGAAAGTACTCATTCTCATGGCGCATCTCCTTGAGGATCTTCCCATAGAACGCCGCCATCTTCTGGTGAATATCACTGAGGCTGATGTAGTCAAACACCTTGTTCTCATACTGCTCAGCCAACTCCTTACACATCGCCAGGGCGCACTCCCACATCTTCCCATTGTCAAAGTGCTTAATGATCTCGTGGTAGAGTGCCTCTTTGAGTTGCCGGTGCGTCTGACAGTGTGGGAAGCGCTGTGAGCGCAGCAGTGACGAGAGACCCGTGTCATTCCACATCAGCAGATTGCTGTGCAGCTTGAGCGTGAAGGCAGCCTCTGTGTAGTTATCAAATTCCATGTGCAAGTCACACAACTTGTTCACATAGCGAATGTACATCTCCTTGCGATTCACCTCCGAATAGAACTGCAGCAGACTCACTGTGCACGCCATGCGATTCTCCTTGCTTTCATCGTGAATGATGCACCGATACTCCAGCAGTCTCTCCATCAGCTTCGTGGCAATGACCACAAAATTCGTGCCATCCACCTTGAGGGTGTTGTGATTGCGGCAATTCTCCATCATGATGTGATAAAACATCTCCCTGTAGTCATTGTCTCCTCGCCCACCCTCGATGAGAATGTCCAATTTCTCAATCATCTCATTCTCGAAGTCATTGAAATTCCCCTTGTAATGGGTGTTATTGCGCCTCGTGTCCCCGTAGCTCTCCGTGATGTAGCGCGAGCTGCAGTACTCCGCCTGCATCATGTCGAAGAATATGGGTATGGTGGCCTGTCGCAGCTCTGGCTCCGGTATGAGGCTCATTTCAAGGAGAGGCCCCACAAGTTGTGGCACAAATTGAATTTTATTCTCACCCAAGCTGAACCACATCTTCCGTATCTCAAAGGCGGTCTCCTTGCGTATGTCACGGTAGCGCAGCAGAATGGTTGACGTCTTATTTGTCGTGAATTGATCCAATTGCAGCGACGGCTGAATGAGAAAGGCGATGGAGCAGTGAAAGAAATTCGACCACACTTGCTTCTCGAACGGCACAAAGAACTTCTCCAGTATGATGTTGGTGAAGTGCTTCAGACTCTCGAGAATAACAATGTTCTGATGCATTATCATATCCATCCAATCACTTGCGAACACAGGATATGACACCAAATCCTTGAACACGTGCAGAATCTCCGTGAGAAAGTCCATGAGATCATATTTGGTGCCGAAGTGATTCACATACCACGCGTAGTGCTCTTGCTTCATACTCCGGAAAATGCCCAGCATTATTGCCACCAAGTTCCCCACCAGCGGATTATCCCTGTCCATTTGGATGGACGACTGAATCACCGTTCGCAGAAGAATAAACATTATATCTCTGATATCATGCACCGTTGATCCAATATCCTTCCGGTGGAGAAGTCCCAAGATATTATTCATGATATTGACACACTCCGCAATCTAAATGGGGCCACCGCAGCGGCACACACACAATGGAGAGAAAAGAGAGATAGCATTACCAAGTCATCAGTCGAATCATCATAAATACATAAAAAGATTTCTCGTTAATATCACATTTTTTTCTTCAGCAAATGCAACACACATTGAGAAATTCTTTAAGCTCTTCAGCACACTTACAAAGAAAAGAAAAACAATCAGATAAAAAGAAATATTATTCTATGTACTAAAATATACCTTGGTCTTGGCTGTTGACTCACGCGTGTGCAGATTTGACTTTAATTCACCCAGTACCTTAGCGGCCTTTGTTAAATTCTTTTGCTGTTGCCACAATTCTGACATTACATCACCCTGATAATTGTTTGCGTGTAATTTTTTTGTTTTATTTTGGCAAATTGCACGTGATAAGGATGAGGATAAATAGGATTTCCACAGAATTTATTGGCAGGTACGGAGAGTTAAAGATACCAAAAAAAGAAATTATATTAATTAAATAAAATACACCACATAATTGTTATTCATGAAAGCTACAATCAATCTACACAGATTAAGCACTTTACACTCTACAAATCTACGTGAACATTCATGTAAAACATTTGCTCCCATATCAATTTTGAGCAAGAAAGAAGCAAGTAAAACAAACTGCATCCAATTGCATGGAGTTAACCAAAATGCAGGCGATGCAGGCCATAAAGAAAAGCGTAATTTGCAATAACATGCAGTCAGAGTTGAAATATTCATTGTATTTTACCGGCCACAGTTTGAAGAAAGAACAAAATCAAAATCTACTTTAAGGAACAAAGAGATTTTCAAGAGTTACTTAAGCTGTACTAAATCAATATTGTTGTTAAGGAATTATCAAAGTTTTATCTTTAAAAATCCATGATTAAATTGACTCTATTTGTTCTACTATCATCATTGAATTGACCATAAAATAAAGCGTAATAAAGTAAATATTGCATATCAAATCTACAATTCATTCCAACTCTGATTCAGCATTATTATAAGCATCAACAACATGCAAAAACTACCATGCATCAAATTAATCCCGATTAGTGTAATCATCAATCACAATGTGGAAGTGAGTATGAGGGATAAGAGGGAAAACAGTGAATCATGTCCGGAAATTGAAGATTTAGAATAGGCGTGATGTAGAGTAGAAAAAAAAGTGTTGTCATTTCGCATTTCTTTATGTACATTAAACCTCTTTTTCACGGAAAAGTGTCCCAGTTAAGGTCGATGAAGGTACTTCAGGTATTCTCAGAACATTAACAAGACAAGTAATAAAAATCATTGCAGCATGTTTCGAATGGAAGACGTTCACAAGACACACAAGGCATTATCATTTTTAAGACATGGCAAAACAAATTTTTTTTTGTTGTAAAATGTATGCTCTCACAAAACATTGAAGCACGTGCGAAGATTAATGATTCACAAACAAAGAGTTCTTATGTTATTTTGTAAACACACACGAAGTAGATAAGAGTGCACACATACCTCCTCCTTGCTCTCCAATTTCTCCTTGATTTGTTGACAAAACACTGGCAGAATAATTGATCGACACTCTTGCAATTTGAACAACTTCGAGTCAATCATGTCCTTAATGCACATCATTTTTGATTGTGTCAACCTTCCCGGTGGAATATTCAAGATTATATCCACGATAAATTGACTGAAATATATGAAAGAATAGCAAATTTACTTTCTCTCACACATCACTCGACGTGACGGGATTTTTCTTTACCTCAGCCTAATTGGACTGTACACTTTCATCAAATCCGACGTGATGACATGAAGATACTTGAGAGTGGCACCTTGTGAGCGTAGCAAATTGTTGGGACAGGCTATCAAGTTCTTAAACGACGTCAGCAAATCGTCCAGACTCTGCTCGAAAAACACCCTGTCCTTGTTGTCATTCAAATCAGCAAAGAGTATTCGCGATCTAATTATAAATTTCATGATATACTGCAAGTTCTTCGTGATTTTGTATAGCAATCCCTCCATTTCTGTTTCAATTGGAGTACATATTTCTGGCTGAATTACAGTTGGAGTGCTGTTGATGGCGTTCTTAATGTGTGTCTGCAGGACGTTGATCAATTTACTGCAAACAGAGAGAATTAAAGTAGAATCTTTGATGATACTTTAAGACTTACTCATAAGCCAGCGTTGCTGAGAAGCTCTCGTTGATGTACAAATCCAAAACAGACTGGAAATGTTGATACTTGATCTCGGACACAATCTCAATGAGCCGCAGCAAGCATCTGAAGACTAAATCATCGTACTTTGAAGGATCATTGTTTTGGACCTGGAAAACAGAAGGAATATTTTCTATCAAATGCTCTCAAGAAAAATCCATTGTAATCTAACCAAAATGCAGAACAATGCATCCAAAATATCCTGCAGGAATTTCACAACCTCTTCGGGCTTCACACCCATTATGGCATTCAGTGAGTTCTCCAAACCATCAAGATTCGATGACCAATTGAGCAGTCCCAGAAGTGCAACTGCGGAGAAAACAAGAGCATGATTTCCCCGCAACATTGGCAGTAAATTCAGATCTTACCATCCTGAGTGAGTTTTGTGCTGCACAGATTAGTCTCAATGACAAAGAAGTCCTTCGATGCGAGACTCAATCCAACGGCTGATGGCTTCGTGTTGGGCTCCAGATCGGAAAATTTCGATGGCAGTGATAAGTAGTTCAACACTGAGTCTTTATCATACTTCTTCTGATCAATCTTGTACACCAGCAACTTGTGACACATATGCTGCAGTGTTGTGCCATCATTTTGCATTAGTTTCACGTAAGACAGCGCAAATGGCTTCTCGGCACGATCTTTCGTTTCATTGGAACTTCGATGCTTGAATGTAAATCTCAAGTGGCACTGCTTGAATTCCTCTATCGGCACTTGCACTTTAAATGTCTCATTCCACTTGGGCTTGTCCTCATGATAGTATATAACGGATTTGTATTCACTGACCACCGCATAGCCCGCTCCCAGTGTTATCACGTCCGGTATAACGACTCCTTTCTCATTGCACACGCACACCATCACCTCGATGTTCTTATCGCCACTCTTCACACCCTTGGAGAACTCCCCATTCACCAGTGACAAGTACATGTCATTGCGCACATCGCCCGGAAAGATCACCTCCGGGAAGCCCATCTTCCTGGCAATTGGCACATTTCCGTGCACAAGGTGCGGATAATCCTCGCGGATTTGCTTAATGTCCCCATGAAGCACCTCAACACTCACTGCCAACTTCGAGTCGATCTTCCCCACGTCCTTGTTGTTGATCAACTTCTTCAGTGTCGTGTCGAGATTCTCCTTCTCGCACAGAATAAAGGGCAAATCGAGATTGTTCTTAAAATCCTCCGGCTTCTTGATAATCGGTGTCAAATCTATCGCCGCCACACCAAAAGGCCTTCGCATTGCATCTGCTCCAGCATAGTTGAGACTATTTTGGCTGTTCTTCTTGCTCATTGCGCCCTGCGGAAGAGCCAGAAAAGTGTACAATTAGCCAATCATTCATCGTCTAATCGAGCCAGTAATTTAGCGCGCTGGCTTTTTGAACAATTATCAGGTTAATTGGGTAGCAAGAGAGAGAGAAAAAAAGAGAAAACTGACCTGCAGTACAACACTTGCCACACTGACCCGCTTCGGGTCAGGTTCTTTGATATCCATCCCACCAATTCGAATGGCATAGCAGATCAAGTACACCTTATTCCTGTTCAAATCCTGTGTACTCAAGTCAGTGAACAACACCCGATTGTTATCAAATTGATCGATATCGCGGGCCAAGCCTTGCCTGCCCCACTTCACCACGTAATTCTCCGTTATGGACTTCTGCTCGTCAGCGTCGTACAGTGTGATGAGGAGGTCTGAGTCTTCTTGGAACTTGCACACAAATGCATGAACGCGCACGAGGAGATTGTGTGAGTGCTTGTTCATGTTCTTCGACACGCGGTTCTTGCTGAACGACGTCTGAAAGAGCGATCATACAATTATAAAAATTGTGGTCAATGAATAGCCATTGAGAGCGCAAGATAATTTCATTGACAATGTACAGCACACACAGATCAGGTGCCCTTGCGAGTGCAAAAATGCGCCTCTCTCAATGAGTCAGGTCATGAACTCACCGATGCCATTCGTATTCGCTCCACAGCATTCACGTGAAGCTCATACAATTGTGTTGTTGATGTGGAATTAATATCTATAACACTTCCACTTTCATTTCGTACCACCATGTCCAAGCCCAATAGACTGTTTCCCACATCAATCTCCGCCGTTGCCTGCAATTTCACCTCCTTCATCTCGTCCACTGGCAAATTGCCAGACAGTATTTGTGATCGTAACCTTATCAATTCCAGCATTTTCTGTCTGATGGGCAAGAAGTTTGCGTTGTTTGTCTACAGAGCGTGATGAGCAAAAAGGCAAATTAGCATTATTTTTAGAACACACCCCAAATTTGGCGTAACAAATTACCAAATAAAATTTCTTGAATAGATCTCCCCACTCCACGAGAACTGTCGTGATCTCATCAACAATTTCTGATCTCTTGATTACATAGTCACTCTTAGACCTCACACACTCCATCAACTGAATGTACGATTTTGGGAATATGCCTCGATTCCCACGATTTCTGCAAAAGAAAGAAGATGAAGTTTAGAAAAATTAGACAAAAGTGAAAATATATTTATTTCTTTGTTCACATCAACTAAAGTTCAATGATTCCTCACAAGAGCATCAGCTCAGCTATTATGTTAGACAAGCAGGGAGAAAGAGAGAGGAAGAGGCAGAAAAAATACAATAAATGGAAAGGAGGAAGAATCTCACGCACTTTTTATTGTATCCATAGTACCAATTTGATGTCTCTTTCAGGATTATCACAGCATCGCCAACGTCCAAAGTCAGTCTGTGCGACTTGTCTTGGGAAAAATTGTTCTTGGCTGCAAAAGAAACGTCGTATTAATATTACAAAATTCATATTCACTTCATGACCTGGCAAAAATCCACGAATAATCCAGTCAAAATAGTCTACAAATGTTTTCCAACAGCTCAACCAATAAGATTCAATTAATTTGAATTTCATAGTTCAAAACACTGAATCATTTTTACACACTGAATAAAAAGTATGAACATTTAATTGATCACTCACTGAATAAAGCCAAAGAAAGAATAATAGTCAAGAATGTTGTTGAATAAATTATTAACATCTCATCGACTTTTGGTAAAGAGATTTACATACTTGTTTCAATTTGTCACTTTTTGCCATGGCTAAAAACACTTCTTCAGAGGCACAAAGAATCTCCGAAAAAGGTTTCTTTTCACCTACAGAAAACAACCCGAAAAGCCACGAATTCATACATTTCGTAATAACAAATAGTCTTCAGATACATTTCTTTCATTCATCCTGTCGGTGTTTCTTCAAAAAATTCCCTTTCAACTCTATTTGCTATTGATGGAGGAACTCAAGTAGAATCATTATACGTGTGCATTGTACCACGTTTTGTTGGATTTTTCTCGGAAAACCCCCGACACAACAGGTAGAATAATATCACCCAGAAGAGAGGAAACGCATATTCGAACTTCACAAAACATTTCAACTGGGCTTCACAGAAATACTTTTCGCTTTAGTTGAAATGGGGAAAAAAGCCACAAATTGCAATATTAACCCAATTAAAAGCATATTTTCGCTCTCATAACACTCTGAGTTGCATTCACAATCCTCCCATTTGAGCCACTGTGCAGATAAACGGACTCTGTGTTATGCAACATCAAATGGTTTCGCATGTGAGAAAGAGCCCGAGTTCTGTATAGATAAATAATACAAGACATTCCTGATGGAATAATCTGTTCATGGAGAGAATGTGTATACTGAGTACGTTGTGACTAATCAATGGCATTTACGATAATTATACGTTGATGACCCTGATGTGACATCACACACACATTTTATTGGTTGGTGCACCATTCAATTTTCTATTCACATCGCATCTCTCACAATTCCACCGACTGACAATCAACACACAACTCACTCCTCTAAGAACGCCCCTAAGAAGAAGCTCTCCTGTTATGCACCCAATCAGGATTCCACGTCAATGACACACAAGAGAAAGAAAGAAAGCAAAAAAAAACACCAGAGAAAAACCATCGAACCTCACTGGAAAAACTCCGTCGAGCTTCTGTTTCAAAATTTCTCGACGCCAAGGAATATAAAAAGCACTCAACATTGTAAAGTCAAACAATCATGATGAACCGATAAAATCTCATGCAGAACTGACGAAAACGGCACTAGAGTGGAACTGAAAAAATCTGCACACAGACTCTCTCCCCCACTTTTGCGCCCACCCACGATCATATTGAGTGCTTCCCATTTTCTCTCAACACTACAAATGTTTTTATCAAAATGGGTTACTGGTGCTAATCAGCATCAATTTCAGCACTATCAAAACTCCCCCTCGAACTCAAATCGGGCCACAGACTCATTACGGAGATGCAAAACATTATTATGAAGTTCCACCAGAGCGAAAGCTAAAGCACTTGACCGAATTCTCGTATCACACAAAGGAAAAAAATGGAAAAACACTTAATAACTCATAGGTTGTGTTTCGACAAGAAATTCACTTTACAAAATCACATATTTGTCTTTCCAACCTCTTCCACCGGAAGAATTATACCCTTGCAACGGTCATGCACATTAGCTTGTCATAAAGATAAGGTTTCCTTGATAAAGAAAAGCCCTCAATTTACTCATTTCATGCCTCATTTCAACTTAGAGAACACCACATTTCTCTGGAAGAAGAAGTTCTCAAACTGAATTGCGCGCGTGGTAAACAGCAACAACACTCACCCGAGCATCGACCTAAAGGGAGATTAAACGGCAAAATGAATGTATTATCACGAGAGAATGAGCTTCCTTCCTGCTTTCCAATTGAAATTGGGCGAATGATTAGAACACTGGCTAAGCAAACAATTACAACCAATGTGCGTTGAGTCACTTTAGAATTCACGTCATAAGCTCAGTGTCCGTAAAATTAAATCAACACATAAATTCAATACAGGAATTAATCAATAAATTGCATGTTCAAAGTGATAATGAGACCACAACGTGAAGTGAAATAAAATTTCTCCATCATATTTATTAATCATCGAATTTTATGCGCAATTCTATCGCGAAAAACTATCGCGCTGTGCATTTAAACATATACACGGAATAGCGTGTAAGACTTTTTCTCACACGCTTTACTTCAAGTTGAATCTGCCGCACCCACATCTTGAGATGAGCAATAAATTCGTGATGCTTGTACTCAATTTACAACGAGTCTCTGGATGTACAATTGCCAATATATTTATTTTAAATACTCCATATAGAGATGCGTTTTGTTGCCTCTCAATTTCGTGGGCTGTGTAGCTTTGTATAGCACAAAAATCTGTCGATATAGCTTTCACTTAGAAACACTGTAAAGCCCGACATTTGCAATTGACCATGTAATTTCTCAATTGATTGCTCATGTATTGAGATTAATAAATCTCGAAAAAATCCATCTAATAGTTCATCCGGCAGCAAAAAAGCCAGACGAGAGAAACACATGATGAAATGTGTGTAAACACAGACACGAGATTTATTGGCTTCGTTAATTCTCTTTTAGGTCCAAAAGGAGATTATTTGAAAGAACAGATTGGGTTCATTTTTTCCTATTTATTTTTAACCCTGAAACCTCAAATTATTTCAAATCGTAAAAATCATCACGTGAAGAAGCACTAATGGTCATAAATAGACTCTCTCTCACTCTCCTGAAGCTAGAATATTTGTTATTTGGGTCTCGAGGATTAAAATTAATAGTCGCATTTCATCGTGGTGTGAAAAAATATTCTTCATTTCGATTATACAACACTCAAAGAGTGTAGTAAAATCTGCATATCTCATTCATCTTCTGTATTGGGGTCAATTTAATCCGATGGGATATACAGCAGTCGTCAATAAAATATAAAATGATTGATTATAGGGTTGCTTTGGAAATGGAACATTTCAAATTTCCCGCATGACTTTTCAATTTCTCTAACAAAATTCCCTCTCACAATTCTTCATTGCTTGTTAAACACCGAAAACTCAACGGGGAATAACATGAATTTTTCAATACAACTGTTTTCTATGTTTGATATTCAAAGAAACATAACATTTCCGAAGTGAAAAGAGGCAAACCAATGAGAAATACCATGTAAATTATCATATTAGAAATTCGCAAGAGTGTTAAATGCGAAAATATTTATGTAATCACAACTTCAATTAAGTGATAAAAGCATGAATCATTATCACATAATACCGTGTGCGAATCTGCCATTGCGACTGAAATTAAGAATAAAACACACGTAGGAAAAAAAAATATAGGGGAAGCCTTGCATTATTCATGATAAAGTGTGAATTGTAATTGCATTCTCTCAAACATTTTTACACACAACTATGTTCATCATACAGACATGAGCGTCATCATGCTGTGGACTTTAAGTCACATTGTTCAAGGAAAGTTGAAAGTGTAGTTGAAGAAGAAGACGACGACGAAAAAAATCAAGGGAAACGCGTGCCACACAATAAACAGTACATCAACATCGCCCTTTTAGCATAAAATATAACTAAAAGCCGAAGAAAGACACGCTTCTTCCCATTGATAATGCCTTCTTCTTCTGCGCTACCGACACCCCAAAGAGGCGCACATTTTCATATTCACACACAAGGGGGAATATATTAATGGCATATTTGTCGCTCTCCCAGTTAAAGTGTGGAAAGAGAGAAAAAAAAAGAAAAGGAAAAGGTCTGTCGAGGAACAATTAAAAATATCTCTGGTTTTTCCCTCATCACATCAAGCTCACAAATTTCAAAATAAACGCACACGAAAATCCTGCGTCCCCCACAGTTTGTTATCCGAGTGACTTCCATGAATGTTAATTGATTGTGATTATGTCTCTCTGGAAGCCCAATTATTGGATGCAAGCGCATGAAGAGTTATGTGGAAAAAATACCTCATCATTCACTTTATTTACCCATAAATATTTACATTACTCAATTCATCCATTTTATTATCAAACTAAATTTATGCAAGTGAATCATTTGTAAATACACAGTTAAATGATTACACGCTGTGTGTAAATACAAAATTCGACACATAGTTTCACTTCATCTCACAGTAGATTAAATGAAATACAAATAAATAAAAACTACCGGTTCATCGGTCAAGTGTGGATCGACCTTAAGATTTCCCCACTAACATTGACCAAAAGGCCCCAAAAAGCATTGACGATCAATACTGGAAATTCAGCGGGACAAGAAAAACACCTTTCAATCGACTTTCTTCGCTTTTATCAGCATTGCTGGTTAAGAAAATTAAACCCTGTCTTCAGATAGTGACTCCAGAGATAAATTCTGAGCTCACGTGTGGTAAAATTTGTAGGGACTTCCCCTTCGCCTATTTTTGGAGGAGCGATTAAAGAGCATCGCTGACGTAAATCCCTTTGAAGCTCACGCAGAAACTCTCACTATGAATATTTATGCTAACGGAACACAGCATTAATTTTCGCATTCTAATGGGAGATTGTCTTCGCGCGTCAGCTCACTTCTTTCACTCTCTAGCAGAAGTGTGTAAGATCGACAATAAAGAGAGGAAAGAAGAACACACTCGCAGGTCTTCAGATAAAATGGCACAACAGAAATTGTTATAGAGTTATAAGTGTGTTACGATAGAGAAAATTGTTATCACCGTTACTGAAATGTAGAAGAATCACGAGATTAGATAAATGTTCACTTTTCTCGTCTCGCACGCCTTTCACAGCGAATGCTTCTCAAAATTGTAAATTTTCTTTCCCACTTGAGCGTGTGTTGTTTTTTCATGAGGTGAATGAAGACTGACAAAAAAATCTGATGTAAAATACATTTTAGGGGCTCTCCTGGTTCTTTGCCGTCCAATTATGTGCTTATTTGTATGCTAAATTATGTGATGAGTCACGGTAAAAAATGTATTATAGAAGAGAACTTTGTGTCGCACTGACGAAAAATATCACCGTGAAAGAAGTTAATTCATAATGTTTACTCAAAAGTAAACTCAAACTGAGAATTTGCTGACGATGAACAATTTGCTTCTGACTTTTGACTTTATGAATTTCTCTTCTCACCACATTTTTTCCTCGGCATTCGAGATATTCAATACGCTAATAAATTATTGCGAACTTACAATATCAATGAGCCATTTGAGCGATAATTCTGCACTATCTTATCACTTTGCAAGTATGTTGAGTTGAGTAAAAAAAAACACGTACAGAAAAACCGTGACCAAGTGAAGAAGCTTTGCTGACTGCTCTTTGAAATCACTCAAAATCAAGCTGAAAATTCCAATTGACACATTGAAAATGAAAGGAAATTGGGCAGAATTCTCATTGACGATCCTTCAAAGCGAACTTATTAGTGTCATATCTCACTATGATGCTAAAAGATGCTGATTTAGAGACAATTAGAGCAAGAAAACTGTCAATTTTTGAGCAACTTAGGGCATTTTTGCACTCTTTTAAGGCATTAAAGACAATTCGTGTTCGTCATTACTAATTAAGTCATTGTCTTTCGCTTTTAACCATTTTAACCCTACAATAAAGTGGAAATACGACTTTAAGAATCTGTGCTTAGATCAATATGCTCAGTTAATCGTAGTAAACTTAGTGGGATAACTTCCTTAGAGCCCCAAAAACAGTCAATAATAACTCGACTTTTGCCGCAGCAAAGCCGCAGGGAGATTGGAAAAGTATAGATTAAAAATAAGAGGATTTCAAGGAAAACCTTCAGTTGAGCAACAACTTTTTCTCCTCTGCGTATCACAATCAATTCCCCGAACATCTCGAGAAGTTGACACGCATGATAGCGAGAAATCTCAGCGTGATTCATGTCCGAAGAGCCGATCACATTCTGGGAATTTCACTCAATTGACCCACAACACACTCCCAGACTGCCAAGGGGCCTTCGCTGGTGTCTCATTTGCGGCATCAGGAGCCCCAAAAACCCGATAAATGCCACCCGAACTGATCACACACTTCTGCCGTCCGGGAACAACAAAATGAGTAATCTCGGGTGGGAAACAGGAAAGGAGGCGCGCACACTTGCTCCAGCATTAATCATCAGCATTTGCATGCTGCGGGACCGCAAATCCGCGCAGACACGACAAATTCCCAGTTGCAGATGCGCGATTCCCACATTTTGTCACCCAATGCAACAAGTGATTCTTCTATTTTTCTTCACACACACTCAATTTCTTGTTCGCCTTTTCCTTCCTCATTTTTTTTTGTACGTGTTTACTTTCGCCATATCGTGGATTCTTGCCAGCTCCAGCAGCCCTTTCGCCGCGAAATCTTACCGATTCCATAGAGGAACTTCTCGTCCACACTCTTCCACACGGTCATTGTGGCAAAATCATCAGTTTTTTCTCACTTTTAGCACAAAAACCCCATGAAAGGTCACACAACACGAAACACACGCAACGAAAATCGCAAGCAAACTGCGTCGAGCTGCGTCTCCCACTTCTTCTTCCCTTTCTTCGCGCTGTCAGCTGACCGACTGCGGCGCCGCACCGCGGCGAAGAGCCCAAAGACATCCAACTGGAAGACTGGAAGTCACATGGACACGAATTCGCGCCCTCCAAAATCGCATTGTAAAATTATTGTTCCATATGAAGAGTTTTTTTTTATTCAATTCCAACATTCTAACTGTGAATTTCATAATCTGACATACTTATTTTGTAAACAGTCCAAAAAAACTAAACATCCATCTGGTCGTCTGTTGGCTGAAAAGTGTCCACCATGACGGAGTCGATGAAGAACCTGAGCTCCTTCTGAGCATATTCCTGCGGCAGCGGCAACTTCTCCAGTGCCACCTTGATCAGCAGACAGGGATTGAGATGAGGCGACGTCATCAGCACTCCGCGCACGAGACAGGCCAGTCGCTGAGAGATCTCACTCTGGCACAGGCGATGCTTCGCCGTCGGACACGGGAAGAGGTTTATTCGCGAACATAGTTCATCTAGCTGAGGCTTCAATCCCTCCCAGTGGCTCACGAGTTCACTCTCCGCCACCGACTTGAAGGATTCAAACTGGAGAAGAGAATAAATTGATATTAGAACAAAGCAGCAAATGAGAAAACACACAAAATTTCACCTTTTCATTCATATCGATAAAATCATAGAGGATTTGACCCTGATTCCTCCAGTTCATGATCTTTTTCGTCTCCTTGAGCGCCCTAAGAAGCTGCATCAAGTATGGGATGTTGTCTAGAGAGTGAAACGAGAAGACGATTAAAGAAGTGCAAACTCAAATGACAGTGAAATCCTCACCATTAATCACTGCATCCGGAGCGATGTGCTCCATGATGACTTCATGGGCCAAATTCCACTGCTTGGCCTTGATAAGGAACTCCGCCTGCTCCTGGTGCTTCCTCATGGCACCCGCCCTCACGGCCTTCGCCCAGCAAATCCACGTGACCGGGATGTGCAGCTGCTCCACCACAAATCTCTCATTGGCCTCGTACTCCGCATCACCCTCGCCGGGCAGCATTATGAAGCGATACAGCATCTGCTGCACACTCATCTCTCGTCGCTCGCGATTGCGAATGTGCAGGAGGACAAAGATCGCCCAATGCCACATCCCATAGTTCTCCAGTTGACTGGCAAAGGACGTGTGCAGCTGACACTCTGACTTCTCCGAGCAATGATGATAGCCAAGTGTGTCCAGAGTCTGCAAAAGCAGCCAACTGAGTCGGAAATCCATGGAGTCTGCCGTGTGTGTGGCCGGATTAAGGAGAGTCTCGATCCGATGACTCCTCTTGGAGTACAACTTCAGCAAGTGATAGCGCATATCCTGAATGGGACTCGCACTGTTCACCTCGTAATCCGTGTAAGGTGGTCTTGGCGCCGCTGCCACACCATCTTCAGACGTGAAAGCACTCTCATAGTTCAACAGAGCATCGGTAATTGATGCAGTCGGAGAGCATAAGTACCACAAATTGAGCTGTTGAGGGAAAATTAATGCAAAATTAGATAATTAAGTATTGAAAGATAGAAAGTTACACACTCACCGCCAGAGCTGTGATCCAGTCCACATCTTGAAATACATTTATAGTTCCGCCTTTTCCCTCATTCAAGCTCTCATTGGAGGACGATAGCAGAGGAATTCCCGCAATTAGCATAAACACCTTCAGGCGATTGGCGTTGATAAACTTATCTGCCTCCACTTCTTGCCACGACGCCAACTGATGCTGAATGAGTTGCCTCACAATTGGACCACCTGTGATCAGAAGGAAAGTAATGCATGTTAAGCAATTTTTCATCCAAAACTTCAGCAACACTTACCCGAAGATTGGGAGATGAGCAGAGACAAGTTCATGTCACTCTTCATGAATGCCAACTCACAAGCCTCCGTGACTTTGTGAGCATAGAGAAGTTGAAGCAAGTACTCCAAATAGTCAGACTTCTCCGCACTGCCCGATGATTTTTCCGTCACAACTTCCTCCAGCCAGTTGGACAGCAGTTCTCGGCGTCGCATAACAGTGAGATGACTAGCCGGATCTTGTCCCTGCAACTCCTCCTCCTCGCCCCACAATGCCTCGCACAGAGACCACACAGTCTGCCCATACTTCTTCTCCTGATCGCCCATCTTCTGTTGCTCCCTCGCCAGCTGGCAATGCTCAGACAGGAGATCCGTTCCGCCCGCTGGCAGAAACTGCGGACACTCACTTGGCGAGAAAATCACCTTCTCGCAGTACTTCAGCTGAATGCCCAAATGCTTGTGAATCGATCGGTGGAATGCCCGAATTGGCAGCACAGAAGCCACTTCGAGTCTCACAGCAATCGCCGGAGACTTGTCATTCACATTCCGTGCAGCGAGAAGTGGTGCAAAGTCACCGAGACTTGTGGTTGCGCGCACCAAATCCTGAACAGCATGCTTACTGCTGAGAATCATCACGGCATTCCGAGGGCCCCAGCCCACTTTGAAGCGCCTTCCAGCCAGAATTCCACTGTCAGCCACACACTTCGCTCTCAGTCGCCTCACAATTGAGCTCTCGCAGGGAATGATTGTGCCCACGGGATTCACAATGGCAATCTTTGGCTCCACCACCAGTGGATAGTACATGGGTTCAATGATTTGTCGCGGAATTCTCTTCTCCACCACGTCCGCCTTGGACGTCACTGGAGCCACACGAACTGGAGTGTAGCTCACAGTTGGCGTGTCTTCTGACTGCGTCTGGAGACTCATCACACTTGATCCCTTGTACATGCTCTGCATGGAGGAGAAGCGACTGCCCAAGTGACGACTCGGCACAATTTGATCCTGATCGGGACTCTCTCTGCCCGTCATAGAATCCGTGCACACAGATCTGTTGTCGTAGTCATCGTCAGCGAAGAAAGCCGCCTTCATCAGTTGCAACTTGTGTGACTTTGCGCCCATTTCCATCGCCACTGAGGCTGACGGACTTACGGGGTGTGTTTGAGAGAATGACGGCACAAAGTCCATGTCGAAATCGTCCTCCATCTCAAAGGCTGAAAGCAAAAATTCACAAGGAATTGTATTAATGTTTATCAATCCACTAAAGATTCTCTCTATATACTCACATCGCTCAATGCTTGTCATCTGCCTCAGCTCATCAATGTCCGGATGAGAGAGCGCAGTCGATGAGAAGGGAACTTCAGGCAATTGCTTGCTCTTCTCCACAGACAGTGGCGTCTTTTGCGCCGGCGGTGCTGAGATCTTAGGCTTCTTGGCTGGATCCACTGGACCAGCACCCTCTTCGTCACTCTCCGTTAAGCCATACTTGGAGAAGTGATCCACCTTGAACACCCAACTGCCCGTCTCAGGGCGATACTCCACGAATCTCGTGTCATGCTTCTTGCACACACGCCTCAGGAAGTCCTCATAGCCCTGACTCTGCAACCGTTCCGGATCCTTGATCGACTCATGTGTCTGCTTATCGTGTGGCCACACTTGATCCAGCGTCACTTGAGCCGGACGATTGAGACCCACGCCAATGGGTGGCTTCTGATCATCAAGCGGATAGATAACAATCTCCTTGTGGCGGAAGAACACATTCTCATCCAAATTCAATCCGGCAACGTCCATCTCCTCGTCATAGAACACATTCCCATATCTCTCGCGGCCTATTGTGAAGTTCTTCACCACACACGTGCCGTCCTCCTTGAGATAATCCATCAATTGCTCCAAGGAGGGAATTGTATAGTATCCCGCGCGCCTCAGGACAATCCCCGTGGGATGTGGCTCAGCGTTGGCAGTCATTTGATCCAGCATCTCCTCACCATCACTCATGTCAGCCGCCACAGACGCCTCGGACACCTCTCGTGACGTCGACGACACATCCTTGTCCTGACTCAACGTCTGGCCAGACATCCTCGAGCCCGACGAAACGCCACTCGTCTTCGCACTCTCCGACTTCTTCTTCTCCGCCACAATCTCCTGAATTGTACTCTCCAAGTACACATCACTGTTGCGCGCTCTGTTCTTGTCCAAATTCGAGTGCAACCACGAAACTCGACGTGGATTGTCCAGAGCCTTGGGAATTGTTGTGGGAATTTCATTCCTGAAGCTCTCCTGATTCTCCTTGTCTTGGTGCACAACTGGTGTCACATTGAGCGACACTCTCCTCTTATCAGCTGCACCAAAGAGCGATCCTTGCGGTGATTGAGTGACAGAATCGTTGAGGGATTTGCTGGGTGTCACGCCGCCCTTGCTGATGATCAATCGTCGAGCATTTGGCTTCAGATTGAAGTTCTCCTCCACCGAACTATCATACTCCTCCAAGCCCTCGAACAGTGATTTCTTGCTCAATCCATTGCCAATGGGCTTCACCTTCACGCCCCTGTCGATCTTGGCAGACGACACTCTGAACTGACTGGACGACGATTCGAGAATCGCCTTCTGTGCCGCCGGATTTGTGGGCTTCAGTGAATCCTCAGTTATGCCCACTGGTGGCTTGAGGTCCTTGAAGATGGGATTATCGCCGTACGGCGAAGTGGTGAGAGCCAGAATTTGCTGATGCACAGGCACTGTGTTCTGCTGATTCTGTCCCAGCGCCGGAGCGCCGCCAATGCCCAAGCTGCTCTGTCCCAAGCCACCCATCAGTGAGTTGTTGTTGCCAAATGACAGGGAGTTGTTGAACAGTCCTCCGCCCGTGCCAGTTCCTGTGTTGCTCCCGAAGAATCCACCCGGCTTGTTGGTCGCCCCACCAAACAATCCACCAGTGTTTGTGCCCAATCCACCCAGCGGAGCGCTAGAAGTTGGATTCCCGAACGTACCAAAGCCACTTGTGGCGGGCTTGTTGAAGGACGAATTGAACAGCGAGCCGCCAGTGTTTGTCTGTCCAAAACCACCAAATCCAGACGTCATCGATGTTGAGGTGCCAAAGCCACCGGTTGGAGCGCCAAAGCCAGTGTTGGGCTTCGGCTGGAACAGACTTCCGCCGGCCATGGTGTTGGTATTTGTGCCAAAACCGAATCCACTCGACGTGGCTGCCATGCCAAAGGCTGGCTTGTCTTGGCTCGCGCCGAAAAGCGTGTTGTTCTGGTTGGTGTTGGTCTGACCAAAGCCACCGAAGCCCGTATTTGGCTGTCCAAAGGCCGAAGGAGCGCCAGTGTTTGCTGGCGGAGCCCCAAAGACACTCCCAGTTGCTGGTGAACCGAAGGGTTTCGCTCCGAACAGATTTGACGTGGTGTTGTTCGTCGTGTTGCCAAAGCCGAAGCTGGAAGTGCTTGTCGTGGGAGCGGCAAATGGCTTGTTGAACATTCCACCAGCGGACGGTTGACTCGTGGTGGCGCCAAATGCATTTGTCTGGCCGAATCCCGTCATGGGATTGGTGTTGCTGAACAATCCCTTGTTGTCTGGCTGCTGGCCAAACAATCCGGTTGTCTGCTGTTGCGCCGGAGCACCGAACATCCCAGTCGATGTGGTGCCAGTGCCAAAAATGCCACCCACAGCTCCGGCCTGAGGTCCCTTCCTGTTCGCCAGGTAATCCTCCATTCGCAGCTCCTCCAGCGACTTGGCCTCATACTCTTTCATGGTCGTGATGCAGTGCTGCTTCGTGGACACACTGTTCGCCTGGCCATTCTTCATCAGTGTATCCTGACCAAGGGACGGCTGATACTTGGCTATCGCCGTGCCGCTGTTGCCCGTCACCGTGGCTCCGAAAGCCGGAGTTGGCGTGGCGCCGAAGATCGAGCTGCCGGCCGCATTCTGTTGGCCAAAGAAGCCAGCTCCGGTCGCGGTGGAAGTGCTCGCCTGGCCAAAGATGGATGCCGTGGGTTGACTGCTCCCGAATCCAAATCCAGACGGCTTGGCAGCACCGAAGGCCGAAGTGCCCGACTGGCCGAAGATGGAGGTGTTCTGGTTGGTGCCCGCATTGCCGAACACTGACGTGTTGGTCGGCTGAGCGAAGCCTGCAATAAGAATAGAGGAAATCCATTAAAATTCATATCAATTTTCACTGCCTCGACAGGTTCAGCGCCTGAAGATTATTTCCTTATCAGTAGCCGAACAAAAGAAAATTTAGGCAGATTACATCGACCAAAATATCACTTTCTCTCAGCATTTTATAGACATTATTTGAGCCAGAAGAACAATAAACACTGATAAGTAAATATTGAGTGGAAGGAATGTTTTGAAATCGACACTGCTTGTGTTGGTGTGACTCAGAGGCGAAATTCACGCGAGCTCATCTCATAAATACTGCAAGAGTGACGTGTTCACCTTCATGACGAAATTCCCTGACGTTGCGAATTGCGCAGTTAGCAAAAGCAACAGAGCTCAAGTTCACAGAACGCTTCCCTGATGTTGTCAGAGACTTACCTCCAAAGCCGGATTGCGTGGTCGCTTGCGGAGCTCCAAACGGGGACGGATTGGCGGAGCCAAAGAGTCCTCCGGAAGGCTGATTGCCGCCAAACAGCGAAGAGCTGGGCTGGCCAAAGGCGGCCGTCTGCCCGAAGCTCGTGGTGGCCGGCTTCCCAAAGGTCGACTGCCCGAAGGGACTCGGCGTGGCGGCGTTGTTGAACCCAAACCCAGAAGTTGAAGCCGCTCCAAATGTCGGTTTGTTAAACATTCTTCCAGGACTTTCACGCCGTGCTTTCCTCACATAACCTCACAAATACACCAGAGAGAAAGTCTTCTTCTCCTTTTCACCTGGAAATAGACCAAATATATCAATAAAACACGTCACATGCCATGTTATTACACAAATATGACCAACTTTCACGCTCGCTGTGATTATTTATAGGACAAAATCGAATTTTTTCAGAGAGACCATTTGACAGCTCGCGCGACGCCACAGAAAAACTGCTATTTTCCCAATGAATTCAACACTTTTTCACCATTCAGACTCACCTTTCTCTGCACAGACGCTAATTTCTTCGATTCACACAGATTTTGCTTAATATTGCTGCACGAGGAGGAAAAGATTCACTGAAAAATACTATTTCAGCGCACTTTTAATCACACTCGCGGGGGCAATGGAGAATTCGATGAAACACGCGATGAGTTAAACGATTTTCGTTCAGCTGGAAAGCGCGGGAATTCCACGGGAAAGCTTTGATTCTGTGCAGCGCAACTTTTATTTCACTACTAAACTTCTCTAAATTTTCGTACAAAATACAAATACTTCATAAATTTTATAAGTAATTCAGTCTAAATATTCAGGAACACCTTAATTCATCAATAAGAAATGGCACTTTAGGAAAAATATGAGCACATTGGAAATATTTTAAGATTAGGATCTAAATCTAATAACTTGTATTACCTTACTTTTGATTTCTTATTCAATACTCAACAAGAATGAGGTATAATGTGATAAATATACAGTCAATTCAGTTTCAGTTTTATCACTAAGTATACTACTTATCAATTTTTTACTTTTTCACCTTTTACCGTGTGATAAATGGATAATATCACTAGAATCGCCTTCAAGGGAATGCAAAGACCTGCTTTAGATGGTTTCCTCAATATAAATGGTATCCTCGTGATTCTCATTAGGCTCCAGAGTTCGCTTCTTTTTCTCATTCATCATCTTCTCCTTGTCGTATTTGATCAGATCGCTGATGATTTCATTAAAAATCACAGGATTGAGGTTTCGGCTCATTTGATAGAGGAAGAACCACTGGCCAAAGTCGCCGCCGTACGTGATGTGGTAAATACTGGAGTACTTCTGGTCACTGTGATCGTGGATCTGAGAGTAGAGCATCTTCAGGCGAATGAGAGGGCAGACGAAGATGACCACTTTGCAAAGGGTGTTGATCGCAGAGACGATGAACACGAAGATCATCCACACCCAAAGAATGGCGAAGATTTTCTCGTTGATGATGTTGAGCGGAAGAAGGCACAGATAGTCATTATTCTGCATTGATCCGGACACGCCCACTTTGTACACATCGCACTTCGCGAGCTTCGGAAAGATGCGCGCAGTGTTGATGATCCATCCCGAGGAGTCCATTCGGAACATGGACTGAACGGCCTCAGCGTAGGTGAACCAGAAATCGTGCAGGAACAACTCCAGCACCCACATCACGCCGAGGATGGCAAAGAAGTTCAGGACTTCGCAGCTGATGAAGCGATAGGCGTACCAGCGATGCAAGTCCTTGTGTCTCTTCTGGCGCAAGTAGCGCACGATGCGGACGCTCTCGACGCCATTCCAGTGAGACGATGTCAGCGGCGACCCGAAGTCCTGGCACACGCTCTTCAGGCGTCCGCCCTCCCAGATCTTCCACATGTACGTCGGCACGCGCATCGCCACGGCCATCAGCACAAGGATGAACGCCACCCACTGATAGTACTTCTGGTAGATGCGATCCCTCTCCGCCGACACTCCCTGCACAACAGTGATCCCCGGGGCGATGATTGCCTCACGTTTGGTCACTGGAATCACACACACGCACAGTAATTTCGCACAAAACGCCGCACAAGAAGCTCTGCTCACCGTTCAGGAAGTTCTTCAAGATGTACGTTCCGTGAATCCAGCAATAGTACTCTATGAAAGTCTTGTCGGTCTTGTCCATCGGATCATTTATGCACTTGATGGGCTCCCCGAAGTACTCCTTGGCCGAGATGATCAGGGAGAAGATTACCAACATAGCCACGGTGAATTTCCCATGGAGATTGAAGACATTGTTGTAGATCTGAATGTCTTTCGGCTTCCAGAAATTGGAAAGCGGCTTCAAAAGCGTATACAGCATTTTGCCGCAATGAAAATGCTCTTCTGACTTAGCCAAACAATAAAATGAACTGCTTCCGTTGACTTTCAATACTTATTCACTCAAAAATAAGAAAAATATAAGGTAGAAACGGCACAAATCAATGATCTTTCAAGATGGAGATCTCGCGTGTGTTTCCAAGAACAAAACTTTTTTCTTCAGCCTTTTCGAAAATATAACGGGACTTTTCCAGAATTCCACGAACGTTGCTAACTTCGTGTGTATTTTTTCATTCGTTCACTTTCATGAATTTTCGCACGCATTTTTTTTGAGATCTTTGCTGAATTTTCAGTAGAAAACTTTCACGCAAATTTCATAGTAAGAGGTCGAAATTTATTAGAATGATCAAAAAATTTTAATTCCATATATTCCAAGTTATACATTTAAATATTTTGTTGTAAATAGCATAAATCGTCATAATGAAGTGTTGTATTTCAAAATTATTTCATTTGAATCAACTCTTGGTTGAAAAACAAAAATTACTTCAAAATTATAATCCAATATTGAAATTCGATTGAGGAAACTCTAATTCATCCGAATTCATCGTGAATTGTTAACTAGAAAAAATATTGAAAATAATTCCACAATTCTGCAGAAAAATATTTTCCACAGTTGACATAAAAAATTCATTTTTCGCGCTCCTGAAAAGTCTCAAATTCAATTAAGTTGATTATTATGATCAAAAACGCATCAAGCTAAAAGTTCTTGGTTGAATGAGTTGATGTTGAGCGCTTCTTTGCGTGTCCCGGCGCTCCCTTGAACTTGAACGTCGTGGCGATGATGCCCTCGCTCCAGAAGCCCGCGCCAGACGCTTCCTTGAAATCCCCGGGCAGCAGTTCGACTCTGAACGAAGAATAGTCCCGGGGATCGTCGGGTCTGTTCAAGGGAATGCAGCGCGGACGGCGCTTCGAGGTCAGCTTGCTCTCCATGTAATCCGCCACTTGATCAGTTGTGACGCTGTTGGCCAGGCGAGTGACGAACAAGTGCTGGTATTTGTCCGATGCTGGGCCAGCAGAAGGCAACACTTCCGTGCTCTGCGCACGACGAGGCGGTTTCGGTGGCTTTGCTGCGGCCTTTGGAACCGCCACAGGAAGATTCTGCGGCGGAGCTTTTGCTTCTTTCTTAGCGTTGCCGCCCGACATCACGTTCAGGCGATACTCCAAAGCCTGGATGTTCGTGCGATATCCCATGCACAGAGCCACTTGACACCTCAAATCGGAGTGATCTGCAGCGAGAGCCCCGATAAAGGACTCCAGCATGTCCACTCTGGCGCGAAGCATCGCGTACTCTTCCGGAGTCACCTTCTGCTCTCCATTTGCCTGCTGCACTCCCGAAGCCTTAGCCTTGGGCGCTGTGGAAGCATTTGTGGTTGTCTTTTTTGGACTCCTGACGGACAGCGCCTCAATCCCATGCCCTGACTTGTCCTCAGATGTCTGGCTCTTCTTGGCAATCGCGCCAGTCGCTCCAGCGGCGGATACAGTGACGGAAGGGAAGTTTTTCTGCTCCAAAATCGACGTCGTCGGCAGCAGCAGCTCGAAGGCAGAATCAGAAGACTTCACGGATGACTTTGGTCCACTGAAAGCCAATTCGTGAAAACGACGCTCCACATTTTCAAAGAGACTGTCATCATTCTCCGCAGCCTTTTTCTTGTTGGACGTCGCCAAGCTGTTATTGTTCAACATTTTCTCCATTTTCTTCTTCGCGGCTTTTGCAGCGCTGAAAAACGCAGTGAAAGAACTAATTTCCGGCGTAATATCAAAGATATACTCCTACTTTACATCATCAAGAAGCCTGTCTTTGAGTCAAATCAGCCGTTTCAGCAAAAAGATAATGGAATTTACAGATAAAACGCAGACAAAAAACTAGCAAAACACTCACGCGCGATCACTTCGATCTCTGTGCAATGCAAATTCCGACTGTGGAAAAACTTAACGAGAGCGCTTGACCGAATCGTCCACTTGAATACTGGAATGGCGGGGAATCACCGCGCAGGCATTGGCATTCAAATCACAACGTTCATGATGATTTATTTCTCATTCTATTTATTCACCGAACAATACTCTTAAAATATTTTATAGATTGATTCCATTAGAATATCTGCCAGATCTCTATGTTGTTGAAGAGACTGCCAACTTCTTCAAATGCTCCATAAACACTTGCAGCGACACATCATCCGTTAACACAGGCGCTCCTCCGTCCTGAAACACAAAAAGCACATCAAGAACATCATTCAGTGTGTTTAGAGTACAAAGAAAGGTGTAAATGGACAGTCCCCAGAGAGACAACAAGAGCACCCTCACCACCAAAATTAATGGAAATCAAACGACGTGGACAAGATGAAGAGGAAAACCGAAAAGAAAAATGTTATGTTACGTGTTGTGTGAATATTTGTGAAGATCATGGTTAGAATGAGTTGAATTTTGAAGAATTAGATTTGATAAATAAATGGGAAGTTCTGAGGATATAAAAACAAATAAAAATACCATTGCATTGCCTCCAATCATGCCCTGAAACAGCAACAAAAAGTCAGTAGTGTTTTTTTTCTTTGGTGATTTGTATGGTTTTTTTTGTATCGCACAATTCATCGGCAGCGAGGATCACGAGGATATTCTCATCTCTTCCTCCCAACCCATCAAAACCACCCGCGCGTGGCGATAATCATTGCACTCACCTGTCCGTACGCGTACATGTTGTTGTGCGTCTGCGAGGGATTCACCTTGGACAGCAGGAATCTGGCCTGCGACCCGCCCTGCTCCGTGTCGATGTACCTCGGCATGGGGAAGCGCGTCTGCAGGATGTCCTGGGCATCGTCCACCGGCGCCTGCAGCAATTGCTTGAAGTTCTCATACTCCGGCATGTCCTGATACTTGAGCTGTCGCCATTGCGCTATCGTCTCACCGTGGAAGATGAGAATCTGGAAGAATGTGTCCATGAGGAGAATCCTGTCCGGCTGAATTGACGATGTGTCCAGGAGCACAGGCTCTGGCGGTCCGTTGAATGAGTAGCTGTACAGAATGGGCTGAATCATGATGAGTGACTGCGTGAGATCCTCGCGCATCAGCATGTGACGGTAGAAGGTCGTCTCGTCGGGCGAATTGTTGAACACTTGGAGGAATTGCGAGCGTCTCAAGTGATACATGAATTGTGGATAGAGACTGAAGTTCTCAGCCAGGCGGAAACTATTCGGATCATCCTTGCTGTATTCGCCGAATTTCTGGCACTGCAAACAGAGAAGAGAAATGCAAATTGTTCTTTCTTCGAGGGCAAGTCAATTTCATCACACAACACTCACCAATCTAATCAACATCCTGTCGACCCAGCGAAGGACATCGGGACCATCATCACTCTCCGCCCTGTAGACCACCATTCGCGACATGAGCACAGCCGCGGCCTCCTGGTCGAATCCTGCACTGATGTGGTGGAGATTTGTCGATGAATCCGCCCAACTGGAAGAATAAAAGATGAGTCAAAGGTGCCCAAAAGTCAGAGGGATTTTAGCTCAACTCACTTTCTCGCCACAGTGGTGACGCGAATGCGTCTCTGTCCACTGGAATGTTGATACTGCGTGATAAACTGGATGCAGCCGCGGCCGCCCTGAGGCACCGGAGCCGCGTGCTGGTTGACCACCTCGAAGAAGAAGGCCATGGTCATGCTGGGCGCCAGCGTGCACAGTTTCCACTGCGCCGTGCCGCCCATGCCGATCTCCGAATCCGACACCGACGCATTCTTCACATTCAGCGACACGCACGACCCGATTCCACCCTCAATCTTCAGCTCGCGCGAGCACTTGATCTCCAGCGTGCCGTTGAAGGCCATCTTCAGGTCGCCCTTGGCGTCGCGCGCGAATACGCGCTGGTATGTCTGCTTGAACAGAGACGAGTTGAAGGAGTCACCCATGACCATGTGGCCGCCGGTGGAGTTGCAGCACTGCTTCATCTCCATGAGGCCCGTCTGGTCCAGGGCGCACGAGTAGATGTCGATGCAGTGGCCGTTCGTGGCCGCGCGCATCGCCAGCGCGTCGTAGTGCTTCACCGCCTTCTTCATGTACTTCGCATTGTCCTTGTGGATGTCGTGGTGCGAGCGAATGGGCTGCTTCAGCTCGTCATTCACCACCTGGCCGGGCCCCTGGGAGCACGGGCCGCCGACGAACATCATGATCCTGCCGCCCGTGTTGGGGTACGTGCACTCCAGCAGTCCCACCGCAATGGAGAGCGCCGTGCCCGTGGAGCGCAGATAGCGCTTCCCCTGCGGCACTGGCCACGGATCGCGCTGCAGCTCGCCCAGGAGATCCGTGAGCGCCATGTCGCACTTGTGGATGGGCTGCAGGAAGCGATTGGCCGGCGCCACGGGCTGTCCCTGCGCGCCGCGCGGCTGCTGCTGCTGCGGCTGCTGCATCCCACCCGTGGGCACTCGTCCGATTCCCAGCATGTCCTGAATCTGCTTGGCCGTGAGGTCCTTCGTGCCGCGGAACACGTAGCTCTTGGAGCAGCCCTCCGTGGCGAGCTCGTGCACCTGCACCATCTTCCCGAAGGTGATGAGGCCGATCAGGGCCGTGGACGGCAGCAGACTCAGGGACATCTGCAGGGAGTTCTTCAGAGCGCCCAACTCCTCGTCATCCATGCACGTGTCCACAACGAACAGGAACACCGGCGGCATGCACGGCGCCCGCATCAGCGTGTACTCGATCGTGCTGAAGCCCGGAATCAGCTCAGCCGGCTGATGCTGCTCCGAGATGGCCGCGTACTGCGGAGGAAACTGCCGAGAGAAGATTTCGTGAGCAGGGAAAACCACGCAAGACTCTTTTGCTTGATACTCACGGGATTGCGCTGGAAGCAGAAGTTGCACACCCACAGCTTGGCGCGGTAGTCCACCTGGCACATAGGATTGAGGATGGCGCGACAGGTGGTGCGCGTGCAGAGCACCGGATCGTACTGGATCGGCGGCAGATCCGGGCGCTCCTTGATGGGCTGATAGAGACACCCGAGCGGCACCACCAGCCGAGTGGCGTCGATCCGACTGGACGGCCACACATTCCACGTGAAGCGGATGCCATCCCTGTCCTCGTTCTGCTGGATGTACTCCTCGTACGTGGTCATCTCTGGGATTCTGCGAAAAACCGGGAAAAGTCTAAACGTGGAGCTCCGTCATCTCATCGATTGTTCCTTCACCTTGACATTCCGTGCAATATTCACGGAAATCCTCATGTTTATTCACGCGATTATCCCAAAATACATTCCAAGGACCCACTAAAATCCCAAATAATCCCCTGAAATCCCCCAGGAGCTGATAATATTGATGAAATGAGGATGAAAAGACTGCAGAAGGACACCTCACTTTCAAGACGAATTTTGGCAAATTTGCAGGCTTTTCCTCAATTCCCAATTGACAGACTCCTCGAAGGATATTTCAGCTACTCACCAGTGATCCTACTATTCTATTCAGCCAATAAATACAGGATTTTCTCACTAATTTGTGGCCACAAAACGTGAAAATGATTTTGTCACTTTGAACCACGTCATTTGACAGCGCTTTGCTACAAAAATCGATGAAAAGCTCTCATCGTTAAGCTTTCGTATAACGGGAAGTGGCAGTTGAGATTTGAAAGTCATTATGGGAAAGTGAGAAAAACGCTGATAATTCTGAAAAATAAAGAATTTTCCAGACGAAGGAAGAAAACTAAGTTGTCTTTGCATATCAGAATCAGCAATATAATCAAAGGGAGAGAGTCATTTCAACCATTCCAATAAGAAACTTGTTATAACTTATTCCAGAACTATCTGTACTACCCTGCTATGTATATTCATATATGAATGCGATGTATATAGTTGGTTGTCAAATAGTCGTGATAAAATATTTCCGATTTTACTGGAGTGTTGAGTATGCTTTAAGTGATAAATTGTGAGGAAAAATTGAGCTAAACCACGATAAAATGGCTCAACATCCACTCCTGATGCGCGTTGTGGCGCTGTCCATAAATGCGGCAAATAGAGCGGGCGAAATTATTCGTGAGGTGATGAACAAAGGCGAGCTTGGAATTGTTGACAAGGTATCATCTCGGTTTAATCTACTCGCCAATGAGGAAGTGATATAATGAAGTTGTCGTGTGGCTTTTCCAGGGCAAAGATGACTTGCAAACGGAGGCAGACAGATCAGCCCAGCGATGCATTGTGGCGTCGCTGAGCAATCACTTCCCGAAGGTGAAGGTGATTGGCGAGGAGGGCAATATTGACTTGAAGATTCCGCAGGAGTGGCTCACGAACGAGGCTGACCAGGACTTCTTGCGGAACAAGTGTCCAGATTCGCTTAGCAACGTCTCCGAAGACGACCTCGTGATCTGGGTGGATCCTCTGGACGGCACTTCCGAGTACACGCAAGGCTTCCTCGAGCACGTCACGGTCTTGATTGGCGTGTCGGTGAACGAGCGGGCCGTGGGCGGCGTGATTCACCAGCCGTACTTCAAGACGGACACAGGGAAGATCGGACGCACCATTTGGGGTGTGAAGGAGTTGGGAATTGGCGGCATAAATCCCGCCGCGCTGCCAGAGAACAAATTCATCGTGACGACAACGAGATCACACTCAAATGCTCTGGTGCAGAGCGCCCTGGACGCCCTGACGCCCGACGAGGTGCTGCGCGTGGGCGGCGCCGGATACAAGATCATCCAGCTGCTGGAGGGAAAGGCTCACGCGTACGTCTTCGCGAGCGCGGGCTGCAAGAAGTGGGACACTTGTGCCCCAGAGGCTGTCCTGGAGGCGAACGGTGGCACGCTCACGGACATGATGGGCAATCACTACTTGTACGGCAAGGGTGTGTCCTTTCCCAACAAGGGCGGCGTGCTAGCGACAGCCAAAGGAGTCAACTATCTAGATGTTCTAAACAAAATTCCTGCTCATATAAAAGAGGAAATATCGAAGAAGTTGTAAAGCAACATTGTCAGCGTTCTGCATTTAAATAAATGACAATATCCTACGGATATATATTACTCGCTTTTTAGTCTAATCAACAGCAAATACAGAAGACAGAACATGAATTTAAAGTGCAAGACATACAAAATATATTAATTTAATTTCGTTATTTGACTTCCAAATGTCTCAAATATATTTTTCTTGGTTGCACAGATTAGATTAGATAAGAATCTTTATTTCAATATTGTCATTATGACATTGTGTCCTCCTGATCACCTCATGAAGGTGAATATCTTATATGCATATCTTATCTTCCTTCTGCTTACTTAACATTGTCGCAATACAAGAAAAAAAAATAACCGATAGCAGAGGACAAAATCTACCCAAATGTATTTCGTTCAAATCACCAAACGGTATTAAAGAGAAATCAGAGAAATAATACTTGGGCGCAAAGCACAAATTCAATGACACTAAACACATGAAAACTCGTTGCATTTCTTCTGAATATTGGAGCCAATTGGAGCAAAGGGAAGTCTGCCTACGGACACTTTCTGTGGATCGGATGCAAATGTGTTTGAAAAGGGGAAATGCTAATATATGTTATTGCATTTATTTGCGGCTTTTCTGGCTTTCCTTGAGAGCTACAATTAAGGAAATATAATGCTGTGACTCTTCTTTTCCATATCATTTCAGCAAAACTGACAAAAACACAATTAACTTTCTTCTAAAATTATCCAACATTGTAAAAATCAAATACCATCTGTTGAATAGACTCACTGTGAGGATGTGTTTGTGAGAAATAAGGAAAAGCGGGGCTTTTTTGCACCCAAAATTCCTTATTTCGCTTCTTTCTGTCTTCTGAGCTGCTAAACTGAGGAAATCCCGAAGAAAGTCCTTAAATTCACCAGATAATTGAAGTAAATTTCCAGCTATTCTTCAATACATTTTAGGTTTTAATATTACAAACCCAAAAAGTGTTACAAATTGCTTTTCTCTGCCCTAAAGCCGGCTGTTTTTAGAGGGGAACACGAAAAAATGTATGAATGTGTTGGAGAAACAGGAGAAAAGCAGCAGAAAAACTCAATTTTTCCCAAACAAATTGACACAGAGTATTCTTATCATATGTGCGTTTCTACTTTGATGCATTAGGAATTTTTTTGCAAAGTCATCTTTCGTATAAATTCACTACATGTTCGTACAATTAGTGATATTTTTTTCTCCGGCCCGCTCACAAACACACTCACTTCTTCGCCTCCTCAGCGTCACGGAAGCCGGCTGTATAAATAGCGAGAGGCTTGGTGGCCAGTTTTCACTTCTGCTCCTGGGATCGCTTCAGTCATAGTTCTTCTGTGTTGCTGGCCAATTCCTCCCCAATTTTCGGTAAGTGGAAACAGTGGAAATTTCCCAGAAGCGCATCAGTGAGATTCACATCATTATCTTGTGCACATAAGTTGCTTTTAATTAAGTATCGCATGTGAAACATAAAGAGGAGTGTCATAAAATGTCGTGATCTTCTCCGTTAATTCTTGTCCAGTGTTCTGTGCAGAAGTTACGCAACGAATTCGCGGTCAGCATTCCGATCTTTTCTGTGCAAACTACACATTAACAAAAAGACTGTTCTGCATGGGTAGAGCAATAGATTGTGAAGGTCACATTTTATGTGGTACATAGTAATTTTTGTGATTGCATAAAAGAGATAAAAAAAATACATCGGATCTCTGTCGGAAGAAACATTCCACAAATGAAGTTTTTTGCCTCCACTCGATGCAGAGTCGCACTGTATAAAACAGAATGTTTCATTCCATTTCATTTGCTTGTGGTTGTGTTGGATAAATATAATTTCCTTTCATTATTTTGGCATAAGACGAAAAAAGACAACAGCACTTCGGGGAGTTGAATTATTACTCACTCACATCACACACACTCATTTGCGCGGCGAGGAAAAGTTCTTTGGGAAAATATCAATTCCGTGCACATAGTAATATGCGTGTGTTCCTTTTGGTATCTTTAATTTTTGAAGAGCTCTTCACAAGTGGCTGATTGAACAGGTTTTCGGACCGCTTCTCACACAAAACCTTCTCAGTTTGCCGTCGACCGCATCAATTGTTTGATCTCATTCTCACCCTGAATATAATCAGTATCGGCTATCAGTGCGCTGAGAGTTGACTTTTTGCTAGTGAAATCGATTTTACACACTGTATTTTCACTTGTCGGTTAATCAATATAAAGTCCAGAAATATGGGTTGTTCCTCCTCCTCAAGTATTGCCGCAATTCCACCCTCGCATTCTGTGCCAAATTTAATTTCTCTGTCGTCTTTTCTCCCCCGCCAACAGAACAAATTGAACCTACTTCAGAAGGACTAAGCAGAGGAGTTCCTGTCGCCATGACCATCGATTTTTACTACACTCTGGGATCTGCCCCATGCCGCAGTATTCTTCTGTTGGGCAAAGCGCTCGGCATCGAGTTCAACATGAAGGAGTTGAGTGAGTATTTGCATTGCATTCCTGGAGAAAATCAACATTTCTTACACATTTACTCCTCATTTGCAGACTTAATGACCGGAGAACATCTGCAGCCCGAATTTGTGAAGGTGAGAAGAGAAAGTCATTGCTTAATTTCACACTATTTTTAGCATAACTTATTCCTTGTTAGTCTTATCAATGCTATCTATTACAAAGCAGTTTCAGCTATCAATCTATTAATACTCCCAGTATGACTCTGACATGATTCAGGCTCGATAAGATTACAACTTGGCACAGTTTTTCTTTAGATTGTGATGGAAAATTCATTTTCTAATTCATACTCAAAATTTCAGATCAACTATCAACATTGCGTGCCCACAATTGTGGACAATGGCTTTGCGCTGTGGGAATCTCGTGCCATTCTGGCTTACTTGGCGGAGAAGTACGGAAAGGACGATTCTCTGTATCCCAAGGATCCGCAGAAGAGGGCTCGCGTGAACCAGAAGCTCTACTTCGACATGGGCGTGCTGTATCAGCGCTTCGCTGATTACTACTATCCGCCAATCTTCGCCAAGGCGCCCTTCAACCCCGATAACTACAAGAAGATGGAGGAGGCCGTTGGCTTTCTCAATACTGCCCTCGAGGGCCAGAAGTACGCCGCCGGAGACAGCCTGACGATTGCCGATCACGCTCTCGTGGCCTCGATCTCCACCTATGATGGCTTCAAGTTTGACTTCTCCAAGTATCCCAACGTGGCCAAGTGGTACGACAACTGCAAGAAGACCATGGACGGCTATGAGATCAACCAGAAGGGCGTGGATGAATTTGCGACGAAATTCGGTGAGGTGCTGAAGAAGATCCAAGGCTAAGCCCCAGTTCACTCATAAAAGGATACCATTTCTGTATTTTTTTACCACTTTTCGTTCTGCCTGCAGTTGAACTGTAATTGTAAGTGCCTCGAAGGCTAAAAACAATGTTTCTTACAAATTTTTTATACAAGAATCACGTGAAACTGCGAATAAAATGCGGCATTTTGTGAGATGTGAAATTCAAATGAGTTCTTCTATTATGTGGAAAAATTTATTTTCTTATGTACATTCATCATAAAAGTCTTTTACAAAATGCAGAGTATTGATCTTGTCTATACAATATATACACAGACACATTTCATTCGTTCAAGAAGGTTTGATTTCTTTCAATCTGGTTTGAGGTCTCATGTTTGGTTTCTCAGGGCGACTCAACAGTGCGAATTGTTGTTGAGGAGGAAAGGCTCCCGGAATGTCCTCTCGAGATTTCTCAGTCTCTCCTCGAGATCTGTCATGGAATTGCGAATATTGCTTCCATGTCGATTCCTCTGGAGCGGTGCTGGAGAACCCTGAATCAGGTCATCTCGAACACCTGCAATATTAAAGCAGAGAAGAATTGAATACTTGTGGAGAATGTTTTGTGTTTTTTTGGGTCAGGATTTTCAATAATTTCTTACATATTCATGGGAAATATTTCTGTGTCTATTGTTTAGGCTACTTAGAAAAAGGTTAGTGATTTTTGTGGGTGGCGTGAGAAAGTCACAATATGTGCAGAAGAATCGGAGGAAAAATCGAAGCACTGACTTCGTAATGCTCCTTAATTGATTTTGAAATATGTAGTCAACATCGCACCTTCGAAGGTAAACTGAATAGAAGACATTTATATTCTCTTTGTCTCACAACTAGACTCGATAAACTGAATTTTTCAAGTCATTCTCGAAAAAGATCGCATAGAAAACATTGATTTTCCCTCACTTATCCAATTATTTGGCTATTACACACTGGATTTCTTGTCATTGACCCTCACCTGAGAAGGAGTGGCGCACTCCTCTGGCCATCGCACCTCCTGCTATTGGATTGCTGAGACTGTTGAGACTTCGGCGAAAGGCGTGCGCCTTGGGCAGAGACGTTCGTCTGGGCAATTGGCAATTTTTGAGGGAATCCTCGTAACTATCGCTACTGTCCTCTCCGCTGCACACATTCAACTCACTGTGGCCGCATTGGCACTTGTTCTTATGCTCGTGTCGCTTATCGCGGAGTCTCACAACCTGTTGATCCGTCACCAGCAATGCCGCCTGAGCCTGCTGCATCCGCGAGGGACTCTCGCTGCGCTCCCTGGACAAGTCCAGACCCGAGTCACGTCCACTAGAGTGAAGGGAATGCCCAGTATTATCCAAATTGATCCTGACAATACAGAGAAAGTCTTGATCGTCTGGAGTGTCTGCCCAAAAGCATGCATTTTGTCCCACTTACGGGTGTCCGCTGTGGAGTTGATTGAAGCGCAAGCAACTTGTGTCGTGGTCGAGAATGTTGAAATTTGCATTGAGAACCGATTGAGGAAGAGGAACATCGATGTATTCCCGCTGTCTGTCTCTGCATAGAACATATTTGTGTATATAATTGCAATGCGTACGGTTTTTGTGTGGAATTTCTCTATGATATCAATGCAACATACCTGGCACTTGGGGCGTTGTAGTACTTTGGCCCAGTGGGCGGCAGTGGCGGTGGCTTCTTCTTGCCGTTCGTGGTGTATGTCGTGGTGGACTTCGTGGCGCCAGTCATCAGAGTGCTGCTGCCGCCTCGTCCTACGGAATAGCTGGCTTCCGGGGGCAACGTCCGTCGGCTAGTGAACAAATTTTCTTCCTTTTACATCATCCAAGAATTTCACTCGCAATTCACCAATCCCATCGCAATAAATGCAGACATGTATGAAAGCCAAGAACTCGGTGAATACAGTACCTAATGTGCATTTGCATGGTGATCATGATGAGTGAAGAACTCGTTTCCAATGCGTTCTAAAGTCTATTAATGATGTTACCTTTACATAAGTAATGTGTTGATGTGCGTCCATAAATTCAGAGTTGCTTCCCGTGTGTCTCTAGCCTCAACTGTGACGTTAGTATTAAATTTATGTATATAAGTATGTAATACTGCAACAAAATGCAAATGATGAAATTGTTATAATAAATAAATGAACATATTACTGAGAACAACCATCACTCGTGATGTGTGGAATGGGAGTAAAAATGTCTAATGTGCAGCACAAACTTCCGTTTTTATTCTTACCACAATAATTGCAAATAACGCAAATAAATTAAAATTGTTAAATAAAATTTCCTCTCAAATTGGGCCAATTGTTAGTCTCTCTGTGAACATATAATACAACTTTTCTTGCAAAACTTAGTCATCAATTTCATCGTCTTCATACCGTTTGTAGCGGACACACACAATACAGAATGCCGTGGCCAAGCCTCCGGCAAAGATCACGACAGCCAGAATAATTGATGCCAATTCTGGACCATTGAGTGCCCCAATGTGCGTGTTGGTCCGCGATAAGCCTCGAGCGCTCCCAAGCTGGACCAGCTCCAGCACAGGAATGGATGGCATCAAAGTAGACATATCAATCGTAGATACAGCTCTGGAAATGCATAAATTATAGTGTGTAAAACATGGATTGACACTATAAATCCTCTTCTTACTCTTGTAAATCCGCCATATCAATAACTGAATTTGATTTTGGATCCACAGCGTACAAATAGACATCAGTTCTGGGCAAAAAATAGGGAAAAATACAGTAAGATTTTTTCATATAGAGTTAATCTAGGTAATTATAATAACTCACGATTGCTCAGCTTCGCCCATGTGCGGCTCCAAGAGTCGCACTCGGACATCGAGACCCGTGGCATCGCTGAGACTCTTCGTCAGGGAGTCAACTTCTTTCTCCACCTCAACAGGATTTCCCGCCAGGACGAGACGCACTTGGCGATGCTCATCCAAGATGTAAACGAAGACGTTGGCTATTGTTGTCTTGCCACTATCGCCACCGGCAAAATCAGTCGCCTTCACATCGAATCCGTAAACGCGCTGATTTCCCTTGCTCACCGGCCCAAGGACTCTAATCCTGCCGGTCACCGCATCGATTCCGAACAACTTGGACGGTTCATTGAGGAGGGAGTAGCGAATCTCGGCATTGATACCGATATCGTCGTCAGTGGCTTGAACGCGGGTCACGGGAAAGCCGAAATTGGCTGTATTTGGAATTACAGCCACAATTGGACGTCCATTTCCCACAAACATCGGCGCATTATCGTTCTCATCGATAACCCGGATGACAATCTGCGAGAGAAAGTGTGTTTAAGGATGAACACGAAGGTTTACACAATGCAATTTCACTCACCCTGATCTCATTGTACATCAAGCCCTTGAGTTTATCTCCTTCCACCGGATATGTCATCGCCGCTGCAACATTCCTCCCTTCTCTGGACACACGATCAGCTCGTACCTTAATCTTGTACACATCTCTCATCTCTCTGTCGAGAGATTTGGTGAGCCACAGAGTGCCATTGTTGGGATCAATGGTGAATTCGTCATTCCTGAGCACTTGCATCTCAGGTACAATGGACCACTTGAAGATCTCCCGATTGTACTGCGAGGAAGTGTTCACATGGAGAATCACCATTGGCGCCACGTTGTTCTCCACCACCTCAACTTCATAGTACTTGTGGGGGAAGAGGTAGTTGTCATCGTCCTCCTCATTCAGCACCTCCTCACCCTGGAGATTGATGAGGAGCAGCGCAGTTGAGGATCTCGATGGACTGCCCAAATCCGATGCGACCACAGTCAAGTTCAGATGCTCATAGCCATGGAAAGTCGTGAATCGTGACACGGTGGTGATGATTCCGTCGCGTGAATCAATTTCAAACATATATGGCAGCTTATTGTGATGAAGTGAGTACATTACGAGTCCATTTCCATTCCCCGTGAAGTCTCTGTCCACAGCATTGACCTGCTTAACGAATGTTCCCGGTTCGGTGTTTCTATTCAAATAGGCTTTATACACGGGCAATTTGCTCGTTGCCTGACGATTGGACTCAACTGTGGACACTTCATCGAGCCTTCTGTCGGTATTTTCGGTATCAGTGTCAGAATAGAAGATTTCGTCGTAGCCCGTAAATTCGGGTGAGTTATCATTGAGATCCAAGACATTAATTTCCACCTCGGCAAACGACGAGAGTCGCATATTTTTACCACCATTGTCCATTGCCACAATCTTGAATTCATAGACATCTCTCACCTCCCTATCAATGTCTCCTGTGACGATAATGACTCCGCTGTGAGGGAGCACGGCGAATGGAATCTTCTCAGATGACTGAATGGCATACGTGATGTTGGCATTCTGACCGAAATCCTCATCTATTGCCTCGACTTTGCCCACTCTTGTGTTGGAGTACACGCCCTCCTCGATGTCATACGTGTACCATGATTTCATAAACACCGGCGCGTGATCATTAACGTCCAAGACTCTGAAGCGCAACACTGTGTAATCCGCCAGATTTCCCACATCTTTGGCCGTGATATTGAGTCGAAATTCAGATTCTGCTGGCAGTGGACGATTGATCTTCACCTCACCAGACAGTCTATCAATGCTGAAATAGCGCACATCCGAGGTGTGACCAACACGCGGATTGTTTCGCTTGAGGGCGAAGTTCTCGGAAACAATCTCATAGAATATCCGCGCATTTCCCTCAAAGTCCTCATCATTAGCTGTGACTTTGATGAGACGCTGACCAACTGGTGTGTTTTCCAGCAGTGAGAAGAGAGGTGATGAGCTCGTAGACTCTCTGCGAGCTTGCCTTTTTGTGGTGTTACGTGAAGACTTGTAATTTCTTCCGTACTTCTCGTGGCGCGTATAATTATGGTTGGTCTTTAAGTGCCTCGGTGTTCCGATATGATACCGATCCACCATCTCTTTCATGCTGTCCCGCAGTGCTGATGGATAGGGTGCATTAGTTATCTTGAAAGTGAGTTGATCTGTTCTATTGTCCTCCTTCGCATAATTCACTCCTTGCATCGGTTCGACAAAGTATATCTCCATATCTTCGGTGTACTCAAGAATCTCTATGCCGGCATTCTTGAAGACGGCTATTTTCTCAAACATCGGCGCATTGTCATTGACATCGGCAACGAAAATGCCCAGTTTCACCTCGGAACTCAAGCCACCCTTGTCCCTAGCTACCATCTTCAGGTTGTAGAAGTTGTCACGCTCCCTGTCCAGGACACTCGGCCCCGTGAAACTGATCACGAAGTGAGGCTCGTTCTTCTGTGCGCGGGCAAACGCGTCGACAAACATCATCTGCAGATTGGCGAAGCTTTGCTCAATATTCATGGCGCTAGCGAAATTATCGAAAGATGCCATCAACGTCTTATTGTGACGCAGAGAAGTGCCATTGACCTGTTCCACCTTGAACAGATGACTCCCTTCGCCATAGAGATGGACGTCAAAGAGAGCATTGCGACCCAAGTCAATATCCTTCACGACAATCAGGTGATTGACGAGAACCTCTGTTCCGAGAGGACTATTTTCAGTAATGAGTCCCATGTAGTGTTCGTGATTGAACTTCGGAGGATTGTCATTTTCGTCGTCAACATAAATTGTGACCTGGTAAATTCCTGCACCATTCACGAATCCTTTGGAGTATTCGGCAATTACCGTGAGTCTATAAGTGTCTCGCTCTTCGCGGTCCAACCCTTTGAGAGTCATCAGCGTTCCGTCGTTCGTGATTGTTATCATATCAGTGACATCACGCTGGTTGGCGATAAGGAAATGCAAGCCACGGTTTGTGTCATTGTTCTGCCTTATCTGCTGATATGTCTCAATAGTGGAACTTACAGTCTTTCCATCGTAAGTGCCGGAGTTTCTGAATCTCGGCCGATATGTTGACGGTGGAATTTCTGTGGTTGTCGGAAGATGATCAAATTTCCGTGATTCCCGAGGAGCTGGAGTCCTCTTTCGAATGTCCTTTGGACGCAGAGAACTCTCATTTCTCACCTTGGTGGACTCAAAGTTATCGAAGTAGTTGGGAAATTTGCTATTTCTTCGCGAATCAAATGCCGTTGCATCATAATTGTCGAAATCTCTACTTTTTGGAGCTCTCACGTAATCCAGCACACTTGCACTCTCCTGCGTGAGGTAGTCTTCGTCGAAGAAAACAGACGGTGCCACGGCAACGAAGAAATTTGTCTGTGATTCTGTGTCTCGGTGGCGTCTTCGGGATTTGGGAATTGTATTGAAACTCGTGGCATTCTTCACGAATTTCGTCGAATTCAGACGCCTATCTTTGCGCCGTGTTGGCGGAGGACCCGAAGTTAATGCCACAGGAGTTACTTTCACCCTTGAATCGGAATGCTTCAGTTTCATAGTGGCATTGTTATTGTACACCAATTGACCAATAAGAGCACCAGCGAGATTTTCCGCCACACGAAATTCAATGGGATCAGCGCTTGTTCCGCGCATTAAAATACCTTTCTCATCATCTGGACTCACCACGTGGATTGTCACATTCGTCACAAGAACGTTCTTGCTCTCTGATATCACACCTTCGTCGATTTCAATCACTTCTCCACTTGAGGTCACTTGCTTTTCGGATTTCGACGACCTTCTTATCAATTCGCCATATGATCTCTCAGAAATGTACTGAAAAGTGGAGGAATGGTTGAACATAAGCTACTTATTAAAGTGCAAATTATACTTACATGTGTTGCAACTGCTTCAAATTCATAGATATTTCTTGAGAAATCCTCCAAATCTCGAATAACTGTTACAGTTCCTGAACGTTCTTCCACCGCAAAAGGAACGCCTTCCGAGTAGGAGTGCAGCAAATCGTACATAACTTGCTCTCCTTGAGCATCCCAGTCAATTGTGGTCTTTATCTGGCCAACTGAAGTGCCCACAGGCACATCAGCGCCTACCCAAAACTCATAAGGAGCTCCTATGAAGTCGATGGAACCGTCAAATGAACCCCTCAGTATCTCAATCGTGACCACAGCCAGAGAGAATCGGCGTTCCGAGGGATTTGCCGGCTGATCACTGGCCTCGACGAAGATCGCGATTCTTCCTCGTCTTAGCTGACCAGACACAGTCAGAGCGCCTGTCTGAGGATCAATCTGAAAAGGTATCACTCCACTTCCGCGCGGCCTCTGCAGATCATACAGAATCAAGCCATTTCTTCCCTCATCCGGATCTTTGGCAGTCACGTGCCCAACCAAATATCCCACCGGCGAATCGAGACCTATTTTAAACTCATAGAGATTTCCCATTTGAAACTGTGGCGTGTTGTCGTTGGAGTCCAAGAGTGTGATTTCCACTTGAACACTGCCGCCAGTGGAGTCTCTCGGCTCAAATGGCAGCTTCTTCTCTATCGCATGCACTTTCATCGTGATTGACGATCGGGCTTCACGATCCAAGAGTGCCTGGTCGCGCACTGTAATCCAACCGGTGCGTGCATCTATGAGAAAAGCCCCCTCGGGCTTCTCATTGGAGAACTTGTAGAAGAACTCCGCATTTTCTCCCTGATCCCGATCAATTGCATTCACTTGGAGCACACTAAAGCCACTGGGAAGATTCTCCACTATCGAGATATTGTACAGATCAACTTCAAACTCAGGTGCATTGTCATTAACATCCACCAACTCGACCTCCACTCGCGCTACGGCTCTCTTTTGGGGACTGTCTCGCTGTCGTGCCTCCAATTGGAGCACAAATGTGTTCCCCGGAAGACTTTCTTCCTCCAAATCAATCTCTTTCTCAAGATACAGCATTCCATTAGCGGGGTTTACGCGAAAAAGCCTCCTCTCATTGCCGGCAATAATATCGTAGATGAGTGACGAATTAATTGAATCTTGATCGAACGCTTTGATGGGTGGATTAAAGTAGAGAGGAACGCGTATGGCCTTTCCAGTGAGTGGTGAGAATTCATTGACCCTCGTTCGATAGACACCTTCCGTGAATTTCGGCGGAAGATCATCGTGATCTCTCACCATTACCTTCAACGTTGCATTGGAGGTTCTCGTCGGAGTGCCGCGATCCTAGAATTAATGTTGTCAATTATGCGCTATCTCAGCTAACAGTTTCACCACGAAATACTCACAGATGCCAGAATGACGACGTCAAACATGCGTATTCCATCGTCATAGTCGAGAGATCGCTTGAGGACCACAGAGGGACGATGAGGACTCTCGAGGGCGAAATATGGACCGGCCGAGTCGAATTCTTGCGGCCCAATTGAGAATTGCACGTCGGAATTTGGTGTATTCGGCTTGTCTCTGTCGAAGGCGGAAATGCTGTGAAAAATGGTCGAACCGACGGGCGTCGCCTCGTCAACTGCCACGGCATATGGCATATTTTGGAAGATGGGATAGTGATCATTGATATCCTCAATGTACACCGTTATTGTCATATACGATGTCTGCTCATCATTCCTTCCCGATAAACTGCTGCACTGTATTTTAAATTTAATAAGATTCTGAGGTGTATCACGATCAACAAGATCCTCCAGTGATTTCTCCAATAAAACTTGGATGTTTGTAGCATTGACTTCTCTCAATCGAAAGTAATGGTGATCCGCTGATCTGTCCATACTCTTAAGTATTATGGAATTTCTATGGTGCGAGATAAGTAGAAAGGTTTCATTAATATTACTCTGACGGTTTGGTGAAAGTAATTTGGTTTTTATTGCGCCTTTTAGTTCGCCCGCGTATTTCTTTTACCTTGGATAGGCACGAAGTGTGAGAACTTCACCCCCTACTGGTAGATCCTCCCGCACTCGTATAAATCTCACTCCCTCCGATTCAGACTCATATCCCAGTCGCGAGTGAAAGACGCATGCTGAAAAGGGGCAAGATGATGATTGCATTTAATTCGGTTTCCTGCTTTAATTCTAATTGCTAAACCTGCGTTCTTGTGGAGGGAAATCGTTATTAAATTGGCAATTGACTAATCGCCAAGTGAACTCAGTGCGAGTTCTTTGACGATTACGATAGTGTTCTAATGAATCCGCGAGTGCATAACGGTTGTGCATCACATGGTGTTGTGTTTCTACGGTAAATGATGATAGTTTTAATGGGCAAAATACCGAATGGAGAAGAAATTTATTGGATAGAAAACCGGCTGGTGTGACAATTGCACTCTCCATCGCGAGTGCACGACGCTGTGTGTAATATATAGTGTCTAGCTCTAGAAGATATTCACGTTAAACTGGCTGCGATATGGAGGAGTCGCTATGCTTTTCGATTTCACATTTCTATGCATCGAGAATCATTGCTAATGCCCACAGATGTTTGCTAGGACTTTCGTGGATTTTGCTTCTCCACCAGCGAGCTTTTCTTCATTATACATATGCAGAGATCTCAGAAAGGGACTTTGCACTCCAACAAGTGGATATTTTGTTCTGCAACGTTGACTTATTGCTCACATTTCATTTTGATGCTCTGAGCGACGAGTCGGAAAGAAAATATTACTTTCCTTATTATGCTGAACTGAGAGCGGAGATAGTGACAAAAAGAAAATTGGACGATATAATGTATGTAAAATAATTGACACGGTGAGTGTTTTGGCTATACATTGGCCACAATACTTTCTTCATTTCCACGTTGTTGCTTGTAATTTGGAACTTCTCATTAGAATCAAATTGGAATGATCTTCCTTTTCTCCTTCATCTCCACTGAGACCAGAGCGAGAAAGAGAGAAAGAAGGAGAGATAATCTTCACTCTTACGCTCAGAGCATTATAAGCAGCTTGAAGAGAAAAAAACCGCGCTGAAGAAATGGAAAGTTTGGTGGACTTTAAAATCAATTTCATGCATAAAATTTCATAACGAGAAAAAAAAAACTGAAAGTCAATTCAGAATGCAATTTTCAGTGCGACTGAGAGAATTTGAAAAGAAACTAAAGCACGAGCGACTCAGGAAAATATCATTATATTATATATAGCAAATAGTAGTTAACCTCGTAAAATGTTAATTAATGATAAATATTACCGAATTTTGCGACTTGATTTTGTGCAAATTTTTTCCTATATAATGCTTGTGCATATTAAAATGAGTTGATCTGCTTGATATTATCGAGATTTTTACGTAAAGATCCACCAAACGACCTCAATTTGGATCTACATTTTTGCGATACACTTTTCATTTGGAAATTTATTCAGACTTGTGGTGTTTCTTTAGATGCTGGATTCGTTAAAATATTTCACTCTCGATAGCTTTGTAAGATAGTTCATTTTGCAATTATGTAAACTTGATTAATGGATGCTTCATCAAGTAACCAACAACAGACTGTGGAACTTTTTCGTTTTCTCACATTTATTTGAAGTCTGTAATAGATATAGAGGCATAGTATTATCTGCTATTGTCTCAACTTGACTTATCAATTCAAATTAACGTGCGATATTTCCCTGTATTTCTTCGTCTGTACATCGGTTTTTGTGTGCTTTGCAAGAAATCCGAGGGTGAAAATGAGTGGTCAATGTAATATCTTGGAGGCATTTGAGTCATCCTGGGCAGTAATTGCAAGAAAATCTTAATTCATACGCACAAGTATGCATTAACTGTCATTAAGTTGAACGGTTTTCAAGCGGAGTAAGTCGGTGAATGGCCTCTAGGGAGATGAGAAGTATGCGCATCTATGCAGTTTTGAGGATTTTCCTTTCAATGCCAAGATGCCGAGCATCGAGAGTAGAAAGTGCTGAGTTTAATCACGTTACGTGATTCCGCTGATAAATGCAAACAATTTAGTGCAAATACAAGTGACGAATGAAGATAAAAATGTCTGTTTTTCGAAACGATAATCTCGAGGAATATGTGTGTCTTGCTGTGTTAATGCACTTTAAACGGAAATTTCCTCACGCGGATGGCTTATCTCGCATAGGGCACAAAAGCCGCCATAAATTTGGTGGATGTTCAATGTGAAGAGCAACATTAAGCGTTGGCGTCTTAGGTGGAGACGTTTTATAACACTATTTGCATACATTCAAAATAATCCCATAATATTGATAACTCTCGGAGGCTCTGACGACGATTTAAAGCGGTATAACTTTCTTTTTCCTGATTGCGGATATTCACGAACACTGTGTATCATTAATAATGCATTATCCACTCGCACTTTATGGGTATAATGAGGAAAAAGAGATGAAAATATTTTTTTGGTCTTCGCCATTGAGGGTTTAGCTTTTTGTGTTTGGTGTCAAAATATTTGAGTTCTGTTCGATTTTCGACTAAATGCAATTTGTTAGCGGTTAGGCAAATTTTCTAATGACCCAATTACTCATGTTTACTGTGAGTTTTGGACGACCAGGAAAAGGGTGCTCAATCACGGCGGTGATGATGTGTGGTGAGACTCATCTCTCGCCTCAACGAGTGTCTAGAGAGCTGCTTGATGGGCTGCAGATGATTTTCTATTCAATTCTAATGAGGCATAAACCTCACAATAGTCTGAAAACTGTGTTACAAAACCATTTCTTTGATTTGTTGTGCTTTTTTCTAATGCCTTCTTGCCACTTCTTCTCTTTGTGTGGCACTCGTGAGAACCCCAATCTTCTCCCCTCCTCTGCATTACATATGCTTTCAGCTGTGGCATCTCGACCAGAAGAGCCAAAGAAGTAACACTCTGGATGACGTCTGCGAGGGAATATGATGCCATGCCACGGAGATTGCAGACGCATCTCTCTGTGTGGCTCAGAGATCAGAGTCTCAGATGTTCCCAGCATACAAATTTCATATTGTTTGGGGAAGGGCACAGAGAAGACAGAAGGTGAGTTGGTAATGATGCAAAAATAAAATATAACTACAATTAAGATTGAATTCATTGTTACCTGGTGCCATATACACATAATTTTCTTTTTCTCGCGCGCGGGGAAATATGGGAGTCTCGGCAGAATGCATTGCGGAGGGAAAGATGAAGTGAAGAGGAGTGTTTTGCACATAAAACATGAGCGAGACACGAATATGCTCAAACATTAGCGGGAAGCCACCTTTTTCCCAACCTGCTGACATAATGAACTCATTGATTAAAAGATTTCTTACGACTTGAGGAATTTTTAACACAATTCTTGGGAAAGAGGTGCAAAATATTGTCCGGCAACGCAGACATTCTGCCTCATGGCTGAGTGACTCTTACTCCGTTCCTCACTTGGTCGTCTCTAATATTTAATTCTAAATTTTATTTTACACACTCGACGGCGCTTCCGAAAGAACCGCAACTGAAATGGGTCACGAAAGAGCGGTATATCAGCATACATAAATTTATGTATAATGCTTTTATCACTCTAGGTCTCTCTCCTCATACTTTCTTGTCCATAATTTGAATTCCGTGTAATTCCGATTTAATAAATGCCCACAATAAGAGTCTAATAACAGTTCATATTGATCATTAGGCGTACATTAACTCAACTATTGTCCTACGTTGACCACAAGTGCTTCTTTTTTTTATCTTCTTTGATTTGTAATTTGTTTTCACTGAGAGTTTATAATAGGGGAGATTTGGGAATTTTTACACAGAAAAGGCGAAACAAACACAATACAATTTTCAATTCAAGAGATAGATGAGGTGCTCGCAAGTTCGATGGAGTGCATAAATTATTGGTATCTCTTGAGGTGAAAATCCCCAACTCAAAATATACATATTCGATTTGTAGCTTTCGGCAAACTTTCGATTTTCTGCTCGACCAGTGTGTCAAATTGAGTTATGATAGAAAGATTTTTTGTGAATGCATATTAGACTAAAGTGTTATTAATGACTTGATTACTTGGGAAATTCACCATTATAGGCAAACTTTTATTGAGGTATGAAAAGGATTTACAGTCCCACGCCTTGGTATTTGCGAGAAAGTTCACTCTGGAATTTAGAGACATTTGTCCATACCTTCTCTCATCACAGCTTGGTGCATTAGAATCCACAAGAGGTACACGATAATCCATTTGATATTCATTTTCGAGGAGATGTTCAAATTTCCGAACTTCTTGCAAACTCTGAACACGGCCTTTTAGATGATAAAGTCCATTTGGCTTCGATTTTTGATATTGCACACTGATTTTGGAGAGAGAATTGCACCTTAAAATCACATTTCACACGTTCTACTAGAAAGCATCTTTCAACCAAGTCCCAAATACACTTTCTACACCATAATTTCTGTGCTCTTCACTGGAGTCGCCCAAATTCACCAATTGTCACATTTAATCCAAATCATATACAAAGAAATCTCCTCGATGGTGAGACTCAAGTGTGGCGTCGCCTAATGTGCGAAAGCAGGTGTTGAACGGTTGAGAGATGAACAGCAACTGAAAGTAACAGAACTCGACCATCATCATCTCACTCGCGAAGATAGACGCGAAGCAGACCTGCCGCGGCCAAATACAGCCACTTGTTGCCCCATTCTTTCCTCCACTCCAACCTTTCTTCTCTTTCTCCTTATTTAATTTACTCCAAAGTCGCATTCACATGCCCAACAATGTGCTTTTATATTTACTTTTACAAACATACCCAGCGCCAAATTGTACTTCGCTAGAGCCATTTTTATAGCCCAGAGGTTCTTCTCATTTCTCAAACAACAGTTCTGCCATCTTACATTGACTCCAACTGAGATGCCTCGCTTCGCGTCGCGACTGAGAAACCCACCACTTTCATTGAATAATTCTGCATTTCAGCAGAGCGTGCGATTTTACGTGTAATTACAGGTGTAACTCGTTTGACTTCCCTTTCTTAATTTCTAATTTGCTGCTTTTCCAGTTTTTCCTCAAGTTCAAACATCATCACGCTGATACATTTACCGATATGTTCATAGACTTCTGACAAACTCCTTGACGAGCACAAACCATTTTCATCGTTTGATATACAAATCACACAGGGCAAATATTTGTAATTTAACGGTATGGATTGAAATGAGATTATTTTGCGCTAAAAAATTCAGTCACAAGTGTGACGGGTAAAATTATTTGGCATAATGTGTGAATATTTCAAGAATTGATATGCTATTGTTTTTGCATTTGTAACATCACAAGCAGTACAAAATGAATTGAAGCGCATCGTGGATTTTTGAGCATTGTGTCACAAATTGCTGTTTCTCAATATTGGCCTGAGATAAATGTAAACTTTTACTTTTTTCCTTTGGCATCACTGGTTAAATATGTGTTGGATATGAGTGAGAAAATTTGGAAATTTGCTTTTTCTCGCGCTCCGTGTGTATTCACGTAGAGTCGCTGGCTGTCGCGCGGTCGCAGTTCATGGCGTATGATCTGATATTGAACGGATGAAAGCAAAGAAAAGCATAGAAAGATTTTGTATGGTATACACATGATTTAGAGGAAATTGATTTATTCTGCCGGATTTTCTCTATAAAATTTCACCTATAATGTTTCTTTGCATTCCATCACATTTTACTCAACAATAATATGTACAATTTGTGTTGTTCTCATAGAGAAAATTATAAAAAAAAAGTATTGACTTTATTAATCAGAAATTCGTATTACAAGGACGCCCATTCATGGGCTGCAGTGGACGAACATTGTCGTTGATGAATCCTTCAGAGCCCTGCAATCCATTAAATAGTCTCATTGCTTTGTACGCTATTTTCCGCGGTATTACATTAACAATCCACTGAATTTGCTCTCGACACGGTGGCGTTGTCAGACTTCCTATGTAGCTGACGAAGTTTCGATTAAACCTATTCACATTGAGAAAGGAGTCTAGAGTAAATAAATGCACTAGGTAATTGATGGTGATCCTTGATCCTCGTCTGCGAACGTAAGGAAGTGTCTGCAGGAAGTGAAATCGATCGCCAAAGATGAACCTCTTGAACAGCTGAGCGAGAACCAAGATTCCGTCTGCAAAATTCATTGCCTCCTCCAGATTTCGGTACTTCGCATTGTAACACACAACGTGCATTTCCATGGTAAAGCGGAAGCCGTAGATGGCGTGCTCGGTGCCGCCAAAGACTCCGTTGGTCCAGTGGAAGTGCACCTCGTGGGGAATGTACTGCGCCCCATTCAGAGGACCTCCGGTGATCCTCGCTGTGTTGTTGCGATTCCAGTGGAACACGAATCTCACGGTGTGACCGTTGTTAATCAATTCGACGGTTCTTGGCGGTGTGAAAGCATTGATAAAGGTCAAAGAACTCCTTCCGCCCTGGAGTCTATTGCAGTCGAAAGGTCGCAAATTGACAGGGCTCTGAGCCGTTCCGCCACACATTGGAAATCTGTCTCGCCATCGATCGGCATCGACGTATGAGAATTCCTGAAAGAAATGCGTCCTTTAGCAAAAGTGTCTTTCACTCTCTTTTTCCTGAAACTCTTTCTCACTCACGGCTCCATCCTGTTGAGCTTGTCTACGAATTCGTGGGGCTGAAGTTGAGTTATTTGACAGCTGAATGGTCACAATCACTTGAGTGAAAAGAAACAAGAGAGAAAAGTTAATCAACATTTTCCTCCAAGATATTTCAATAAATAGACTTTAAATTCGGTGTAACATTTCTTTTATACGAACAATTAGAACTTTCTCCCACTTCACCACCGCAATATATGTACACAGATATGCTACATATGTTTGATTGGAACACATATGTTTGTATATATCGTATCGGAGCACGTGTTGAATATTTCTAGTTAAGGATTTCAAATATCACTGCTTACAAACTGTGCACGAGTAATTAGTATTTAGAACAAAATCATTTGTAAAAGTCAATGAAATAGAAAAACATGATAAGAGAGTGTAAGTAAAATTACCAAGGTTAGTTCTTATCGTGTACAGTATTTCCTTGCTTACGACGAATTGTCAGAATGTCTTTATCAATACACCAAAATATGTCAAAAAATAGAGCTCAAAATGATACATTTTGAGACAATGCAGAAATATTGTTAATTTCTAGTGAAAAGATTTTCGCAATAATATTTTGGGGAATTTCTCAGAGTGTCTCAAGAAGTGAAAAGTGCGGCAAAGTGTAAAATTTGTGATTGATTTGGATTATTTTTCTCACGCCAAAAAATTTATTATTGTCTGCAACAATTTATTTCGTACACACACTTTTGTGCGTTTGAGCTGAGCCATTAAATTCCACTTCTTTCTGAACTTTGATAAATGCGTGTACTTTCCATTTAAATTGGACTTTTGGTTATGCTAGCAGTTGAATAAACCATAAGTGATTTAGTTTTGGCACTTTACCACTAACATCATCCGCAAGAGTGCTTGAAATTTCGGTTGTAATTGCATTTTTGCTTCCTGGAATATCTTTCACTCCCTCATCAGCAGCGCGGTTTCTCACTCACCGCCAATTCAAACATGCTGTTTGTCGTTTCAGGCGAGAGATAGCGGTTGAGGCACGACGAAGACGAAGACGAGTGCAAGAGGAGATGCGCATAAATAGGCGAAAAATTTGACAGAGTGGGAGATAGTGAGTGGAAAGACCAAATATTTGAATGAATCTATTTAATTTTTGTTGCTGATTACATAAGATCTGCCACACACACTCATAGAGATTATCAACAAACAACTTCACATAATTGCCTTATAAAACAATAAAAATGCGAAGTATATCATTTGAGTTCAGCTCAGTGTTGGTCGGAAAGTGGAGCAAAGCAAGTGAAGTTAAATTTACCTGTAAGCGCTTTTCGTTCACAGATTTATTCATTGCAATCCCAAAATTAATTAAATCCTCCATTTTTCTCGTGCATTCAGTGACTGTGGAAGATGAAGAAGTTCTCCTTTGCCATTGATCGCGGAGGCACGTTCACTGATGTGCTGTGTCTGGCTCCAGATGGGCGCGTGAAGACCCTGAAGCTGCTCTCGGAGGACCCCTTGAGGTACTCCGATGCCCCCCGGGAGGCGATTCGGCGGATTCTGCGGGAGGAGATCGGCGAGGCTGCAATCACGACGGATGGACTCGTGGACACGGCGTGCATCTCGTCCATTCGCATGGGCACAACCGTGGCCACGAATGCGCTGCTGGAGAGAAAGGGCGATCCCGTGGCGCTCGTGGTCAACAAGGGCTTCCGCGATCTGCTGTACATTGGCAATCAAGCACGACCGAGCATCTTCGAGCTGGACATCAAGAAGCCGTCCAATCTGTACAAAACGGTTATCGAGGTGGACTGTAAAGTCATTCCAGACCAGCCGCACAAGTGCCAATTGAGTAATGCCCTTTGTGTGCTCAGTGATAAAATGTGTGCTCAATTGCTGGACTCTTCGTTTTAGGTCACACTTGGGAGACTATCGACGGTGTGACGGGGTCCAAGTATCTGGAGATGCGCAAAGTTGACTCGCTGGCTGTGAAAGCATCCCTGAAGAGCGCCTTGGAGTGCGGAATCACTTCCCTAGCCGTCGTGCTGACGCACAGCTATGCTTGTCCCAAGCATGAATTGCAAATTGGCGCCATCGCCCAAGAGTTGGGCTTCAAGCACATCACGCTATCTCACCAGGCCATGGCGATGTGTCGCATCGTTCCGCGCGGATACACAGCGTGCGCCGAGGCGTACTTGACGCCGCACGTGGAGCGATATCTGTCCAGCTTCAAGGCGGGCTTCAAGGATCAGCTGAAGGATGTCGATGTGCTCTTCATGCAGAGTGACGGTGGACTCACGAAGATGGACAACTTCCGAGCCGCCAGAGCCATTCTCAGCGGACCGGCTGGCGGAGTTGTCGGCTACGCTGTAACCGGATGCAGAGAAACCGAAGCCCCACTGATAGGCTTTGACATGGGCGGCACTTCAACGGACGTCTCGCGACTGGCTTCCGGTGAGTTAATTTATCACGCCAAGCAATTCGCACTCCACCTGCCCCAAATTGTGCTGAGGAGTGTGTGTATTCCCACTGATATGAATGCATTTATGTAAGGTATAAACTTGAGGTAATAATAAGCTCCAGTGCGAAGCGTGAAAAACTTAACTGGACACCATCAATTAATCGCATTAAAGTGCAGTAAATTGCCCGTAAAATGGATGAGATTTGTATGGGAGATATTCAAGATTTGCCACTGTAATTCTCTTTCTTTTCTTCTATTCTCCAGGAAAGTATGAACATGTTGTGGAATCCACAACAGCTGGAGTTCCTATCCAAGCGCCACAGCTGGACATCAACACCGTGGCGGCCGGAGGTGGTTCGATGCTCTTCTTCCGCTCAGGATTGTTTGTGGTGGGACCAGAGTCGGCTGGAGCTAATCCTGGACCAGCGTGCTACAAGAAGAACGGTCCTCTCACCGTCACGGACGCCAATCTGATCCTCGGGCGTCTTTTGCCTGAGTATTTTCCCAAAATTTTCGGCCCCAACGAGAACGAGAAGCTGGATTACGAGGCTTCGAGAGAGAGATTCGAGGAGCTCGCTGTGGAAATCAACGCGCATCTGATTAAGTCTGGCGAAAGGACGACAGAACTGACGCTTCAAGAGGTCGCCATGGGATTCATTAGAGTGGCCAATGAGACAATGTGTCGACCGATCAGGGCACTGACTCAGGCGCGCGGCTATGACACCTCATCGCACGTCCTGAGCTGCTTCGGAGGCGCTGGTGGACAGCACGCGTGCAGCATCGCCCGGGAGCTGGGAATGACGAAGGTGCTGGTGCACAAGTATGCAGGCATTCTGTCTGCATATGGAATGGCTCTGGCGGACGTCGTGCACGAGGCTCAAGAGCCTTGCGGTGTGGATTTCAGACCTGTCACGAGTGATATTCTGGTGGAACGATTGGACACTCTGTCGGCGCAATGTGTGCAAAAACTGAAGGAGCAGGGCTTCCAAGATGACCAAATTGAACTTGAGCCTTATCTACACATGAGATACGATGGAACAGATTGCGCTCTCATGTGCTCACCCAAGAAGATTCACAGTGATGACAATGCTCTCAGCCAAAAGTACGGAAACTTCTATGAGGCATTTCTGGAGCGCTATCGCATGGAGTTCGGCTTTGTGATCACAGATAGGAAGATAATTGTGGATGATGTGCGCGTGAGAGGCTTGGGAAAAACATTTGCACCGCCGGAAAGTGATATTGCTTCCGCCATTGGGACGATTCCTCAAATGGAGGAGGTGACGAAGGTGTACTTCGAAGGAGGCGTTCGGGAAACGCCAGTGTATTTGTGCATGAAACTCCTGGCGGGTGATGTCATTCCCGGGCCTGCCATCCTCATTGATGACTTGTCCACGATTCTCGTGGAGCCAGACTGTCGTGTCGAGATCACCGGGAAAGGTGATTTGATCATTCACGTGGGAAGCGGAGAAATGCGACCGATTCATGAGAAATTGGACGCCGTTCAATTGAGCATCTTCAGTCATCGCTTCATGTCAATAGCCGAGCAAATGGGTCGTGTTCTTCAGCGCACCTCAATTTCCACGAATATTAAAGAGAGACTCGATTTCTCGTGCGCACTCTTTGGCCCTGACGGTGGCCTCGTGAGCAATGCGCCGCACATTCCAGTGCATCTTGGCGCCATGCAAGAGACCGTGCAGTTCCAGCTGAAAGTGCGCGGAGATTCTCTGCGGAAAGGCGACGTTATCCTCTCAAATCACCCCCAAGCTGGTGGATCGCACTTGCCGGACTTCACGGTGATCACTCCGGTGTTCAGGAACGATGTGGCGCGTCCGGTGTTCTTTGTGGCATCGAGAGGACATCATGCTGATATTGGTGGCATCACGCCGGGATCAATGCCGCCCCATTCAAAGAGCCTCGCCGAGGAGGGAGCCGCCTTCAAGTCCTTCCTCATCGTGGAGAACGGAGTGTTCCAGGAGGAGAAGACCGTGAAACGCCTCACAACGCCCACAGACGCGCCAGGCGCTTGTGGCACACGCAACCTGAGTGATAATCTGTCCGACTTGAAGGCACAGATTGCGGCCAATCACAAAGGCATTCAACTTGTGGGTGAATTAATTGATGTGTATGGCTTGAGTGTGGTTCAGGCGTACATGAACTTCATCCAGGCCAATGCAGAACTGGCCGTGAGCGATATGCTGAAGGAGATTGCCAAGAAGGTGCAACAGGAAGGGGCTTTGGAAGCGGAGGAGCGCATGGACGATGGAAGCCCGATCAAATTGAAAATCACCATAGATGAGAAGGAGGGCAATGCTGTGTGTGACTTCACAGGATCTGGCCCAGAAGTCTTTGGGAATTGCAATGCTCCGCGCGCCATTACACTCTCCGCCTTGATTTATTGCCTTCGCTGCATGGTAGGACACGATGTGCCGCTGAATCAGGGCTGTCTGGCGCCCATCCGAGTCGTCATACCGAAAAACTCCATTCTGGATCCTTCCGAGGGAGCAGCAGTTGTTGGTGGAAATGTGCTGACGTCCCAGAGGATTGTGGACACTGTGTTGCGAGCCTTTCGTGTCTGCGCCGCTTCGCAAGGCTGCATGAACAACATCACGATGGGTGATGAGACTTTTGGGTACTACGAAACCGTGGCTGGTGGCAGTGGAGCTGGACCGACATGGCACGGAACGGGCGGAGTTCACACGCATATGACAAACACACGAATCACCGATCCGGAAATTATGGAGCTGCGTTATCCCATAATTCTTCAAAAGTTCTGTCTTCGCGACGATCAATCAGGCGGCAGAGGTGAGTACAAAGCGTCCTTTCACAACATTCAGTATCACTTTATTTAGCACTAGCCTAACGCATAACACTTTCGACCATTTGTGGGCTGAATAGGGCGATAGTTGTCGACAAGATGACCCTCCAATCCTTGAATATCTCGAAAAAACCTCATCTTATTATGCGGTATCGCATTTATCTTCAGAGGAAGAACCCATGTGACATCCTCATAACACGGTGGAGTTGTGAAGCTGCCATTGTAGGTCACAAATGATGCACTGAGAGCGTCCACATTGAGAAATTCACCCAAATTGAAAGCACAGAGTTTGTCTTTGATCACAATTTTCCTCCTACTTTGCTTCACGCGTGGCAAATAGTCCAGAAAGAAGTAATTCGGCGCCGAATTGTTCACGTGGAAAAGTTGAGCAATTACCAAAATGCCATCTCTGTGAAATTTTGCATCAGCTACACTTTTGTATTTCGCATTGTAGGACACAATGTGCATCTCCATTGAGTATTTGCGTGTGTTTATGGAGTGCTCAGATCCTTGGGAATCCTCATGGCCCCAATGGAAGTGAATATCCCTGGGAATGTAGCGATTGTGGCGAAGGATGTCACCTGATATTGTGGGAAAGTGATTCTTCTGCCATGAGATAAGATATTTCACTGTGTAGTGATCATTTATGAGTTCCACACTTTCTGGACGATAATCTTCATTGGTGACCTTCAATGTGGCTTTCTTCGATACTCTTTCACACTTTGAAGGATCAATGTTGATTGGACTTTGACTTTTTCCACCACAAATGGGGTATTTTTCCTTCCACTTCTCTGTGTCGTCGTATTTAAATTCCTGAAAGTAAAATCACACATTTATTTATGGCTCAATTGCAAAGGGGGAGAAAGACTTACAGAATCCGCCACATAATCGAGTCCAATGTGAACGAGTGGTGATTGAGAATTGTCCTCCAACTGCTGGAATTGGTGTATTTGGAAGCAAGTTGCCAAAATGAAAAGACAGATTAGCATTTTCCTTATCACTTGGGTCACTACGAATTTTCTTGTGCTATTGCTCACACATGAATGATAAGATTGACTGGAAAAGACAAGTGATACCAAAATCCGATAACGATTTTTCTGTCTTTATCTCCTTGTCAAATGTTCGTGTATTTACAGGTAAATACAATGGAGGCGAGGGAGTTCATCGCGAGCTTCTCTTCCGCAAGCCAATGATGCTGTCTGTCCTGACGGAGCGTCGAGTGCTGGAGCCTTACGGATTGGCGGGAGGAGAGAATGGAAAGCGTGGATTGAATTTACTCATTAAATCGACTGGCAGAGTTATAAATTTGGGCGGCAAGACTGCCGTCCAAGTCGAGGCGGGTGATATCTTCTCAATGAAGACGCCTGGCGGCGGCGGATATGGTCGTCCAGGCGATGAAGATATCCCCAATATTGTCCAAGACAATAAGGAGACCAAATTTATCGAACGAGGCAGTGTTCATGAGTACCGAAAAGCACAAGAATCTGTTTAGGTGCATTTTTTACATTTTATAAAGCATTTTCGTTATTGTTTATTGTTAAGGGTGACTTTGGCATTTTATTCTTTTTGTTTGGCTTTTTGTTATCGTTGCAATATTTTGGGGAAACATTATATTCTTTGTGATTTTGGACAATAACTATTTCAATAAAGTGATTATACATTGTGCGCTGCTCTTTTTATTTCTAGCCTTTGTTTTACGCTTAGACGAATTTAATTATTATGAGGTTTATACGCTGTTTAAGAGTTTTAGTTTAGTTAAATTGAACTGTAATAAATTTATCTCATAAATTGTCGAAATCTTGCTATTGAGATTTCGTTGCTTTCAATTAAAGAAATGCTGTACAGCTTATGCTTCATTCTCCTTCGAAAACCGCCCTCTAGTGTCGAAAAGCATGTGATGAAATTTATATAATGATAAATTCCAACATTATATCAGTAAATCTCTACGTTTTTATTAAAAAATTAGATTTCATTATGATAATTATAAATAATGATTATTCCATGATAATCTGCTTATGCTTTTCGTTGTAAAATACATTATTTCGTATAATAAAAGACAACATTTGCTTCTAAACAAAATGCTGATTTATTTAACTTTTATGTCCTGTTCAATTTACTCTAGTGGATGAAAAGGAGGCTTCGACACTTAAATGATATATCAAAAAGGCTTAAGGCAATTTCTGCAGAGTCTTTCAATTTCCTTATCCACTTTTTTTTTGCCTTTTTGGCGCCAACAGAATGGACACTGTGTGAATTTGTAATAAGTGCTTCGGGAGTGGGGGAGAATGTGCGATGAAAAAATATAGACAAAAGCAATTTCGTGAATGAATTCACTTAGAAGGAGGCAGTGAATAAGCCCACCATAAATCCCACAACAAATACATTCGTACCAATTACATTTGGTCACAAGATTGCGCATCAAAGTGCTGGATGATAAGAAAATACCCACTTTGTATATGTAATGTGTGCTATATACTGCCGAAATCTACATATTCGCGTATCTCACATTCCGTATTACTAGATGAACTGCTGAGCTGCCAAATAATCGGGAGGAATTCGACTAAATATGTATTGTCGCACAATCAGCGTGTGTAAAGGTGAGATTTACTAATCTAGGACGATAAGATTCGCTACTGATGACAAACAATAATAAATTTAACAGAAAATCGACAGTCAGTCTATGACTTTACCTGCGACAATGAAGACAGTGGCTTGTTTGGCAGTGCTTTTGAGCCTTCTTCTGGTGAAAGCTTTCGCTTCACGTGAGTAACAATTAAGCATTGTAATTCATGCAACTTTATTCAAATCCTATTGTTTCAGCTTTAATTGACAATCGAATTTTGGGCGGATCAGACGCTGCTGCCGGGCAATTTCCGTTCTCCGTGTCGCTCAGGACGCTCCTCAATACCCACTTCTGCGGCGGATGCATACTCAATGAGCGCTGGGTCCTCACATCTGGCCACTGCATGATGGGTCGTGACCAAGATGCGATCAATATCGTGGCTGGAAGTCACCTCCGAACGTCTGGCGGTTTGGTTTTCCGCAGCTCTCGCATCTTCACTCACCCCAATTTCAACTTCAACCTCATGGCAAACGATGTGTCGCTGATTCTCGTGACCACGCCGTTCTTCTGGACCAACAACATTCAGCCCATTTCCCTGGGCAACTCCGACGTGGCCGGCGGAGTCACAGCGACTCTGATTGGTTGGGGATGGACTTCGAATCCCGGAAGTCTCTCCGATGCTCTCCAGTGGCTGCCAACAGTGACCCTCACGCAGGATGAGTGTCGTTCGCGACACGTACTCGCTCAGAGACCCTTCATTCACGAGAACACTCTGTGCACATCCAATCCCTTCGGCCAGGGAATGTGCATGGCCGACACCGGAGGACCTGTAATCATCGGGAATCACGTGGTGGGCGTGAAGAGTTGGAGTGTGCAGTGCGGTTTGGTGCCCGACATTCACGCCCGCGTCTCCACACATCACGAGTGGATTGTGTCGCTCACAGAGGCGCCAATTCACGAGCTTCCGTGATTCCGAGAGAGAGGCTCTGTGAAAAATTAAATTCACATCATTCACATCCCCCGAAGCCTGCATAAGTAGGTGTAAAGTTTCTCTGTACAGTCAGTGCTTAAAGCCATTAAAAATGTCAGAGAAATCGGATAAAGTTGCTGGTTTTGTATGTGTGTCTAATTCACAAGAACAAAAGTTGAACAAGTGGAATTTATCTTCATTAGCGAGCGACACTTTGTTATTATAAACTCGAGCGTCGTCAGGTAGAAGGAGAGAATAGCTGGTAATGAGGTAAATGGAGTTGAAATGGTGTGAGACTCCTTCTTCCTCATGGTGTGTATATTTGTATATCAAGCTGCAGAGAGGATGAAGTCCTTCTAATTTACAATGAAACAATAAGTAAGGAAGCATCTCATTTCCTCTGTCACCCTTGATTTCCATCGAAATTTGCGAAGTGTGATAATCAGGAATAAAGTTCTAAACAGCGACATAAATGGGGTGTCGAGGTGAAGGGCAACGGTAATGGAGTACATGCATGAAATGGAATAAAAGTCTGAATTTATAGGTGTATTCGATATAAATGAGGACAATCTTGAAATATTTTCTACCATCTCCCCTTTCAATCTTGCAAAAAATAAATTCCTAACATTGATATACGGTTTTAAACCTTCAGATGTGTGTTGTTGCAAAAAAGAAACATAAAATGATGGGTTGATATTATTAACATCTGCTACAATTCTTGACCGACAATATTTCCACAATAAAAAATCATATCGATTTCACTATAAACTGCGGTATAAAATGCCACCATTCATCCCTTCTACCCATCCACGCCAACACACACACTCGCCTCCACCAGAATCACGAAGGGTGGTTTTACACATAAAAAAGTTGGACATCAAAAAATGTTATTTTTCTCATTTTCGGTCGAATCAACCGTGTGTATAAGATCATTTTATTCACAAATCTAATATTACAGAAGTATCCTTTGCCACCACTTTCACCCCTCCTCGTCCATCCCTTGACCATGAGATACAACAGAGAGGCCGAGCATCAACTTTGGTTTCCGATGTTCAATTTGATTGTGTCCTATAGGCAAAAGCGCACCCCCGTAACGGAAGAGGCATGGAAAAGTATGAAAAATAGAGTTTCACCCCTTGCCTAGCTTCCTCTTTTTTTTCCTCAACGCACAGCATTCTTCGCCACACAAGTGGCCACATGTTTCTGAAGAGATTATATACGAAGTGAGGCACAACACATGTATGCGAATCTATCATCTCTCCATGTACATCATCTCTGGCCGTACCCAAATTTTTATTCCACTTTTCTGACCCACGGTATTTCGGGTGGAAGGTGTTCTGATCTCTCACCCTCTTGCGCAGCCGAACCGCAGTGAAAGGGAATTCTGTCGATGCCACTGAAAAAATGCCCTAAATTTATCATCTATGGGAGAATGTGGGAACTAGATGGTATTTCTAACGTACGTGGCTGTCTGTTGTATGATTTCCCTATTAAAATACCCCAGCAAACATACTTTGTTGAGAATTTCATCGTGCTTAAAAATCTGCTCGCAAAAGCGCTTGTTTCGGGTCAAAGTGAGAGAATTACTCCCGATCCTAGCGGCGATTAGTAAAAGTAATAGTAGTAAAAGGACATTATGTATTCTTAGACCTCTTATCGGCCCATCAACATGTTGTTTATGTCACCGAAGAACTGTAAAAAAAAACAATATAAAGGAGGCTTATTGGATATGCTGAGAAATGTGTTTTTATCTACTCAAAATTCAGCAGAAAGTGGCCGAATATCATGAATAAATGATAAATATTTTGCTCTGAGGAAGCAATAATTGTCTGAGCGTTATTTGATATGAGAGCTGCTTGATTATGAGCACCTTGACTCAACACGAAATCAACTAAAAAACATGCAGATTTTAGGTCAATGTGTCATCTGGGATGTATGGAAAAATTACCATTTCAAACTACTCAGTATGTGAAAAATGATTTTCATTAAGGATTGAATGTTAAATTTAATAAACTCACTATATCAGCCTTGATATCAGCCCTTATAAGTGAGATTTTTTTGGTTTCTATGCATAATTCCAATATTCTGCATGCATTCTGTGGCACAATATAAAGTGGCTTTCTGTGTGTGAAAGTGAAAAGATGCGAAGGGAAAGCTCAATCTGAGCACTTTGCTGATTAATAAATCAGACTGTCGTGTCTCTCTGCGAGAGACTAAAATTTGTAATGCATGTAATATTGTGAAAGTCAGGAAAACACTAATTAAAAAACTTTTCTGCACAGGATGCGATACTGGTGCAAAGGTAGAAAATTTATACCATCCCGTAAACTGCAGAAAGATGTTGTGTGGAGGAGAGAGAGATAATTAAATTTAGTCAGAGTGATGAAGGATGATTGTGGTGGAGAGAGGGTTTCCCCAGTAAATTGCTGGACCAATTCGTTGAAAATGTTATTATTGGAATATGCAAATTTAACCCGAATTGCGTGTGTAGATGTGAAGTTAAACACCCACAACAGCAAGTGTAGTGATATGGCGCAAAACTCTCATATTTTGCACTTGAAAACATGATGTGGTGGGTGTAACATAAAACACAGCATTGCAATATGTTGTGAATCTGATGTAATTCGCTTGTTTTACCTTTACATTCCATTGCCATGGAGCACAATGTGCACGAGACATGCGAGGGAGGTTGAGGATGCTTCACTGTACTTGGAATTTGCTACTCATAAATCAGTTAGTGTGAGTTGATGCACGCGTGGAGTGGGTGAAAAAGCATCCTAACTTCTTCCGGTGCTTCACATGGAAAATGTTTGTCTTATACTTTACCCCACCATATATGGTGGGGAGCTTTTTACACAATATGTGTGCACTTTTGCCTTTGGCAGCGCCCGCAATGCTCCCTTTGGCATCTTCTTGGCTCGCCAGGCGCCCAGGGGGAAATTTCCCAATAAGATATTTTCCCAATGAAATGCTTTGATGCACACTGAAACGATATATAAAATGTCTATACACACTTGTGTGGATGGTAAGAAAAATTCTCATTCAAGTGTGAATTCTGGTATTTCCACCCATTTTACATACATATAACATTACGTGAAATTGACTGAGGTGAATTGGTTTTATTGTTAACATTGGAAGAAAGTGTGCGGAAAGCGGGGAACGACATCTCGTCGGCCTCGAGCACTACGACGCGGTCCAACACTACCCTCAGGGTAGATTGTGCAATTCAAATCAGACCCCCATTCAGAAATATTATTATTGTTATAGCTGCCATTGCTTTGATGTTTATCTCTTGCACTTTTCATACATGTGCATCCACGTGAATATGGCTCAAATATTATTTTGCACTATTAGCAAATTATTTCCTTTCCTGCCAATGTGCGCCACAGACCACGAAAAGTGCACCAAATGACGCTCCTTCCCGCCCAGGAGCACAAGAGCTAATAAATGAATTGTGCGAGAGGAGCTTCCTATGGCACACAATCTTCTGCCCTTGTGGTGATATTGTGTGTTTGAATAACCTCATTTAGAATTCACAAAGTGTCCATCGTGTGGGCGCCACGTTGGCGTCTCAATCACGCACGAACATCAAATATGCTATCTTTTAATCTTGCCTAATGGTAAAGTCAAGAGAGAATTAAGCATCTCACCATTCCATCCCACTTGACAATATTTTCCGTCTTTTCCTCCTTTCTTGTGTGTCCTCTTTGTCCCATCTCTCGATTTGGCCATACTTCCTTCTCACATTCGTTAGGCAATCGCCCAATGAATAAATGTGAGGCAAAACAAATTGGTCACCAATCAATGAATATGCACATAAATTAGATATTGAATATTCATTTTGTGCCGTCCCGAAAAAAGGAAGAAAAACCAAGTTCCCATTACCACTGCGCCCAAAGAAGAAAAAAAGAAGTTGAACCCTCTGTTGGCCGTCAATTGCCTTGAGAAAGATTTATTTCCTGCTCCGTGAATTTATTCCACTCTGCACAGGCCACAGTGTTGAGTGGGGGTTGGCTCGAGAGTGAAACTTTTAATTGCTTAATCCAAAGGTCACTCAATTATAACCTATGGAATATTTTTGCAATTTGCATTCCAAGCAAAATTCCTCTTTCATCTCCAATTTTTCCACATACTCTGCAATCCCGACGAGGATCAAAAGGGATATGCTCTTAAAATTCCACATCCATATTAAGACGCGCCCTTGTGCAATCTTATAATTGACTTTCACAGTGTTTGACGGATTTTTTCTTCCCTCCAATATGATAATGAGCTGTGATTCGAGCGGTCAATCAAAATTGATGGAGGAAAATTTGTAATTTAGAGCATCGCGATATTGTGTGAAATTAATGACATCGCCTATTTCTGCCCGAAATTTGCCACAGTAAAATTTTCACCCCCGCAAATTGATACACACCAATCACACATTGATTCCGAGCCATTCAATGGAACATCCATCGATGCAGGAGATAACAAAAGGCGAATTGTATGTGAAATTCTATCCACACAAATAATGGAGAGGAATGATACAAAATTTATGAAATATGTGATTAATTGATTTCAGTAATGGATTTGCTATAAACTTTGTCTATTGTGATTTGAGAAAGCATAACATGACTAATGGCCGGTCAATATATCAATCAACATCTCTCTTAAGCTTTACTAGCTCTTATTATCCAATATTCCGTGATGCATTCGAACACGCAAAAAATGAAGCCAAAAATAAATATTCAGTTTATGATTTACGACAGGCAGTTTTATAGAATGTTTTTGTGCTATATTTCTTTATATTTGATTACAAATCATATTATTATTCATCATATTTGAGTGTTGACCTAAGTTCTTTAATCTAATCTCAGGTTTATTCCTAAGAATTCGGTTGATTGCCTTGAGATATTTAACACAAAATTAGTCATTGCAATTTATCAGCTAATTTGATAATTCCAAAAGAATTATCCTTCCAGGATAGGGTGAGAGGAACCTCAAGGACTGCGCATTTTTCAGAATT